AATTATTAATACAAATAGATTCCATTTACTTTTTGCTACTAGATTAACTTCTTAAAGTTATATAAGACTTTAATTAAAGTACCCCTTACTTTATGATGAATGACCCCATATACAATTTGTTTCTCGAATTTTCGTTGTAAATGTGATAGACTGAGTTTAAGGGCTAAGGTGACTTGACAGCAACTCTTTTTTGATCGCATAGTATCGGGCGATCGAAAATGAGTGACTTGAATGGTTTGAGTCAAGTACGTTTTCCCATGTAAGCAAAAATTCCAAAGGTGACTCGGCGGTCACTCATTTTTGATTGCTATGTATTACTGGAAAATACTAGAAAAATGATAAATAATCGAGTACTTCGGTATCTCAGAAAATATAAGTTTCTGGATGAAGCATAATCAATGGTCAAAAAGCGTGATATTAAACTTTTCACCATCTAAATCCAAAGAAGACACAACGCTTAACAACCCAACTTAAATCTAATTGGAAACCAAGTGGACTCCACCATAAATTCTTAGGAATTAAATTTGAACCATCAGATAGGTCAATATCTATGAAGAATAAATTTAATAAAGTCCCTAGGACACCATCATTGGAGAGCGGAAGAACTAAGAAGACATCAAGTCCAAACCAACATGACTCCTGCCAAAACAACACCAATGTCAAAAAGAGATAAAATCATCGTAAAAAGACTTAGTATAGGTTACGCTCGTCCTTCACATGGATACCTAATGACCTCAGAAAATTCTACAGTCTGTGAATATTGCAACAATACCAGAGTATAAAGCATGTTCTTTTGGATTGTCAAAATTAGAACACCGCTAGACTTGACCATCGCCTCAGTAAACCCCTCCAGAACGTCTTAAATAACCAGCTCTACGATAAACTTTTTGAAAGCAACGAATTTCTACAAGTGCATATGGCAAGCTATATTGTATTTATACTTTTTATAAACGTGTCAACGGCATTTTTTGTCGAGAGAGACACGAAAATTGTAGGATGTCGAAATTTGGATAGTGAATTTGTACGAGAAAAATAGGTATTTTGTGGTGGAACTCCACTAATAAAATTTTGAACAGTGGTGAAAATGAAGTCTTTTGCACATCATTCAAATTTCTTTTGCCCTTGTAATGAGTGCGTGATATTACGGCGCCGCAGTATCTCAAGAGTATCTCTCTAGATAGAGTTACATCCTGAGAAAATTTCGTAGCGTGAAATATGCTGAGTAATCGGTTTTTTAAAATTGTGTGGGTTTTGAAAACGTTTGGGATTGGTTGGAAAGAAACCACTAACCAATAGGCATTCGCCATTTTTGTTTTTTGGGATGAAGTCATTAAGGATGATGAATTCTGAATATATAAGGGTGTTCACTTCTATGTAAAAATATTTAATGGTTAAACGATATTAGTGATAAATTTGCAAAAAAACCATACTCAAAGTTAGAGGAGATAAATATGTTGTTTATAAAATCAATTTCTCCTTTTTCTGTGAAGGAAAACAACAGTTTAGTCAACAATTACATAAGCCGTTAATACGAAGTTAAGACTGTCAAAATTTGGATTTACTTGCACAATAAACCACCAAAATCATCGCGCGAAGATCCACTCTCAAAAATTTTTAAAATCTTAAATAACTTTGATGCTGGATATAGGGAAACAGCCTGTATAGAATATTTTCGCACATCAATTAAATTGGCGATTTTGGATTTTGGACAAGTGAAAACCATCGTTTCTAAGTAGTTACGTCTTAACAATTTCCAGTTATTGTTTTTTAGATTATGTCATTGTCATTGTTATTTATTTAAACAATGGTTATGTAGATAGAAAAATACGAATTTTTTCTCAAAAAAATTTACATTAAACTTTTCTGTAGGTTATCGATTTCGAAACAAATATTGTTTTTTACTTTCCTCACTAAATCATATTTTCTTCACTCTTTTTAGAGACGAAAGTAGTTGTTTCTAAAGTGGTTTCAGAAAAAATAAATGATCGTTAAAAAAATGATGGTAGTACTGAGGATCCTTCGATATCTTCCGTTGTATCGGTTTGTTTTACGATGCGGTTACAGAATTTTATGGAAAAACCTGGGACTTTACTAAGTACCCATGGATGATACACTGTTTTAAGAAGAAATATATCTACCCTTTTCCGGTTTTTACCCATGATTCAAGACTTCAAATATCTGTATCTAACACCTAAAATGATGATTTAGATGCTTTAATCAACTTGATCTTGAAGATCCAGTGATTTTGAGGTTGAGTGGGCTTGAAACTTCGAAATGGCAATTTTGGCATAGAAACATTCTAAATTTTGGAAACTGATACTCCAAAAAATTACCGTTTAAGGTCTTGAAATTGGTACACAGTGGAATTTTAATAACGGGCTTGATTTTAAGATATGAATTTTAAAATCCAAAGTTTTAAAATCTCAAGCAAGCGTAATATCCGTTAGTTTAACGCTAAACCCTGCAATAAGTTTTTTTGTTAAAAAAACTACTAAATGCAATAAAAATTATTATTATTATTATTATTATTAATTTGAAAGCAATATCCGTGCTTTTGATACTCCGACAATAAAAAAATCTTAAGGTACCTATCCTCGTACCTACCCCTTCTAAAAAAACTGAAACCCTAACTTGCATAATAAGATTCCGAACGTACGAAATTTTACGGTGGGTTTTCAAGTGAAGCAACCCTCAACTTTCCAACTTCAGTTCTGCAAAACATATCCGCTTGCATTTCTGCATGATAAGGATGGTTAAATTTCCTAAAATGTGCAAAATTTTATATCTACAATTTCAAAATCCCTTTAATTCGACTACAGAGAGTTACGAAACTTTCTCTTTCATTTATTAAGGAGTAAATATTCTTCGGTTTTAGTTAAAAAATCTGATGATTACAGGTTATTAATGAGTTAAATTAGAGAGCAAGGCTTTAAAGGTGGCGTTTACAAAAAGTGCAAAAGTTGCCTTGCGATTTCCTCAATAACTTTGTTTCGAGGTAAAAAAAAATGAACTTCTGTTAACGACCGATGGTTGCTAAAGGTTTAAGCTTGTGAATGAAGTTAAATTTGATAACAAATTATTATCAGTGTGTGATAAAAATGAAAGATATATATTTTATATGGGAGTTTTTTAACAACTTATTTCCTAAATAACGGCGAAAGTGCAGGAATTAGCTAAATAATTTTTGTTTCATGCAAATGTCGGAACATTATATATTTGAATGAATGTTATTTCAACCAAAAATTTGTACCCAGAAGGCAATTATTGTGGAAACAAATTATTTCATTGTTTTGTTGCTTCGAATAGATTTTGTTTTGTTTTTTTTATTCATCACAGACTACTTGATTAAAATATAAAAACCGTTGATATAACTGGTATCTTATTTTCAATCTTATGCTATGATATATAGCTCGTTGAAATGAGAAAAAGTCCAATATAGCGCCCCTATTTAAATTTAGGAAGTTGGTAAAGTAGCCATCTTGAATTTATATCAATTTTAGGTAAATTAAGCGGATCAAAGACAGTAATAAGTGTTATATAAAACTTTTTTTTATATCTCTTATACTTTCGATGATATAAGACATTCAGGGAAATGATCGATTTTAGTTTTTAGTGCACTTTCACTTTTAAAAAATAAAAAATGCACTTTTGCGCTCTTGATGTCTGTCTGAGTCACAAAGGCTCCGGAACTACACCACTTACACACTTGGTATTGGTGTCATTCGATCATAAATTAAAAATTATTTCATTTTTTTTATTCTCGTTAAGGCATGAAATGTCCATAAGGACTGTTAAAATCGAAAAAACAAATGTGCATTCTACGCCTCTCTGTCACAAGCGGTTTGATGAATTTTTTGAAATTACGTCTAAGCTATTCGACATTTTGAACTTTCACAAGCAAATTTTAAATAAGCATCTAAAACTGCAAAACATTGCCCATTTAACCAATTCTCTATCTTTAATAATAAGAAAGTTACCCATGCAATCCCACGCGATCTGGGACACACTGTATACTATTGTAAGATTAATACTGAAAAACGCTTATTTATCTACTTATTTTCAAAGTTTCTTAAACCAGTTTCATTAGAATGTTAGATAAACAATACCTAATTTGGATACGTAGACGCAGAAGATGCATAATTTACTCTCGAATTTATGTGCTTCATCTAACCCTCGATCTAACCACACAAAAATCTTGATTTTCAGATATCTACCTTAGTAGGCAATAAATTCAAGAAAAATTGGTACCTCAATTTAATTTCCTTCACAAAATTTCCTCACGTCCAATGGAGTGAAACCATCCGGGTTTGGTACAATGCAGGTTGAATGACCGAATTTGCTTCTCCACATTGAAATGTATTATATTATACATTGTAAATGACACTGTCGCCCCACTATTGGTCACATGAAATTGACATTAGGCCACAAAACCTAGATTTACAAACAAAATTTAATTTCATTTATTTCCACAAACTTTAAATTTGTTGTTTGACGAATAAACCCTCGGCTTGCCTAAATTACAATAGATTCAAAATTCGTTGGGTCTTAAACACACATTTTTAAAAGCAATGACAAAACACCTTCAATCTAAAATTAAGCCCTAACGTTCCCCAACACTACCTAAATTAAATCTACACCAGACAACACAAATGCAATGTTCATCAAACCCCACAGAGGAAATTGGAATGAAAATGTCACTAATTTTGTACACAATTTTATAGTCTTCGCGGCATACAGACTTCTTACCATTGAAATTAGATGCTAGCTTCTTAATTTTTGGTTCTTCTTCACTTCAACTTTCTTTTTAAAAAACTCGCGTTTTTCGTAAACCGTTTTTTTGCCTTACTATTTAAAACCTCGTCTTATCACGTAAACAAAATGTTATCAATTATTGTCTATTATTATTATTGTCAAAGCCCATTTTTACACAGAAAATAATACAAATCGTTTCTAAAAGTAAGGAAATTCTACACAAAGAAACACCTGCAAATTTTGCCAACTTAAAATGTCTTATCAAATTAAAGTAATTACTTCGCTTTTTTATATAATCATGCATGACCTAAATTCAATTTAAATCGCCAAGACACCATCCATCTTTCTCATTTAAGAGAAAATAAATACGGAAATTAAAATTGTGCATGGTATCACAACAATGTAATTAAGTAATAATTAATATTGGTAAATAATTATTCAAAAACAAACGGCTGAGACTAGATTATGTGATAGAAAACCATCATTTTGGAGTCTGCCTACGATATGCAGAAAATTTTTTTCATGCCAAATTTGTTGTTAAACGTTGAGAGTGAATTCTAAATTTAAAAAAACCAAAATGTTATTATCACCAATGGTAATTTGCCTACTCTTTGTGTCACTTTAAATAAACGAACTTGCATAAGACTACTATCTACTATCTCCTAATATATCTTTCATTTCAGGAAGGATGTGGACAAACGTAATTGGCATTCAGATGATGATCTTCTTCTACTGTGCGAAAATGTCAACACAACAATCCTGTGCGACTAATTACAAAAAAAATGAGGTATACTGTGACAGATGCAACTCGCAACTCGACTTACAGAAAAAAATTCACGAACTAACAAGAAGAATTAATCCTCATCATATTCGCCAACTGACTATTGTCAGAAGTAACATTGATATATTAACTCCAAAGAAGTTTGAAATATTCAATCGACTTGAAAGTCTCTACTTAACTGGAAATAAAATTGGCATTATACCGTCGAAAGCGTTTGAAGATCTACATCTACAACACCTTAGTATATTCAGTAACGAAATCCATCAAATACAACCACAAGCGCTGTATGGATTGAAAGACTTGAAAGACTTAACATTTTCATTTAACAATCTAAAGGAGGTTCCCAAAGGCCTAATCAGCAATTTAACTGCCTTAGTATACTTGAACATGGACAACAATAACATAATGAGTTTGCTACCCTCTGATTTCGTAGGACTAAAGAACTTAAAACACCTTCGATTGTCTTCAAATAATTTGAGCTATATCGGTCGTGGTGCTTTTGACAATTTAAACACTTTGGAAAAAATTATATTAGTTAACAATAATATTTCGGCTTTAAATGAAAACGTCTTCAATGCCAATGGATTAAAGGAACTGCATTTAAGTCAGAATCCTTTGGTATCCATACACGCTTTGGCATTTGCGCACAGCACAAACCTAGAAGCCTTGTACTTAAATAACAACAAAATTAGAACATTTAACGAAACAGTATTCAATCGATTGCATTTTTTGAAAAAGCTTATTTTGGCTTCAAATGATATTGTGCAACTTCCCAATAATCTATTTCAGAATAACGCGCATATCACAATTTTGCGTTTAGAAAGCAATAAAATAGACACCCTAAATGAGTTTATATTTAAAGGGTTGAAAAATTTGGGAACTCTATCTTTGGAAAGGAATCGTATTTCCAATTTACCACCCAAATTATTTGCAAGCAATATCAATTTGATGGAATTGAATCTGCGCAATAACCGAATTAAAGCACTCTATGGCGGCACCTTTAAAAACTTAACGAATTTGAAAGCACTGTATCTAAGTGAAAACGATATACAGCATTTGGAAGCCAATGTGTTTGCAGACCTAATCAATTTGAACACTCTCTGTTTGCGGAACAACACAATCTCTAACTTAAATGCGAATAGTTTTACCGGATTAACCCAATTGGTAACCTTAAATCTACAATCAAATCGTCTATCTACGATAAACAACTTCACCTTTATGCATTTACGTCAGCTGCTATTTTTAAATCTCAGTTTCAACAATCTGACTAAATTGGAGAACAATTCATTGTCGGGATTAAGGAACTTGCAATATTTATACCTTCAAGGAAATCATTTGAAAATCCTTCAAGGAGGCATTTTTCATAATACAAATTCCCTGCTACATGTAGCTTTATATAATAACAAGGTAGAGGGAATACATCCAGGTGCTTTCAAAGGATTATCTCGAATATACCACTTAGATATAACACACAATAATATCAAGACGTTAACTGCAGGATCTTTCGACGGCTTGTCACAGCTAATGATGCTGATGTTGGCGAATAATAACATAGAAGCCCTGCCCAAGTCTGCTCTACGCGGTTTACCTTCTCTGGTTGGAATATATTTGTCGAACAATAAAATCAAGCAAATACCCGCAGGAGTTTTGCGAGAGGTCCCTCGTCTACGATCGTTACAATTAGATCGCAATTTAATCAGTGGAATAGAAGACAACGCATTCGAAGGAATGAGGGAATTGATACAAGTATCCATGACAGGAAACCAAATCAAATCATTGACCAGTGCAACGTTTAAAGGGGCACCTGCAATGGTTCATTTAAACCTGAGATTTAACAAAATAGACACAATTCCAGCTAAAGCATTTGAACATCTTCCAAATTTACTTATGCTCGATTTGAGCTACAACGAAATTTCGCAATTAAACTCGTCATCGTTTGTAAATTTACGAAAACTATTGCATTTAGGCCTGTCCAACAACAAAATAAAATACCTACCCTCGAATATCTTCCAGCATACAACTTCTATCTCTACATTAAACATATCACAAAATTTGCTGAATTCCATAAATAAACTTTCATTCACTCATTTACACTCGCTAGGAGGGTTAGCTATAACTAACAACAACATTTCCTCGATTGAACCTTTTTCATTTGATGGAATGAAATTTTTGACAATGCTCAATTTGAGGAATAATTCACTCAAATCTATCGACAGTCGGACTTTTTACGGCTTGATATCGTTGCACACTCTAAATTTGGAGAATAATAAGATTAATGCTATTACTTCGGATGCTTTTCAACACTTACCTCGTTTACGTATTGTTACACTATTGGGAAATAATGCTAGCTATGGAATAGTGTCCAAACTTCGATCAAATTCTATGGGAGGAGGACCCATCTATGCTATTTGAATTTTATAGAATATTATCAGTATCTAGAATAAGTTCAGTAGTAAATATTAAACAAAGCAAAATTTGGTGTTTCTGAAGTGAACTTATCTGTATAATAAGATTACTTTCCGTACTGATATTGCCCATTTTTTTTAAGAAGTGGAATTTTTCTCTTTATCTTTTTGTGAAAATACATCGCGCTTCTGCTCAACCACTTCATAGAAGTTTTTAATAAGAATCAAAAATGTCAAAATAATTCCATATGTAGGTATCCCTATTAAATAAAATTCGAAAAACCAAGCACTACTATCTTTTATACTCCTTCTAAACTTACCGATTTGCGATTTTCAAAACGCAATTCGGAATCTTAAAAGATTGAACCCAACTAGGGTGTTCACTATTTAAGATTTAATATACACTGTGTCCAAGATAAGGATGCCTATATCATGGGGATCTCCGAAACCATAGAAGATACAACGATGATCAAATTATGGAAAAGTTGCGCAAGGGCAGATACAGAAAATTGCCACTTTTTGAACTTTACAGAGATTTTCGATACAACGTTTGGTTTCGGAGAAATAATCATCAAGTTTACTTTTTTATATGGCCCGTAAAAAAGTACACACTGTATTGAATAGCATTTGTTTATTACGAATACAACTATGTACGGTAACCACACAAAAAGACAAACAACACCCTAATCGTACTATGAATACCTATCGGACAAATGTCTCGGTTCTCGGAAAATGGAAAATTTATTCGATAATTCGACAGTTATTGTCACCCGATTATAGCACTATGCACGAGTACACCATCCTGTTGATACAGATACAAACAATTTTCAACTATTTGTTTCTTTGTGTATGCCGTATATCGTGGTATCCGCAATCAAAAATGCTACTCGCTCGATACAGTGTGCACTTTTTTACGGGCCATATCAAACAAGTTGTAAATCAGCATATGCATGATTAAAGCGCATTTTTGGTAATGCAGGTCAGTATTTTAGTAGCGAAGTTTAAAATTATCGATCTCACGAGTCATTTTGGCTGCGTTAAATAATTAATTTGATTTAATTTCAATTGAGGGTACGTCTTTATTTTGTAAAACAAATCACAAAGTAAAATAATAAGTTTTATACTGGTAGCGCTATCTAACGGTAAAATTATAGCACCTCCGAAACCCATATCGAAATTATTTTCTTCAATTATCGATCTCACAAGTAATCTAACTCAAAATAGACTAGTGCCTGCACATCTACACTATAGCAGAAAGCTTTTAGTGAAAATTTGAATTCTCGAGCTATTGTGTGGTTGAGATCTCACGGGGACAGCCGGCCTGTCAGCCATAACGAATATAATAGCGTATTTTTTTCAAAAATCCGCTAAACATAAAGTTGATAATTTCTCTGAAATGAAACGTTGTATTGAAAACCTATGAACGGTATCTTGTAGAGCTCAAAAAGTGGCAATGAGAAATTGTTGTTTTTTTGTATCTGCTCAAATAACGTAAACAAAAATAAAAATCCAGTCAGCAAATTTACATGATGGTGCCGTTGGAAAGATCTTGTAGAACGCACAACTCCTTCGTGACAGAGTTTCATTTTTTCTCCTAGGTGCGAAATTAACCAGCTTTTGCAAGTAGTGATTCTCACACGAAGCAAGAATTCTTGCATCTTGTCTTGTCTTGTCTTGCGCAAGAAGAAGTGTTGTTCGAATCCGGGTTCGAGCATGGATTTTTGTAAAAGTGAGCTGGGTTGGTAGAGCAGCCTTGGCTGAAACCCCGCCCTGTGCAAAAATGACTGTGCCAATGTAATATACGAGGCGACAGGAAAAGGAATCTGGTAAAGTGACAGGCTACAGGAACAGTACTTAGGTAAAGTGTTACTGCCACTCTCATGGAAGCTAAAATTTCTAGACATACAGTAGGCATGAACATGAAAGGTTTCATGACGATTTCAGGAAAAAAATATTGATATTAAGATGCTCGAACTACTGTGAATTATGTTTCAGTATAGTTGAAAGAGCGGCGTCCTGGAAAATAGTGTAAGCATTTAGAGCGAGTAAGTTCGGTTAGCATAATATTTTGCAACATTTTGTCTTGTCTTGTCTTGCGAGAATCACTATTTGCAGGGCGCACGTCTTCGAGACGTAGTCGACTTTGGGAAGAATAATAACTACCAAGTTTCTTTCGTTTACACTTCTGTCACATTTGTGTGTAAGGGGGGTTGCATAACGTTCAAGTCATATCAGTCATATCAATGCATTGGCCCACATGAATAAACGGGAGCATATGCTTATACTTGCAAAATTCAAAGTAATTACTCGTAAGAGCAGCCCAGTATGAAGGGACACTTAGAGTATTTACTATGAATTTTGCAAGTATAAGCGTATTGAACATTAGCAATAGTATGTGTTATATTATGATAGTATAGATTTGTATGTTCAGAGTTAAAATTTACGCACTGTATATTATAATATTAGCTTTTTAAAATTTTTCTAAATTATTTTTTTTTTGTTTTTAAATCACAGAAAATAACAAAATGGCCAAAAATATCACTTTAGAAACCTATTTCTGATGAGTTAATCAAAAGTGTAGCTACAAAATCGAAAGAACATTTGCATCGTAAACTTTAGCAGGTACCTACTCATTAATATTGTAGCGTATGGTAGATTGTGACTACATCCCATCCCACAATGTGTCCAATCCAATATCTTTAGAACACGACAAAGCTAACTATAATTCGTTATACGCACATAGGTATAGTAGGTACTTAGCCAACATTTAATTATTAAATTCATTGGTCCACTAAAATGAACAACCACAATGTAATTTTGCATTTGAAAATCGTTGTGATTTATTACATACCGTAATAAAAACAGCAACACTTCGTCACAATAGCTTTCAACCCCTTTTGAATTTGAATTAGAGTACAGACAGAATGCGCATTGTGTATACCTACTACACAATAATTGCCAAGTCACCCTAATTAAATTATTTCCTCCATTTCGTTATAAAACGCTTCATTTGAGGTCATAAATATTATTTTAAATATGCATACACGCACATACAGTGAGTCTTTTTTAAATGCGAACATAGGGGTTTGCATGCAATGTAATTTCCCTATGTTCGATTTAAAAAAAAATACATCAATCTATGAGGTGTGCGCGGTTCACATTCCCAAATCGGGCAACTTGTGTGACTATGAACAGCAACTCTATAGTCTTTATGATGAAGAGCGCTCGGTAAGATTTTTTAAAGAAGCCATGTGACGCCATAGCAACTTTAGGATACATTTTTCTTAAACTTACGATAACTTGACCTCGCAGGACACGCACTGACACCACAACTCATTGTGAACCAACCTTCAATTATTTGTAGGTCATGTGCACCTGGTATTCTACTAATTTGATCTATTCAATACATAAATGAAGAAAATAAATACCGAAAACAATTACAATAAATGTTCGAAGTGTCCTCCTTGACATTCTAAGCAATAACCTAACCGATTTCGTAATTAAATTGGACGGCGGTATTTTTAAAAATGTGACAGCTGTCAATTGTATCTACTACTCATTTGAACTATTCAATAGATTGATGTGTTTTTTTTTAAATCGAACATAGGGAAATTACATTACATGCAAACTCCTATGTTCGCATTTAAAAAAAATTCACTGTATATGATTTTCGCCATAAATCACTTTCGGTTTTTTATACTTCCCAAAATTGTACATCACGGTCCGAGAAACAATCGGAGATGCAAACAATAAGATATCGACATGCATTTTTTACAGAAATTTTACACTTAGGTACCTACACCTTAAATGTTCGGGCAAAACTAGCCCAAGCAAGTTATTGAAATATGTAGCGATTGAAATCGGTGAACATCCATAAAATAACTAATAACGCTTAAATTTTATTATGGTCAACTCCAAACCAAAAGAGGTTTATAACTTCAATTTAAATTTGTTTCAAACAGTTTCTGAAATTGTCCATTTAATAAAGTCTTTAGCGTTTCATTAAACGGTTCTCGCGTCTCGCGAACAACAATTATATCACCACGATTAGGTGTAACATCTACGGGCTAGCTGAACTCCTGCACACCTGAGAAGACAATGTTAAAATTTACAACGAACGATGTTCTGTTCTAACCGAGGTTCTAACTTACTTAATTGTAAAAACCTGGCAACATAAAACAAGATAATATGAAGAATAGCATTCGATTTTAGGGAGAGGGATTCTTGGACACTACTCCGTCCTCGAGATGTTCGCATTTGAAGTTTTGACCCCACCAGTAGATATGCCTTGCCTAGTCTAGTTGTTTCAATAGCACTTTGTGAGTACTCTCCGTCATTCTAATCTCGAGATATTCGCACTGCAACTTTTTACATCACTAATGGCTATATTTCTACCATGATACTACAAACTTAACAAGATAAGCTCACGCGCACGATCTTCTCTGTGTTCCTGCTATTCCTTTATTTTTTGGTAGGTTGCAGCGACTATAGATTGATGCAACGGGATTATTGATGTACCTACAGCAATCAATTTTTTAAGCATTGGCAAAATTGAGAGCTAGCATCTGTATTACCTATAGGTCTAGGTATAGGGTGATGTAGTCCTTATCAGCGTTTCAAAGAATTGTAGGTAAATCTAACGTGAAATAAACAAATGAATGACAATATTATCGATTTCACACGCATCGCCTTCATTGACGTTATTTGAGGTATGACCATAAATGTACCCATAATACAAAAAAAGTTTTGAACCACTGGATTAGGAACCGATAGGCATTACCGCCATCTAAGTGTAAATAGCCACACACACACTAAATTGAACAGCAGAAAATAATAATGGCCACGTTTTATTTAACATTTTTGTTTCGTGGTTAGAAGAGCACGTATACATTTGTTAATAATTTACTTATGCAAATTTAATTCTGCGTAATCTTATCTTTCTAATGATACCAAATTCATCTATTTTCATTGAAGATCTTAAAAAACATTCAGATGATTCAATACATCGTATATTAGTATGAACATGTTTGAATTTCGATATAAAATGGTTAATTTTAAAAATAACCACGAAATAAAACCGAAGTTTTGTTATGCAACTTATCGTACTGTTACAGGTCCATTTTTAGTTTAGTTTTGCGCTCAGAGTAAGAAATAAAGATAGAGATGCCTTGATGCTTATCTATGCTACAGTGACTTTATAGAGACAGTGGCGACAACAGGGTATCTCGTTTTTGATTGGTCGTTGGTTCCGGTCGCCATATTGGAGCTAAATTCCAAACTGGCCAATAGAAAGCTTTCAAAACGACGCGGTGCACTCCGTGCTATAATTATTAATTATACTGTTTTGACAGTGTCACCTGTAATTGTCACGGCTTCATGTTACTAGTTTACACTTTGCTTCTTGCATTTGCTTTATTTTACGTTTTCCGTCTCCAGTTTTATATAAACTCGATTTTTAAAGACGCATATAGTTTGGATTTATTACGATATTATAAGGTATGTAATTCGCTTAGTGTTTCTAGATGTAAAACTGTGCCTAACCTTACGACTGGTAATTGATGTAAAATTTTTTTCAGGAGCCCTAAATACCTAATGAGTTTAGATAGAAAACTGGTTAGAGAAGCAGCTTATCCGAAATTTAGCAGCAAATTCATTTGTGATCGTAAATACGTTTGAATTGGTTTCATGTTTGCTGGAGCACATGGAATATTGATCTCTTGTACTCCGTGGACTAGGTCAACGTGTTTTGTCTTCCATTTAAGAGACTAAAGAAATACTTTTAAGTCCGGAAGCGACAGGGGACAAGAAGTGACAGAAGACACTGAAATGTCAAACACAATTTAATGATTATTTATATGTACATTTTGGATATTGCACCATATTTCATACTTATTATACTGTTTTCCATATACCCATACCTTTTTGAATTTGGGAGGCATTTGTTTTCCCATAGGTTGTTCTGCAAAGCTTTAAACGATCATTTCTGCGCCGTTCGTTTTGAACAAGAATCTTTACTTAAATGAAACTGACATTTATTATTCTACGCTCACAATTTGACATGACAAGGTATATTGATCTTACAATCAATTTTTTAGCTCCAATATGGCGGATTATGATAAGTTGTCGCCACTGTCCTTATAAAGTCACTGTAATCTATGCGAGCCATCATCTCGTTTGTTTACTAACATTGCAGGAGGCTAAGTTGTCACATTTCACGAGATAGTTTTTAAGGGAATATTAATAACATATGCATCTGGAGTAATCTAAATGGATTTTAAGATGCTTATAAGAGTTCAGTAACCCAAACAATTTTAACTTACAATTAAACGGCGTAACAAGAAAAATTATGCTTATGGTGATTAGTGCACCACAGCGGCAACACTGTAACTTTGTTTTCCGTTGAGAGGTATTTTGTTTATTTCGTTAAAACGTGATTCCTTAATTTTTAGGCGTTTTTATAGTGCAGGACTTATTCGATTTATGGTGTATTAATTTATGGGAGCCCTTTGAAATGGGGAAAAGCTGTATTATTTGTGGAATTATTGAATTTACCAACATAACCTTTCATCGGTATGTGTTTTGAAGTCATAGACGTGCATACGGGAATTTTCGCATTTTAATTTGTTTAGATTTCCTTCTAAGTTCCCACTTTGAAGTATCACCATACCTTATCATAGATCAATAGAGACCTTTCAAACACATACAGCTTTTGATCATAAATATTTAGTGATACGTTATTACGTTTGCACATGTAAACAAAACATAAACTTTGTTGCCCATAAAGATAAATGAACCCTACGCCACTGACTAATGTTTACTTTCGTCCTCTCAACGGTCAAATTAACTGAGATGTTGGTTCAAAACAAACGTTCACGTTGTTATAGCGTACGCGTACTCTATCTTTATTTCTTACTCTGAGGTTTTGCGTAATTTATTTTGATTTTTAGGTTAGGAATTTGTTTATTTTGTTTTGAATTTCATCTCATAGGCGTACCCATTTTCTTAAATTTCTTCTTTTGATTTCTTCGCTTCTTTCGATTCTTGCCCTCTTCTTACAATTGTATTTACCTTTTCACGCTTTAAACGCTTCTTCTTTCCTTACTGTTTTCACTATTCTAATTTTCGAAGCTTATGTGTACTCTTTTATTCAATGTTACGCCTCTGATTCGTTTCAGGGCCATCTGTTGGTATTTCGTCTAAACTACGCTAATCTTTCCCGCTCTTTTCAAAAATCTAATCTTTTTTTCGGGATAACTTTTTATGTTCCTTAATTATTGGTATTACTGTTCGTTTTTTTTTCAAAATCTTCTACGTTTCGTTTTCCGTTTTGGATAATTTTTAGGATATTACCCTCTTAAAAGTCACCCTACTCAACAAAAAGGATTTAGTATCCGTCCTTTGAAACCCTATTTTGGGGATCAAGAGTAGTGGAGAGGCGCACTTGTGTTTCCGAGTACAATCAATATAAATATTTTAACTCCTTGCTCGCCGGATTTCAACCCCTTTTGATCCGAGCGTTAATTTACTACCACCAATTATAGCACCCAAAATATTATATTGTTTCTACATTTAAGGCCCACACCATCTAGGCCTTGTATTTTTTCCCCTTCTTATTTATTATACCTGTACCGTACTGCTTCAAACTCTTCGTCTTCCGTCGTCCATCTTCAGTCTTCGTCGTCCGTCTTCAGTCTTCGTCGTCCGTCTTCAGTCTTCAGTCGTCCACCTTCAGTCTTCGTCGTCCGTCTTCAGTCTTCTATCGATACCCTCAAATTTCTTTCCATTTGATCCCTTCTATCCTCTTCCCTATCCTTATTTTCCCCACACTTAGCCACTGGTCTATTCACCGAGTTTGCCGAACAACCGCTGGACAACTTCAGGAGCCAGGAAAACAGCTAAGCACCTTCCAATTCACCGTTATTCACATATGATTGCCCGTTAAGTTTAATTTTTAAAAAAAAACCATTAATTCATTAATTCAGTCATCTTACCATCCGTTTAATTAATTATTTTAGTCACTTTTGTGTCTTACTGTGAGACGAGATCTCGTTCCGTGATTTTTTTTGCTTTAATTCCCTGTTATCGTTCCACTGCCATTTCTCATTCACCATCATTCGCCCTACAATAAAAATATTCCTATTTCACTACTTTTCTCTATTTTCTCCTCATTATTCGTCTTGCATTTCCAGAATCACAGGGAGCAAGGTTCTAGTTTTTCCTGTACGGCCAAATTTAACGAAAATTAGTGGCGCCTAAATTCTCCAAGCAGTTTTTTCAGTTTTGTCGAACCACCCATACCACTGAGAGCAGCTGGAGTCGTAATGCTAGATTCTTCCATTCCTTCTAAATATTCTTCGTCACAGTACTTCAATTCCAGCCTTAAGTTGTAGTATCATGGGCCCATTCTACACCAGCAACTTACACTTCAACGTTGCCATTTTAGATAGTATATGGTTGGTTGGCCAAAGTGGCAGTAAGCTTCATTTTATCATTATTTTTGTCGGTGATCTTGCATTTGCAACCAATAATATGAAATGAATTTAATGCGATTAGTAGATCAGTTAGATCTACTGTTTCTACCAGGATTTCGTATTTGGTAGCAACATAGAGGAAATACAATTGTATTTACTCTATGGTAGCAATCACTACTCCTCCTCCACGAGATGTGTTAGTACTCTCAAAATTGCGATCACAATGATGAACTCTGTACTCCGAAGGGAAGAACTCGGAACTATCTATGTCGTTACCGAACCACGTTTCAACAAGACATATACCATCAAACTCACAAACACTAATCGATACTTAAAAGTCACGCATTTTATTTCTTAAACTTCTCACATTCGGGTAATAACATAGCAAGTTGTTGCTGCTGGAACATATTAGTTTTTTCTAATGACTGTAGGTACTCTATTCACATATTTAATAGTGAGATGACTCTCACCGTTTGCAAGACAATCATTAAGTTCAGTGCTAGCAGTGACAAAGTAATTGCCGTTGGTATGGGGTCTGATCGTTATTAATGGCGACCCTCTCAAAGCTAGGGTTATTCTTTTATTTACTCTTGTTACGTAGAACTTTCATTGCATTAGCAGCATTCGCAAAAGTAATACATATAGGAAGAGATTTAGATAGATCAGGGACCGCGCAGTATGTTATCAGCAGTAATAAGTTGATTGTCATCTGGCAAAACGGCATTTAGAATATCCTTGACTGCACTGATATCCATTCCGGGAGCTTCAGGTACATTAATACACAATAAATTACATTCGCGTTTAGTTCTTTCACGGACTTCTATTCAAAATTTTATGGTGATTGATAAGTCATTAGTTGAGTAGCGTGTTTTTCAAGTTTCTCCATTCTGTCGAACATATTTTCCAATAACTCCTTGAGCAGCGAAAATTGATCAACAGCTTTGTCACAAGGATTGCAAAAATACTTTACTCCCCTAGTACGTTGCCGCGTTATGCGTTTAGCATCATCAGTATCAATTTGGGAGCAGCTGTAATGAATATGCTTTTTGCAACCATCACACTGTACACCACAGGATTGGTATCAGTTTTATTACAATGAAAGCACAAATTCGCTACTGGTGCCATGACTTCGAAGTTTTGTAGATAAAGGTAGATACTGGTAAGTTCCAAATGATTGTGTGTAACATAAAAGCCGATAAACACCAAAGGTTATCACTAGTACCTACACTTGAATTTATTGTTTACCAAGACAACTGGAGCAATATGAAGCACGTCTATACTCATACTAATAATCTAATACTCATACTCCTTTACGGCCTTACGGAACTGTGAATGCTCCTTTCCTTACCTCTTACGGAGCTATGTTGCAGCTTATTTCTTATTTCACACAGTTACATAACTCTGAATCAACAACCACATTGTGCAACTATTCCCCTTTCAACATTGAGTAATTTGAATCAATTCTTGCTTGCAGTTGTAAGTACAATAAGAATAGAGTAATAATGGCCACAGCAAACATTTCTTCATAATGAATCAGGTAATGCAACTATGGTGCTACCACTGTTCAGCAACTAAACAGCAAAATGTCCTTTATTTCTAATGGTTGTATTTCAAATCATTGCTCTGGGTAATGTAGGTGTAAAATAGTCAAAAGGGCCTAGGATGAAACATGTACTGGTTTTCGTTTCAGTTCTATTAGGAAAATATCCAAACATTAACAATGTATATGTATTGTGTAAATTCACACTAAATAATACAATAAAGTAATAAAATCACAAATTTAAAACTACTATAACAGATCACAGACTACATCAATTTGATCAACAAGTCACAAATATACAGTAAACATTTAAAATACAGTCATGTGTTTAACTCACATTTTAATAAAATTAATGAAAGTGAAAAAAATAAAATTTCAAAACTATTTACAGATTATATCAACAGGCACTAACTTTTGAAAATTACCTGAACTTATCATGGTGGAAAAATCAAACTTAAAACTCCAAAAAATATTTGATAACAATTAGGAGGAACCCCAATGCTCTGCGCGCCACAGTAAAAGGAACATATTTTGTTTGTTAATAATAGAAAAAGATGTTGTTGCAGTAGGACTTTGAATTGTATTTCCAATATTAATAGATACATCAGTATATCTGGTTAACAAACTACGATAACCGCGACCAATTGTAGCTAATAAGGGGGTATTATCACTATTTTCCTTGCTACTCTTATTCATTATTAATGGAACTATCGCACGCACTTCTTCTTCAAATGGTCTAAATACCGTTATGGGACGCAAAGACGAACGTTCTGCAATTATAATACAGCCCCAACTTGTTCCAATATACAACTCTGAATTTAATATTGCCAAACTCGTAACCTTAAATATATTAATTAGTTTTCTTTAGGAAATGTGTAACTTTCTAACCTGACAGTTGGTGGGACTTAAATGTTCCTCAATGGCGATGGATTTTAAACTTTCGGAACATGGAACCAGTTTGGAACAGTCCAACTTGTTCACAACATCGCGACTTTTTATTCTCCATTGATATACAATGCATCCAGGTGACACGTACGAATAAATGGAATTCTCATTTGCAATAAGATTTAAGACGTTTGCGGATTCAATTACTGATTGAAAATGGTTTATAATTTCGTGATTCGTCACAATGTGATCTTTAATGCTATATATTGAAATTTGCCCATGAGATTGACCACACCACAGCTCGCAAACACTGAAACAAAAGTCACTTAATTACAGTAAAAATCGATATGATGGTCAGGTAACTCAACTTGATCTTAAATTAAAGTACAATCTTCTAATTAAAAAACGAATAAATATACATACGTTCCTTCCTCTTTAAACGTTGCACATAAAGAGTACAGAGTAAATGTTGATCCTAATTCGGTCATAACAAAGCTGCCTTCTTCTGACGTTGGGGTACTTGGAATGGCTTCGGTATTTAACAAAAACAATCTTCCATTTGATAAGCCGCAAGCGACTCTTTTCAATGTTGGTAAATACAGTAAGCTGCTAATGCTACTGTTGTTGGAACTTTCCAAAGCATAGGAAAACACTTTATACCCTTCAGTTACTCTGAAAAGAACACAGAATTGTTACTTGTTGCTTATTAAATTTGTGCTTGCACAGGTGCATTTTATTTACGTTTTGTCTTTGTTAAGGTATTTCAAAGTAGCATTGGGTACGCTTTTTTTCAATTTCAAAAAATAACTATAAATAAGAAAGTTGACATTGCACAGTTTGAGCATGCGCACATCTGATTTTTACAGTCTGCGATATGCTTGTCTTTACCAGAAGCAGCTGTCAAGAGTTTTTGGACGGACAGAAAAAGTGGCCATGGAAAATTAATATTTTAGAATTTCAATTCCATTAAGTCATTATTAGCAGGTTTTTGTTTCCTCTATGGTAAATTAAAACAAGCATTAAATCTGCAAGGCCATACAGGGTTACGCCAATATCAGTTTTGATGAGCGACCTTTATGCCGACTTGAGGAATTCCAATTAGCAATGAGTCTTACTGAACTATCGACTTTAAAAATTGCAATTAACAGTAGCTAAATAAAAGTGGTGCCTATACAACATCCGATTAAGTCACAAGGGGTCTCAAAAGAAGCGCTCTACATAATTTAAATTTTAAGACCAATTACAGTTTTTTAAGACGTCCGCAGGCCGCACAATTAATTAAAGAAGTTTTAATTTTTGGAGAGTTTTAATAGTATATTATATATCTATACTCTGTTATTATTAAAGTAGTTAGAGCGCCTAGGTAAAAGTAACAAGAAGTTGGTGAAAATTTGGTCACTTATTCTCTGAGAGACGCACTTTCTAATGGTCAAGAAAAAAGTGTTCCTATGTGCCGTTTCTGAGATATTTGACAGTAAAAACAGGGTATTTTAACATGGGCTCTTATGGACAGACTCAGTTTTTCTGAGCTAGCGAATGTTTTTGTATCAAGACTTAAATGAGATGGGTCTCATTAGAAGCGAAATTTTGTGACGAATCTAAATATGCACGGAAAAGTACATGTTCATGATGAAATAAGGAAGATATTTACCGCCAGAGCGGCGTCTGCTCTGACGCGGCAGCACGCTATGCAGCACGCGTTTAAATATGATGACTTTTCCACTAGGTCTAGTATATAGCTGAGCTAGGACAATCTTTTCCTTCTTCTGCTGAGCACTTTTCTTCACAAAAGGCATGGTGTCTTTCAGAAAGAACACCAAAACCAGCGATATTTATAAAGGCCTGCACACGTCTTGTTGACACACTGATCGGATCGAGATCAAGATAGCGGCTGGGGATTTCTGGCGCCAACATCGAAAAACCAAATCCACTACACCGACTTCACGTAAAACGCCAAATTGTTTAGTTTCCCGGCTTTGACATACGTCTCGCATACGTTTTGATTAAAAATATATTCGTTTAGGATTTACCGCTTACACTGTGAATGTTAGTCGCGGTGTGTCGTCAACATTTAGTGTGCAAAGGTTTGAAACAGGGTCGAAAAGTAAGGAGGAGACTAGTCAAGTTGACTACTGTATATACCTTTTTAAAAATCATGTAAGACGTTTGCATTGTGCTGAGGTACAAAATACCACTCATACCGTATTTCTAATTATGTTTCCTTCATAACAACATTTTTTTGGGGACGTTTACCGTAAGTAATAGGTAGGCCGAGTACATGACTTGACTTCAGCCGAACGCGCTCTAACCACAGCATACCCAGAACAGCATGAAAACTCACTAGCGCGGGAAAATTTTGCGCAACTAATCGCGCATCCTGCCATCTTGGTATAGATTTATCATGGGCGTAGTCAATTTGTTGTTTGCGCGATTCATTATTTCGTTCTTCTCTTATATATATGATTTCGTTCCTAGCAGTGGCGTAGTAATTTTATTTACATACTTTCCACCTCTCCACAAGTGAAATATTCACACCCTTGCAAACACTTTCCATTGCAATATGTTTTAAAACTTTACATTCGGACCAGATTGTTTTATACACTAAAAATTATAAATAGGAATTTTAAAACAAATAACACTCAAAAACTTATTATCTGGCGCCACCAATAAAGTTTATTCTATCTCACATTGTTATTTTTCTACCTTAAAAAAACAGTGCATCGATATACAAATCTACTACTTGATACGGTCCTGTTGATACCTATACCAAGCTGTCACCATTTATATTAAATTTTCTGAATACGGCTCTGCCTTTTATACCAATGCAAATGGCGCAAGGTCAAATTTAGAGAACAAAATTTTACAGGAGTAAGTTTTCATGCTGGTCTGGGTATGCTGTGCTCTAACTACTTTAACTAGGAAGACGGATTTAAAAACCTGATTTACACTGAAAATGTCACTAGAATCTAGTAACAAAAATAATACTCATTTTATACAGACATGTATTGTGGGTTGTGTGATGTGCTTTTCTGTCACATTTGGATAGATTTCATTATTTATGGTTTTGTTATTATTTGGTAGGAACTCCTTTATATTATGCATACATCATACTTTTAAAAGCGAATTATAATAAACAGGTAATTGATAATAGGTAATAATCCTGCATACATTTATTAGCCTTTGAAACATTATTTTGAATTGTAGTTTTAAATGTTTTATCGTTGTACTACTACACAATCCGCATTACAATTTACAACAAATGTTAAGTTATTGAACAAATTCAGAACAATATTATTAAACAGCACCGTTCACTGATTTATGTATAAGCGATTTAGTCACTGTCTTCCAAAAGTTCATTAAAACTGTCACTGTCCTCCGATCCGAGTGAAATAATTCATGGTTCTATAAGTGTATCCATTAGGCCATCCAATCTACACATCTTATTTTCTTCCTTAAGGCTCCTCTGCAGTCAATCCGCCATATTGGAAAAATAGCTAAACTTTCTTATGAAATGCTGCTTTTGTAGTTGCAGTCTAACAAATTCTCGATAGTGGATATTCTTTGCAATGATGAAAAGAACGGCGGTACTTAAAAAAAGTTGAAATATCGATCTTAGTTTTTTAGGAAGATCGATGAATAGAAAAATCGTTTTTCGTAAATAACAGCCGTTGTAACGGGAGTAGAAAAACCTACAGCACCAATTTGGAAATCCGACAGTATTTCCTACGGCGGTACTTAAAGATATTATTTCAACCTATTATGATAATGCATAACTTTTAAAAAATATGTATCGCGATCTTTAGAAAAAATCAAAACGCTAACGTAAGAATAGGCAACTCATATTGCACTATAATTCCTGAGGCGATAACTCATTACTTGAAAGGGAAAACAAAAGAAACTACCTGGCATTATCCTGCACATTGTTACGCCGTTCCTAATGATATGGATTAGATAAATTACTATATAATTAGCTAATGTTCATGAATGCTGTTGATTTGTGAATCATAATGTCGCATATTCATAAGACGAAAAGTGCACTAAATGCATATTTATTGTAGGTACATTGGAAATAATTTTTGATTTCTAAAACCTTTTCTATTCTATCAGGATGCTTCAAGAAATTTGTTTAGGAAGGTATCAAATAGTAGCCCAATTTTTAGCTAAACCCCTAGGCGGAATACGACTGTACCAGTAATTAGAAGCATTTTTGCCGCAAATTTGTTCTTGTGTAGAAATGTGGCACCGTTTTGATTTTTTGGACTAACGCATGACCACCACACAAGCGGGTAGCACAGTATCACAATTCGCAAACACTACTACTGAGTCGAGACTTAGAGAGGCAAGTGCTACTTATTTTTTCAATATAATCAGATATCAGGAATATCAAAAAAATGAAGGAACGACAAATTTCGATTTTTACAAATAAATTGGTGACAAAGTTGCGCCCAATAGTTTTCACATTCTGAGCCTACCATTTCAAAGAAATTCGATTGCACTTGTTCATTTTAACTGTTACAAAAAATGTTCCAATTCCCCTTTTTAGCTAAATTTTAAGCGGGATACGATAACTATTGGGGTTGTTCGGAAAGTCATTTCGTTTTGTGTGGTGAAAATGAAAGACGAATTTTTTAAAGTGTATAAACATTTTATTAAATTATATATTCTCTATTTTGGTCCAATACCTTTTGCCATCTTTCGGGCAGGAGATTGATTCCACGCTCATAAAACTTCTGGTCTTTGCTGGCAAAATACTGGTCCAAGTGAAATTTGACGTCTTCATTTGAGGTGAAGGTCTTCCCGTCCAAAAAATTTTGCAGAGACCGGAACAAGTAGTAGTCTGAAGGTGCCAAATCTGGAGAATATGGTGGGTGTGGTAGTACATCCCATTCAAGCTGTAAAAGCTTTTGGCGGGTTACCAAACTTGTGTGAGGTCTCGCATTATCGTGGCGGAACACTACACGTTTTCTATTGACCAATTCTGGCCTTTTCTGTTTAAGTGAATCGTTCAATGACCACAATACACTTCAGAATTAATCGTGGTATTGTCCGGTAGAAGCTCAAAAAAAACTATCCCTTTGAAATCCCACCAAACATATAGCATAACCTTTTTTTGGTGAATATCGGCCTTCGCAGTGGTTTGAGCTGGTTCACCTTTTTTACTCCATGATCTCTTCCGCTTAACATTTTTGTAAACAACCTATTTCTCGTCGCCAGTAATGATACGCTTCAAAACTGGATCATTTTCTTGACGTTTGAGAAGCAAATCACAGTCGCTCTGTAAGAACATGTGGAACCCATATGTTAAGTTTTGAAATAAAACCAAGACGTTTCACGTGATGATGAACGGTCGAATTCGATAAATGTAACCTCTCAGCAATCTCACGAGTGGTTATTTGACGGTTTGCATCTACCAATGCCTTTATTTCGTCTCCATCGGCTTCAACGGGTCTTCCAGAACGTGGTGCATCTTCAAGATCGAAATTGCCGGAACGAAATTTTGCAAACCAATTTTGGCATTGTCGTTCAGTCAGTACATCTTCTCCATACACATCGCACAATTTCCGCCTTGCCTGAACTGCATTTTTACCTTTTCGATAGTAAAAGAGTAAAATATGTCGAAAATGCTGATTTTGATTTTCCATCTTTGATAGGGCACCAAACAAAAACTATTGCAAAGAATCAAACAAAACTTTTAACATACAAGCATTACTATGTCAGCTGTCAAAATTTTAATGTTTATGCGGCTTAAGTGTAAAGTTGGCTGTGAAACAATACAATTAGGTTCTCTGTTGAAGAAAAACGAAATGACTTTCCGAACAACCTGATAATAGGCGACACTGACAATAGCTATTTGTGTATTAAGAGCGCAAAATGATATATTGTCGATTGAAAGAGACAGTTGACGCGCGACGAAGGAGCGCGGCAATCTCTTGAAATCGACAATCAATTTGCGCTCGAATTACACACAAGATTTTTTCTACAATCGAGCAGTTCACATATTTCCAGAAATTTAAATTTTTCACTCAAATCATCATAATCTTATACCCAAATTAAAGATGTCATTTACTCGTTGTCATTGGATACTCTGAGCAATGCATATTTGATTTATAGTTAATAATTGGGAGAGCGAGCGTTTTTTCTATTTTGTCGCTTATAAGCGACAAAGTGACATTCCTCGAAAAAGATGACGTTTGCGTTGTCAAATACGAGCGCAAATGCCTACTTTGGATATCGATTGTAGAAAAATTTATTTAAAAAAAAGTGTCATTGTTTTGCTCATGTCAAGTCAAGATAGTGAGACATCACGAAAATGAATATTTGTATCAAAACATGGGTGACATTTTGGGTTTTCCCGGTAATTAGTGGTGGGTAAAAAAATTCTCCCACTTTTAAAAAATTCAACTATTTATTTTTTCCGTTTGAGAATATGATGGAATCCCGCAAACTTCACATCAACTTTGCGAATATGAACTGATATCATCTCGGATTTTTCCTCTCAGAAAATAGAGGATCAACCGCGGAATCAACAAATTTTACAACTGAATTCTCAATTTAGGACAAAAAAGCGAAGTCATCTTGCTGCACATAAAATGTTCGGAAAAATTCTACATGGGTTGTGCATAAATATAAATAAGTATAACGCTAAATGTACAATTATTATTTTTTGAAAAGATAAGAATTTATTAAAAATCGGTATATGTTATACTTTTTATCATTGTAACAGAATTTTAAATGTTAGCTACCATTTTTATAAAAAAAATACATTTTTTGTTGTTGTTCACCCTTAATATATATAAGAAAATAAAGAGATTTATTTTAGGTGTTCAAAGTGCCGGTTTATTAGGTTCTACCATACCTAAGTTCTAAGTGAATTCATTCATGCACATGTCTATCTAATGACTATAAAAATCTATAAATCAGTAAAATTGATTAGAAAAAGTCACAGGAAATAAAGGGGTAATTAAAAATGTTAACAAACAATGCTAATCTAGTCCACTAATGACCTAAGAACCAGGTAATTTACAGAAGGTGTCATTATAGAAAAATTCAGTAAATGCATTGAATAAGTAATTTACTCAATAGTAAAAGAAATAGGCATTTGTGCATCTCCATTCAAATATTGTACAACTTTTCGCGAAACTTGTTTACATAATATTAGTCCTTGACCATTATACATGGTCTATTGTGTTTAACAATAAATGAAGAGAATATGCAAAACTGGAAAGGATAGAGATACATCGTTGGTCTCACCCATCTAGAGATGTGTATTGTTGGTGGTCTAACCCATTGCAATAACATTGAAATACAAATTGACTACAGAGGAGCCTTAATAACGTGTTGCAGACAATTCCGCCAGTCGTCAGACCTCACATTTGCAACAGCGTTATGACAACCAGACCGTTTCGAAGGGGCAACAATCCCAGTTGCTTTACTGGTACTTGGAGTTGAATCCATCACTAATTCCAGTACACTTAGGACGCGAAATATCAACTTTAGTTCTTAAAAGGACTGTTTTTTTTTGTTAAAATTTATGCAAATGGACTAAGAACACACAAAAACTCAAAAATAAGTGCAACAGTTAAAGCTGGATTCACATGAATACGAAATCCTAGACAAGGAAAGAGAGTCTAAGACGAAATCCGACGATACGGTCATCCGAAATGCTTATGATTGGTCAATAATTTGAAATGTGCTTGTCATTTCAAACTATTGACCAATCATAAGCATTTCGGATGACCGTATCGTCGGATTTCGTATTCATGTGAATCCAGCTTAAGGACGAGAATCGTGTCAATAGCAATTTACCTGGGTGTAAAACGGGCGCAGCGCGAGCCAATAGAAACCAAGATTTTTTGCGGGAAGTTTTAAATCCGTCTTCCTAGTTAAAAAACAGAGTATAGGGACCTTAAGGTGTGTTTTAATACCGAGGGTACAGAAGAAGCACCCGAGGGATCAGGACGCAATTTAGTCCTGTGGAATATACGCTATTTTTTGTACTCTGGTAATTAGCTATGGCAATTTCAATGTTAAAGTGCAAATTTGAAAGAAAAAATTTGATTGATTGTAGGATCAATATACCTGGTAATGTCAAATTGTGACCGTATAACACAAACTTTTAAGTTCGTGCCGTATAACGATAAATGTCAGTTTGATTTAAAGATTCTAGTTTAAAACTACGGCGTACAAATGATAGTTTAAAGCTCTGAAGAACAAGCTATAAGGAAACCACCTGCCTTCCAAATTCAAAAAGATATATAGAAAACGGTATAATAAGTGTATAATATGGTGTAAGAATAAAAATGAACATATAAAGGTAACCATTATCATTAAATTGTGTTTGACAATTCAGTGTGTACTGTCACTTTTTGTCCTGCACTTTAGTCCGTTAAATGAATGACAAAACATGTTGATTTAGTCCACGGACTACAAAAACAAATATGCCAACCGGCTCGGAATTTCCTACGTTCTCTCTCCTTATTTTGGAATTTATATATTTTTGTTTTGAGTTATGTTTTGTGTTTTCGCAAGTGACGTTTCATAACTTCTGTAATTGGGAGCTTTGCCATAAATTTTTTATACATTCACACCATTTAATGTTTGCTTTTACATTAAGTATACAGCACTGTATCTACAGCTTTTGCTTGGTCTTGCACAGTAATTTCTACCGCTGTTTTATTGCAAGGTAAGCTTTTTACTACTTCCTGTTCCATTAATTATACGAAAGGAGATATTGTTTCGGTTTCCTGCATTTGCTTTCCCGTAAATAATGCTAATAATTTGTGTTTTGTTGCTGTCATTCCCGCTAGGATGTTCGTCATAATTTTGTTTTAGTTTTTTTGCTGAATTCGTCCGATTTCTGGAGTTACCGTTTACGCTGTTTTCGCCGACATCACATCCAGGTTGCCGCCGACTGCCACTACTTTCGTCCGCTCACATGATTAAATGCCCGTTTGCACCGAAAAATTTAAGCGGGGCTTAGCTTAAGCGTAGCTTAAAATCCATGGCAACCATTGTCTCAATAATCGTTGCCATAGATTTTAAGCTACGCTTAAGCTAAGCTCCACTTAAATTAGTCGGTACAAACGGCCATAAGTGACTATAATTTGTAAATTTATTTACTTTTCTTTTAAATTAGATTGTTATCAATTAATCATTATTCCGCTTATTTAATTTCTCATGCCATTTGTGCGTGGAGTTACTACCGAAGTTCGTCACATTGTAACGTGGCCCAGACCATGCAACTCTCGTCAATACTGTGTTACAGGCGTCAATTTCAGAAGCAGCAACAAAAGCGCTAAGTTATCACCATATGCCGACGCTTCCGACTTTTGCGTTGGAGCGTCCTCCATCAACTCGTCGATAACGAGTTACAACCACTCGCGATTCAACACTTCACACACTTGTAGAAACACGGCAATTTACGATTCATACCAATCAAAAACCTCTGATTTGAGCGTGTCAACAGAAAAAGGCATCGTCTATAGCTTTTATACAATTTGAACTTGGACTCTTAGAAAAGATTGTATTTTTATGTTTTTGTTAAAAAATATCTACTACTTTTCAAAGTTGGCCATCCCTGGTCTATAGACAAAAAGGAAAATCCTCGCTGAAGTCGCCAATTAAGTCAATTTTTCATTGATGTTCAGCTATAAATAACTTTCAGTAAGACTTAGTTGCTACAGCACCTATGGTTGTCCACCCAGACTTCCTGGAGAATTTCTCCATGACACTTGTGTATCTCAAGCACAAGAACAATTTTGACCGAGTTAAACCAACATTATCTCGTCACCATACGAGGGCTCACAGCGGGTCGTCAAGCGAGGTGACAAATTCAACAAACTTTATGTCAATGGCAAACCAGTCAAAGATTTTTTGTTAAATCGAGTTTACCGGTATACAATATTATAGGTATGTGTTATTATGAAAGAGAACAGAACTAATATTCTAAAAATAAAGCGCGTTAAGATAAGGGCGAGTGTTCAAGCATATGAGTCAACACGTTACAGTGTTGTTGGCTCTAGAAACCGTTGCAAAAGGGCATGAACAAGGCGATCTCAACTATATTTACCTATGTATAAAAAACCGAATGAAGCTACTAAGCCTGCCAAATTATTAATTTATTGTCAAATTTTATTTAATTCGTTATGAAGATATGTACCATTTTATATTATATAGTACATTTAAGAACGCAAACCTGTTATCTCTTTCTGAGTTAAGTGGCAAAACAGCATTGAATATTCTTTCAAACTAAATTTCGCTTATTTACTTGATGCTTAAAATGCATTATCATTATTATTATTATTATAACTGTGTATAAAAAATAGCTGTGTTACAAAGCCGCATGCAAAGCTTGTTTATTTCGAGATTGCTGCTTAGAAGTAAAATAAAATAAATGATATATACAAATTACAGATCAAATTATTTTTAATTATAAGCCATACTTACGAGTACGCGTGTATTTGGCCGACACAATCACCTATCCACATATAATTCCCTACTGTACAAACTGATGTTGGTCGTATAGGTAACACCATACTATGGTGTTGTAGCCATCCTCGATTCGAAGCCAGTAATAAATCCACTCGCGAATTGGCACACATCAGCCACATTTCAGAACCAAATAACCCATCCTCTACAAATTAAGTAATAAACACAAGCACAAAAATTTTGAAAAACAATAGGCTACATTTATTTTAACAAGCCCCTTTAAATAATGTAATTATAATATATATGTTTACTAAATTTTGTTTTATATGAGTTTTTAAAACCATTTGCAAAAAAAGAGAACAGATACTCACCTGTAATATGTGAAACTGGAGCACTAGCAGATGCAGTAACCACCGCCGCATGTTTCAAAGACGCTACATCACTTAAATGTATAAATTCAGGTGCAGTCGCAATTGATACAATTTGACTTGCGGACGGACGATCTTTTGGTTGCTGTGACCAACAAAGCACCATCAAATCCAAACAGTAACTGGGGTACAACGTTTCTCGGTAAGAAAGTGGTGGTCTACCACCTTCTAGAATACACTCCTTTACAGACTCGTGCCCTTCAAATGGTTGATGCAGTGTTAGTAATTCATATATAAACATTCCAAACGAGAAACAATCGACTTTTTCTGTATATTCCTCTTCACCATTGTAACGCATTATTTCAGGTGCCATAAAACCTTCAGTGCCACCGAATCCTTTTGTTCCAGAGGGCAAAGTCAGACGACTTATACCTGAAGTTTTAAAGTAGTAGCATATCACTTACAAGTTACTAATATCTATGTACCATAATCAGCTACTTTAATATGAATCGCATGTTCAGGATGATCAACAAAGGGTGGGGGCATCTCCCAAACGAGTACATTTTCCGATTTCAAATCTCTGTAAATAATGTGCTGGCGATGAAGATATTCAATGGCTTTTGCGACCTACACACAGACAAGCCTTAACACACTAAATCACTTGTATACAAATGCTTACTTGCAAAATAATCGACTGCAAAGCATAAGGTCCTACTTTAGCCCCAGATCTTCGATAATGACGCAGTACTAAATCTAAGGCCCCTTTTGGAGCCAAATCAAGAACTAAAGCTAAAGGACTATTGCAAACTCCAACAAATGGGACGATATTAGGATGGCGTAAAGATAATAATATATTCAACTCTTGCCGTGCTGTACAATACGCTTTACAAGCATATTGCAATGGATCTCTATCCCATTTTCCTTGCGCTGCTTTATAAGCAATAACGGCAGATTGTCTTGCATTTGGCCCTGGATGTACAGGTTGTAACATCTTCATTGCAACATCAATAACTAAATTTGTGCCACGATTTTTGCAAGTCCCTTTAAAAACGAAACCAAAAGCGCCACGACCAAGTAGGTGTCCCTTTTTAATATTTTCCGATTTGATTAAATATCGTTCGCCCAAATCCAGAAATATCTTCAAATAGTTAATTATGACAGAGAGACTGACAGAAAATACTTACAACATCCGGGGCGATCAATGACAAGCGAATATCCGAATGCGTTGGACACGTAACGCATCTGTTTCCATAGGCCGCTAAAATACACTCTTCCACCATCCAACTATAATTGATATGGTTTGCTAAATTATTAGACGTATCTTCGGAGTACATGTTTGGATGTCCCTCAACTGAAGGCATTCTGCTGCTGTCTGTTGAATCAGGGCCAACGCCGCTATCACATTCGGATGTATACGACTCTTGGGATTTACGCACTCTGTGTTGATGATGATAAGGTGGATCATGAAAATCCTGTAACAAACCAATTTTAATTATTTAAAAAGTGAAGTTTCCGAAAGCTGTCAAGGAGGGTTTTGTGTGTGCCTTTTTATGGAAAATCTTGTACGACCAGATTATTTGAATTAGTGAAAAAAAAACTAAGTAACTTAAAAAAAATTTTATTTTTAATTATCGACAACCTGCGTGTGGGGTACTATGTCCAAACAAACTTTGTAAGCTTTTCTTTTTTTGAGGGATTTGGTTCTAACTGTTTCATGTGTTTCGAAATAAATTTTTGTTGTCAATTAATTAATTGTGGTTATTCGAATCCTTTGTGCGACGCAAATAGTTTTCATGTCAGATTTTTTATTGTTGCTCAAGATTTATTTCAGGTGTTGATCAATATTTGTGTAATAAATTCTTTGGAATTGGAAGTTGATCTAAGCTCTCAAGTTGAAAAATTTAAATTCTAAGTTTCAATTTTGATTCGTCTTGAGCTAACTGGACAGGTGCTTTATGGGTGGCGTAGTGACCACACCCAATGGCGTGGGTGGCGCAATTACACGCAGCAATATTAATTGATACACTTACCTCCAACATTTGTTTTTGAGAATAATCAAAAAGATCACCGTGCAAGTCATTCTCCGAAACAAAAGACAAACATTTTGGACAAGGCACTAGTCTAGTAATTAAAAATTTTCCCTCCGATGTATGTACAAATCGTGTGCCTAAGGTGGGATACCAATCTTCTAAGAGTATATCAATATGATCAACAGCAAGAGCCAGAAGCTGGGCAGTGGATTCGGTGGTGCATTCGACTACCAATTCACTTTGAAGTTTGCCTTTAGAAAGGCTACCATTTTCATTTTGCATTGGCTTAATCACTAAAGAGTCAACAGGAAAATATATTTCCAAAATGGAGGTATTATGTAAATCGACATCGCACCAGACACCATCTTGCTTTAATCTAAACCTAGAAAACAACAAATAAATAAAACAATGCAAATTCCAACTTACTTCAGCTGTCTGTAATACGATCCTGATGTGCTCAAAATTTCACGTATTCTAAATAAAGTGCTGTCTCCGTATTTCAACTGTAAACCTGTTTGCCACAAAACCCATTCTGCTTTTAACTCTAATATTTTTGCAATCTCCGGATCTTGCGCTATGTCTTTGGGTAAAATAAAGAATGATCTAATTATATCTATGATTGAATCATCTGCCAAAATACGTGACATCAATCGAGACCAAAATCCGGATGGAAAATATGACATCAATAATAATCTTGTAATCGATTTCCCAGATGGCTGAGACATGATTTGATATCGAGCAACTTCTGGTTCTGTTTCATCTAAAACTGTAAAGAAAAATGAGACGAATGAACAGGATAATTTTTACCTTTGGAAGCGTGCGACGTAGACGGCATATTCATTACAAATTTTCCTTTCTTACTACATTCGTTGTACAACACAGATTTGGGAGACACCATCATTTTTTTATTTCTAACAGCCCACCCACGTGACCTCAATGGTACCTTAACTTTAACAGTAGTGTGACACAAACCCGGATGTAACTGTTCTAAATATGTATCTTCCTCACATGGCAACAGTGATGGTATCAACAAAGTCCTGGAATCCCACGTTAGCGCGACCTCAAATTTATTCAGCAAATTAACTATATAATCCTTGGTGTCGAGTGAACCGATATTATTTGACTTAAATATATGCTTCAAGTCATCTAATTTCATTATACCAGTCCTTGCAAAAGGATTTATTTCTCTTATCGTAACAACATGCGCTAGCATATCACAAAGCCATTGTGGATCGAGAAAATACAAGTCCTTTAAAGTGGCGTCATCGTAATGAAGCAGCACACCTTAAAACAGAAACTGAAATTCGTGATTAAGAACACCAGAATCGATACCATTATCATGGAGGAAGAGGGTTGCTTGATGCAGTTCCGCCCAATCCCTAAACGATCGATTACATCGCAACTGCATTTCGTTAGTCACAGTAGTGCGATACTGTTCTGCAGTTAGAACAGGATCTAGATTATTTAATCGGCGCTCCATAGCAACGTGATTAACAACATCTTCTAAGGCAAGGTAAGTAGCGGGCACTTTTTGCTCCAGTAGTAGTTCTTTACTTCCTACAAAATGATTCAGTATCAGTATAATAATTAAGTCATACTGTATTAGGAATAAGTGGGAAGCCACCCCTAGTAGAGTATGAGTTCGAAAGTATTAGTAATCTGGTATGTTATTGAATGCATAGATCAAATACTATTTAAATAATGGAAGGAAAATTCAATTGGATGCTATAGACGACAGAAATTCGTCAAATGGTACATTATAGCAAATATGGAAACATTATTTTTCAGCCATCGATTACCTTATAAATTGTTTTAAAGATGAGGGGCTCAGTCGACGCAGAAATTAATGCTCTTTAACTTGTCACTTGGTATAGTTTTCGCTAAGATGCCTTGTTTAGGGATGATTACCGAAAAACTGAAGAAAGTCTGAAAATTTCATAGTTTTTGGAGCACGGTTATCCTCAACACTTGAAGGGATACAAACTCAGATTATTCGCTTTTAAGACTATGTTATGGTTTCAGAACGATTTCCAGCATTCTCCAGATCACTTTGAGGTACTCCCCCTTTCAGGTCTAATTTTACTGGACTAAAATGCATAGATACATCCCTTTGCAACTAATTTTTGAGTCTAGTATAAGGTGAAACAAAGCACCCTATTCAGTACCGAACTATCTGACAATTTTGAACACCCAGTATATATTTGCCTGTAGTTGAGTGGTTCCTTACCACAAAGGTCCGTAATAGGCACAGAAGGTGTTTTGCAACATTTCTTAAAGTGTAATTCTCCGATCGATTTAATTCCATTATTTTATGGTAATTAAGTACCTCCTAACAGACGGAACCACCCCACGTGGACGGAGCCGTCCTCCCAGGGAATCTTATACAGGGTGATTCAAATTCAAGGGCCACCATGGGGATTTCGGAAACTGTAAGAGATAGGTAGGTAGTTTAAATTTGGCAAAGTTGCGTATTTTGATCTTAACAAAATGCAGTTTTGACACTTAAAAAATTCCGCCTACTTTCGGAATATCCGGAAAAAGTCGAACCTTTGCAAAATCGTTTTTATTTTTTACTGAAGTTATTTAAAAAAATATTTTGAAATAAATGATACATTACTATGACCACTTTTGTCTCTCTACAAGATGCCATTTTTAAATTTTAAGTTTGACGTTTCGTCTCCAGTCAACCATCATCAACTTTGTTTTTTACTTTTTGTGTCATTTGATGGAGAATTTTTTTCTGATTTCAAAAATGTAAACATCACTAAATAGCACTATTAATTCGTAAAAACGCAAGAAACTACGTACGTACACTACCTAAGTCAACGTTTTCTAGGTAAAAAAGAAAATATTTTAATAATTTAAAAAAATTGTGATGTTTATATTTTTGAACTCTCTTTTGAATTCTCTCAACTGGCAGAAAAAGTAAAAATTACTTCCATAAGAAAAAACAAAGTTGATGATGGTCAACCGTAGACAAAATGTCGGATTTAAAATTTGAAACTACCATCTTGTAGAGAGAAAGAAGTGGCCATAATAATGTGTTATTCACTCAGTAAAAAATAAAAACGATTTTGCAAAATTTCGATGTTTTCCGGATATCTCCGAAAGTAGTTAGAATTTTTTAAGATTCAAAACTTAAACTACCTATCTATCTCTTACAGTTCCCGAGATCCCCATAGAATTTGAATCAGCCTGTATATAACCCCAGATGGGAGCAGCTCCCTAGATAGCCCACCCTCAGTTTGTCGCAAAATCCGCGGTTCACATATTGGGTCAAATATATCGACAAGCTCAAGGGTTCCTTAAGAGGAGACACTCTAAGCTATGTAGCAAGACAAGGTAGGTAGAAGAACCAGATTACGTTTTGATAAAACTCATTGCCAGAACTTCAAGAGAGACAAGTGAGACACACGCATGGTTTTCAATAAAACGATGTGGTTAAAAAACAACCTGTGTAAAAAAGAACAAGACACAGTTTCTCAATGCAGGTATATGACACTCATTTGTGGCAACAAGGAGGAACTCTCTGTTAAAACAGTGAAACGTTTTGAGAAGATGAAAAGCTTCAGAATATCCTTTCCAAAAAGAACCTGGGCGGGTGTATTGGCTTCTTGCTCCTAATGCTGTATACGAAAAAATCCTCTACTGAAAAAGCTCACAATGTCTCGTAAACACACTTCAAAGCCTTGACAAATCATAAGTTTGCACAGATCCGGCTTGATCTTGTGATTTGTCGCGCCACATAATTGGATAAAACACGAAAAAACATTTATTAAGCAGCAAATCAGAGCGATGCAAGCTTTTTAGGGGAGTCGATGGTGTCACATTTTTTTCTATCTATTTCGGTTGCGTGTTGGAATAAATGCGCGCGATCGTGATTTTCGTAAGAAAACTTCCATTAGTTGAAGTGTGATACACGAAGCACCAAGAAGATGATTTTATTGTGGAAGTGGTGTTTCTTTACAAACGGGAGACGGTTATAGAGTGTGTAAATTTGTTTACGCTAAATTACAGACAGCCGGAACAGTCAACCCTATTTGTTTATTTAAAGACGAAGAAGGCAATCTTAAACTTACAAATAACCCAACGTTCAATTCAGTTAAATTACGATACGCATTTTTGGAAAAAAAAAACTTTTCATGCAAAGAATCAGACCCCCCGCCGCGGTTGCAAGCCGAAAATTTTTGCCACTAGACTATTATGGCACACATTCACTCGTGACTGGGTTCACATTCCGAAATAGTTGTGGGGAAGGGTCAATTTTTGCATTAAGCGGACGCGTCTGCCGTTTGCAAATATGCTTCCCCGCCCGACCAATCAGTGACTGCAGTTCGTAAGGCTTTTTCTGCGCACTGACATTGACAAACATGGCAACCTTCGAAGAGCGTGTTACTTGTTCACTTTGTTCAAAGCAAGTAATTCTAATAAGTCTCAAAAATCATTTTGCGACGCGTCATTCTAGCGTTTCCGTATATAAGCGTAGCACATATTTCATGGTACTTGCAGAAAGTTTGAGGATACTGTAGCAGCCAAATTAAAAACATTTTCATTTGGGGGTTTCCTGAACTTGTCAGCGAGTGTTTCTGTGGCAGTTTTAGTGCGCCTAGTATCGAAAATCTTCTCACAAAGTAGTAAATTTAGTGGTCAGCTTCTAACCACCATCTGTATAGTCCAGTAAACCAGTAAACCAAAAAGATTACAAAAACATCTATAACTCTAGCCAGGAAAGATTTCCGGTCACAGCACACCTTGTGTCGATTTACAATCTTTGTTTTTATTAAGATGCGAGCGACTTCTGGCATACCATCATGCTAATGTTGAACGAAAAGTCTTTTCGTTCAATATTGACACAATACTATCCCGGAAGTCGCTCACAAGTTTAGAAAAACATAGATTGTAAACCAGGATCAAGTGTTCTATGACCGGCAATCTTTCCTGGCGAGAGGTTTATATTTAGAACATTGTGGAGGAGGGACTGCTATCATAGAAGAGTGAGCAAAATGTCTACAACAAAAAATTATGAACGTGAGTGATTAATGCACCTTCCATCCCAACTTCGGCAATAAATTTAATGTTACAGAAAACACAGTCATTTAGAAAAAAAAATTTCCAAACCAACCCACCACTAGATCAATTATCAACCATATTCATCATCAAATTAGCAAAATTTCCCTGACCGCAGAGGTCGCCTTCTCACTATACCACAACTCTAATCTCAACCCTATGACTGTCTTAAGCATATGGCCTGAAGATGTTAGATGTAACAAAACTAGGTGTGCTTTATTTAGACCACGAAACAATTTTCCAAGAATGCTACATCTTTCAATTCTGAAAATTTGAGGACAAACCTACATGTTTTTCATCACACCTTTGGAAAAGCTATCGTATCACAATCATGCAGTGCTAAAAGTATTAACGATATAAATCAATAAATAACTTACCTGGCGGGCGTAGACTGAAGACAGTGTCGTAAATTAAATTACACAACAGTTTCAAATTGTGCCTAGTTTTACAACTGATTTCAATTGTATCTAACACCCTAGGCAATCCACATTTTTCAGCGTCTACTATGTTAATAAACCTTTCCCTAATAACTTGCTGATATTCCTCAGACACATTAGGGTTTGTCTCTTGAACCACATCATAATGCGTACCAACAATTATCACAGGAGAGTTAGGTGCTCTCGCTTGAATGTTTACCAGCCATTGTAGTATTTCATTGATGCCCTTATGGCCGTCTATTATACGCCATACGACAAGATATAAACTTCGTTTTGACAAAAAGTACTGATGCGTAGCGTAATATCTATGAAAGAAAACAATGAGCCCCTTTTAAAGTGGGATCATAAAGCTTACTCCTTTTGGCCCCCAAAATCCCAAGTTCTAAATATAACTGGACCATGGATAGATTGGTTTCGAATTTTCTTTTCATATATCCAATCACCAATGTCTACGCCCACAGTAGACATGTTCATACCTCTTGATGTTTTGACGTTTATATTTTTATTTCCCATACGCTTAGCCCAGTGCTAAAAGGTTAGCATGTATCAACAACATTTTATTTCGATTACAGCTTTGAAAAATGTGGTATCAATTCAAATTTTGACGTATCAAATTTTTACAATAAAAGCAGTAAGAAGAGAGAGGGTTTCTCAATACCAACTATGAGCAGGCCCATTACGTAGCCCTATCTGTAAAAAAGTAACTAAAAAGTACTGAAAAAATCCCCTCCCCTCCTTGAATTAGGCAGAGTTCAATAAATGGATACATGGGCGTGAGTGAGCTTTTCTGTTTTTTTGTAATGAAGGATCTGTACATACTGCATCCGCCTTAAAATACGTTCAAAATTCAACACTGGAGGAAAATGCAGAGGGTCAATTTAATAGTCAAAGAGAACACAAGTTCTCCACGTTTAATGTCATGACTGCTAAGACAATGGTCATTCATACAGCAGATGCTTGCCGAACTAAAAATTTCAAGCTACAAGAATGGTCGAACGTTGACGGCTCATCAGGACCTATACGGACTTGAGAAAAAGTATAGTTAGATTATGAGTTTCTAATGAATAAAAATTAATTTCTGACCACTTTTGTTCTCCGACTAAGAGCTACAATTGGAATATTTTTTTCACATTTTCAATGACTAAGTTTGGCTTTCATGCAAAACTTCATGCTCTCCATGAGAAAGATATACAGCATGGTACAAAGATTCTGATTATTCGTCGTGATGGTATGAAAACTTACTTCTGTCGGTTTTTTACGTGATATCCCTTCTTGGCGCAACTGATCTAATAAACTGGTTTTGCCTATTCCCTGAACGCCAACGATCATCAACTTCATTCGCGCATAAGGTCTGGCATCCTCAAGCACCGACTTTAAATAACCGATAATATCCATTGTTTTATACTTTTTACTTTCGATCATAGATTTTAGTGGTTCTTGTAAAGAGCAACCACGCGTGTTTAAGTTCCAAAGGCGTGACAATAGGCCCATTTGAGGTGGTAACTCGGTAATACCTAAAGAATGGTACTATACCCAATATTCGAATAGAAGATGTCTTGCCTGTGTTTCCGCTGATGTTTAGTACAGATAAGTTGTTTAATTCGTAAATGTTAACTGGGATTTCTTTTAATTTATTGTTGGTAACATCAAGCATAGATATGTTGGGAAACATTAGACGAGCTTTGGCCGTAAGTACACTCTAAAAATTAAATGTAAATGCTCAATGTAGGTAAGCGTTAAAAAAACTGTACCCGTTCACTATCTTCATCCTCAACAAAATCACCATCGTCATCGGTAGCCAATTGAATTCGTGTCAAATGATTGTCTGCCAATATTAGCGTTCTCAAATTATCCAAACGTAGGTGTCGTCGATGTGAACAAACCGATTGAAGTACCATATTCCGAATAGATTGACCAGACTGTCTGTGAACTTTAAATTACCTAAATTTATTTGAATATATTCCATATTACAGAATACCATTTCCAAGTGATGACAATTTATCCTTATTGCCGCTTCCACAGTAACATGCCAAATTGGCCAACTCCATTGTATCATGTGCTTCCACTTGAGGCAAACTGGGCCAGCAGGTGATCTGATTGTGACTGAGGTCAAGTTGTTTTAAAGAACTTGGATAGCTAGTAATATGAGACATCGATCGCAGCGTATTAAATGCCATGTTTAACCTGGTCAGGTTAACCGCCAGACATGGAAGAACAACAGGTATACTCGTAAAGAGGTTATGAGCTAAATTCAATGCTGATAATTGTGACGCTTTCTCCATAGTTGATTCATCGTTATGCAAAATTTGTTCAGTAACTTCAACACTTTTACTCCAAATGTGATGTTTAACCAAATCCATTTGCCTAGAAACTTGAATTAAAAATATAGTTAACGTTTAACAACTTTTACCGAAGACATTTGTCCTTTTTCCTATATCTCACTGATTGTATGAAGTCGTCAGAATCACTCTCAAAATCCGAATGTATATCAGATTCTACATCAGCTTCTGCATAGATCGACAGTTGACTATCACTTGAACTAACACTCAGTCTATCAGCTTCTTCCTTGGGATTCTGAAACATATGTTCAAAAAATAACTGCTGAATACAGATTACAAATAAAATAAGAAAAGAGAATGTGCAATGCAAATGAAACAGGAACAAGAAGTAAAATAAAGGTAGATATGTAAGACTGGAAAAGGATAAAGTTAAAAGGAACACAGTACTCATGATGAGGAAAGGATCCTGACTCAAAAGTAATTCTTGATTTTCTTAAATGTGTGTGATTCACACATTGATTAGGTGGTAAACCCAAAAAAGAAATTAAAACGAAGTCCCCAAAAGAAGTTTTTACTTTCTTAGAAAAGACGCGAACTTCTTAGCCTACTTCTTCGTGTAATTGATAGCGCTGGGATTTAAATATTTGTTTTGTGAATTTTCGCTTTGGTTTCATGCAAGAAAGAAATAACAGGAATTCCATTGTGGTAGAGTTTGTTGTACTACAAAGATAATAAGTAAAATAGAACTCAAACAATAAATGATGGGAAGGAATGGAAATGAACAGAAAAGCAGACTGTCTTCCGCCTCTAAGGTAGATACACTTATGATAAAGCAACAAAAATGTAATGCCAATCAAATGAAACATTAAGAGTGAAAACTTACATCAGCAGGACTACTAGGTAATTCCTTTAGCAGATTAAATGCACAGTTCAGTTCTTTTAATTTGGGAGCTTGCCACATATTATACGGCAAATGTTGCAGTTTGTTATTCGATGCAACAATTGTAACTAGAGCAGGTAGCTTAAATATAGCCTCCGGAATGTGATCCAATCTATTGTCTTGTATGTATAATTCTTCTAGTACAGGACATCCGTAACACAAATCGTCTTTGCCTCCCTTTTTCCTACGATTGTTTTTCTTCGGTGACTCCATCGGTACAGGTAATTTTTCAATCTTATTCTGAGCTACGTTTAAGTACTTCAAACTGTATAATTGGAATACTGATAAAGGTAGCGACGTTAAGCTGTTGTTCGATATGTCCAATCGAGTTATGGCATATAGAGCTATATCGTAACTGCGAGGATTTTGTTTCAACTTCTGATTTAAATGCAATGCGGCATCGGTGAGCCACTGAGATCGTATCTGTGATAAATGGCAACGTTGATTATGCCAATTAATCATAGTAGGGGTATTGGGAAACAAAGAACTATAAGTGAGCTGGGTAACATTTGAAAATATTGAAAATTGTGGCGAATTTATGCTTTCAGTCATCGCTTTCTTATTAATTTTATATTCTGGATCGGGATGCGCCTATAAAAGTAAAAGTAAAATTTATATACGGATAAACGAGTCTCTTACTTTCACAGACAGTAATTTTGCAATCAATGTTTCATCCTTATTTTGAACTGTAAGAGATATTGCCTTACATTCGTCGTCTCTCGCACCAAATTTTAATAACAAATCAACTAATGGAACGTCACGATTGCGGCACGCTTCTACTAAAGCCGTTGATTGACTATAATTTAGTTCTTCTGCAGAACAACAGTTCATATTCTGAAATAACCATAAAGAAAAAAAAATGCAAACTCCAACTTGGTAACTGTTAAGGCATGGAAATGTATTTATTTGGAAATTGTATAAACATGTTGTAGAAACCTCTGAATCATAAAACACTTTTGAATGTGGGATTTTTCAAAGGTAAGTTTGAAAAGACAGTCAGTCTATATAATGGTAAAGTTCTTGTTGCAGAAGAAAGTTAGTGAGTATTTAAGAGTTATAATACATCGTTATAAAAGTGAGTGTTTTAATTCAAGTTAAGCAAAAGCATTGTTCACGTTTACGAAGAAACCACCACCAAAAAATGATTGTAATTACATCAAAGCCAGTTTATGTAAACGAGAAAGAAGCGAAGTTTCAAAAACATTTTCAATTGATTTGAAGGGAATCGTAGTATTGCCAGTTGCTAAAGGTGATTAAACTTTAAGGTAATTAGAATTTTCTTTTAATTTTAACTTGTTTCAATCGAAGCATGTAGGTACGTGGTATTTGTGATCTGGCCCTGAGTGCCTATTTAAATTTCAGATTTATTGATTGAATTTGTCAAATAAATTTGTTTTGTCTGTAAATGATTAGGTTTGTGTTTAATCGAGCCCACATTACGACCCAGGCTATAAAAGTTCTCATGATAAATTTTTTATTCGTGCCCATGATTATGTCAGATGCTAATTCAAAATTTGTTAAATCATTCTTTGTAATTGTGGAAGTGACCAAGGCTGCTGTATTTCCCAATTTACCAAAATTGAAGTTTTATCGAGATTTTTCATGATATCACATGCTGAATGTGCCTTGAGAAATTTTATACCCGAGTTACCTGGACAGATGTTTATGCGAGTGGTTTAGTGCATGTATGCAATATGTTTTTCCTGTGAATATAGTGCAGGTGAATCAGTTATAATAACTAATGGGCTTAGCTGCTACAATTAAAAAATTAGAATGAATTTTTTCAAGAGCCACAACCCACTATTTTATGTGATACAACCTAATATCGCAATACAGCATCGTCCACTTTCCAAAATTACACTTCCATCCCCCACAGTTTGTGAACCCTGTCTTTATAAGCAATACTAACATAAAAAATATCAATATCGTCATTAATATCGTGGTAACTTCTAATAATTATATTCGGATTTGCGCCAAAATTTAAAAGTGCAAGAACAATGTCATAATGTTTTCCTTTAACTGCCGCATGTAACGCCGTTTCTGTATTATTATTACAGTACATGTCAATCTTCAATGGACAAACCATCGATGAATTGTTATCGCTCTAAAAAAAATTTTAAATAATTGTTAGCAATTACTTTAAATGTAGTACATCAGATGCTCGATCAAAAGAACTTCCCGTTGACAAACTCAGTTTAGACATAATTGATTGAATTCCATCAGAAATACGCCGACCAGTGGGACTAACTAAATTTTGTACTTCTGAACTCGGCGTTGTTTCGTCGTCTTCCTCCTTTAAATCACTCATAAAATTAGTTTTACTTAGGAAACCTCCCTTACTTCTTTAATTCTAGCAGCCTTTACTTTAAATTTTAAAATCATATCTAACAATTTTTTATTTCCTAATAAGCAAGCGACATAAAGTATATTTTGTCCAGTCGCATCTCTTTCGTTAATATCAAACGGCATATAATACTCCCATTTACCAGTTGTGTCCCTAAAAATAAGTTTTTGTTAGTTGACAATATGACACAAATACAAAAAATTATCAAAGTCCTCGTTTGAGATCGAAGGGACTTCAGCGCATTTTTGTGTGGCAGATCAGTATTCTATTAGCCACTTTCGACTCAACCATCAATAACAGATCTTGTCAAAGGCTACTACATTCATTAACCGCTTCCCACTTTCCGCGTGCACCCGCAATTCGCTTTTAAAGATTTGACTCCACCATCAGTAAGATCGTGTCGGGGGCTACCACATTCCCTTTGACGGTACCCCCTTCCGACGTCCCGTTCACCCGCAATTCGCGTTTGAAGATTTGACTCCACCATCAGTGAAATCGTGTCGCGGGCTACCACATTCTCTTTTACGGTACCCACTTCCCACGTCCCGTTCACCCGCAATTTGCGTTTGAAGATTTGACTCCACCATCAGTAAGATCGTGTCGCGGACTACCACTTTCTCTTTGACGGTACCCACTTCCGACGTCCCGTTCACCCGCAATTCGCGTTTGAAGGTTTGACTCCACCATCAGTGAAATCGTGTCGCGGGCTACCACATTCTCTTTTACGGTACCCACTTCCGACGTCCCGTTCACTCGCAATTCACTTCTATTGGCGACACGAGAAAGAGAGACAGCGATTCGAGATTTACGAAACGTTAAACCGCGTGAGTTCGCAACGGAAGGTAAAAGGCGCCCTAAGTTAACTACTTCTCGAAGACGCGAGCGCGCGACTCGCAAAAGGTCGCTAATTTCGCCCCTAGGACAAAAAACAAAATTCCGCCACGCAGGAGTTGTGCGCGTTTACAACATCTTTCCGACGACACCAATTTCAAAAGAATCGGACCAAAACTGTAGTAGAAGATAGAAAAAAACTGAAAAACCTTCACGTTAGTATACTACGCTCGAGGATGACGCCCAGATGTCGCCAACCCCACATCATGTAGCCATGTCCCTAAGGTTGACAAATTTCACGGCCCCGTAGATACACGTACACCCGTTGCCTTTCTACAAGAGTTCTTCTACGCGCCCACATTTGCTGCCAGCCAGCCAGCCAGCCAGCCAAAGTGAGATTAAAAGCTACTTTTTACAAATAAATTTGCAAAAATGCGCTAAAAACACCAGGAACCATAAACAGGGATAAAGTAAATTCAACGGTATATAAACATGTGATATGTATATATTATGAAACCAGTTTTAAGAGACACTATTAACAGCGAAACTACAGATTTACACAGCAGATGGACAGGTGAGAAACTGTGACAAGATTGCAAACAGGATTTCAGAGGGTTGCCGTGGACTGAGGGATAGTGAGGCTCAGGAATTAGAGAATAGAGGTGAATTTTCTAAGCTCCACTATGCCAAAACAGTCCAATGGTTTCATTAGTTATATTGTTCGTGTAAGTTTGTGTGCATACAACAAATTGTACAAATTGTATTGAGAGCCGCTGACTCTTAGGTAGTTGAAAGCTATTGTCCTATTATTTTTAAGTTTCCATAAGGTTTGTTTTTAGTAGCTTTCGCCCGCATGGAACGGGTTTTTACATTGCATTTCAGGTACATATTCAATACAACTATCGGTCGCGGTATAAATGACATTTGATTTAAGACTTAATGACTTATGTTACATTGCTCAGCGTATGGACTATAGATCTCTGAGGCACATGCTTTGGAGTGGGTAAAAGTGAGTGTGATCATATGCTCTATGTCCGTCATGTTTTGTCCAATTTATTATTGAGCTGATTAATTTAACTGGGTCGGTAGCTTTTGCTATGGTTACAATAATATTGTAACAATTGTTTCCAGCAAAGCGACGCCCTCTTCCTGGTTTCCAGATTAATTTCTACTAACCCAGTGTATTTCTAGGTAGGTACTTAAGTTTCGACAAAAGGAATTGTGATTCATTAACTCCTGTTCATCCATCTAAGGTTTCTTATAATTCATCACATATTTCGAGAAGTAAGAGAGCACCGACAAAGAGAAAATGAAAAGTGTAAAGGAGGGATCCGTTGGTAAGATAAAACATTCAACAACATTCGACAAGCCACATTGTACTGCATTTAAAATCATTAATGTGCTCTCTCTGCACATGGTATGCCACAATTTATACTTGTTATGCAATTTTAACCATAGTGAAACCCACATGTCAAGAACTTGGATCGAATCTGCGCCAACCTAGGTTTATAACGAACTCATCACAGCTTCCGCATTGATTATGAACTAACAACAATAATTTTGTAGTAATTAAACTACCACCCTCACTGACTAATTTTATAGAAGATAATTTATTGGCTCACTTTTACCATTTCCGCACCCATATATGGGGGTAGGTTAAATTTTGTTTTCATCACAGGAAAAAGTTCATTGTTGTAGTTGTTGTTGGCCGGCTTGTTAGCAAAATTTAATGGGATAAATTGCGTCAATATTTGGAAGCATATTGCTTGCCACTTGGAGACGATACCTATTAATTTTCGGACCAGTAAGCCATATCCTTCTGCGCATCTGCGCATGCGCAGAAGTAATTTTCTGGACAGATCCTGCTAAAATTTTAACAGTAGCACCTTTTAATAATGCCAAATCAATTTATTATATTAAGCATGTGACTACTTACTGAAATTTTATCAGTGCTCCCTTTTATTCATATGACCCCATGTGTAAAGTGCACTCTAGACATCCGTACTTCTTTAGTATTCGACATTAATGAAAACTCTACTTTTTGTTTCCTAATTTACAGAAACATTTAGTATTCTTTACTCGTGCATTTAATTATAATTTTGATCCTTGATCTGGTAGTGTTGATAATAAAATTTTAACTGTGATATAGTGGTACTCGATTTAATCCCTTTCAAAATTTCTTTTACTATCAAAATAACGCCACTTACCTGAACTTCCTGAGGACATGTGAAGGATATAAAAAATGAAATAACATATCTAAAACTCCTAAATGACCATTAATTGAACAAGCATGGATTGGTAACCAGCGCTCAACTGTATGTTGCTAAAAATTAAAAAATAAAAACTGGGCACAAATTAGTATACTAAATAGGCAATGCCTTGGCAAGTTAGTCCTTTTTTGCGTGTTAATAAACAATGAAACATTTTTTTACCTTATAAAACCAACTTTAATTTGAACATTTTTGTTTTTATTAATCATCTATCACTATACATTATACAAGGCATATCATAAACAATAGTTTGTATCCATAAATATTCTCATTCTTGGATAACCGTGAAAAGCTTTAAGCATGTATGATGATAAACAAAAGTTGTTTTGCAAAAACCCTTGAAATGACGGCATGGTTTTATGGCAAATGATAGTGAAACCAAGGTGAAGACTATAACAAATAACTTGCCAAGCCATCCGCCACGCCAATGTGGCAAACCTCATTTACCTGTACTAATTCCGGAAATTGCAAGAGCAACATTTCGACTATATGCTTGTGACCATGGTAACATGCTATGTACAACGGAGAGTATTTCGTTACAGGATGATACCTTCCATCACCACCATTATTCAAAAGTATTTTTACAATATCCTTATTTCCGGTCTGTGCAGCACTAAACAAATTTAACAGTAAATCAATGTAAGGCAATTATTCAAATGGAAACAATACATGAATAGTAGAGTGTTTGCTCCACTAGGTGCCATATTTATTATTAACTCCGCATCTTTTGCCAGAGATGTAACCAACTGTTGTACGGAACTTGAATCACCTTGAATAACAGCATCTCGGAGCGCTGCATGAATATCCAATCTTGCTTTTTCTCGAGCATCTGGAAAAATATCACAATTAATTTTTAATATATTTTTCGTTAAGAAACGAGTTCAACATTTTAATGTGACAATGTATTACAGTGCATGACATTTTATATATCTAACCAAATGGCTTTATTTATTTATTTATTATCCCTCTCTTGTTCTGGCCCTCAACAGGCTTGCGCCCAATTACAGAATGACCCGCATCATGCTTTTTAGAGGTGCCTCTGCAGAAGGTCTTAAGTTGTTCTATACTACTCCGGTATTTACCTTACTAATTAGGAAAACTGCCGGTCTAAGGTAATTCCCATCTCTGCCACAGATGAAAAATTCACCCGACCTCCGTATTTATAGTCAAACGCTCTACCACTGAACCATAATTTAAATATTATTAGCATTATATATGTAATTATTAAAATGATAAATAGTGTCTACACCTGTTTACCGCGAAACAAATAATACAAAACGCCAAAAAAAATTTATAAAAAAACTTTACGAAATCATGGTTCAAATATGTGCGATTGCTTGTAATCCTACCTGCTTAACTCTTTTCGGCTTGCACAGTGTGTCCTATTTTGATGGAGCCTGCAGTATATCTCAGCTGTTTTTGAAGATACAGTCTTGCGGTTTTCGCGACCGGGTACCACTTTTTTGTGAAATTGAATACCACACGACCGATACCCCTTTTATGAAAACAATCTGCGCGTCGGAGTGCGGCGCGACGAAGCACCTTTTTCGCTCACTTTGATTTCATACGCCGCGTCGCGCTTCGCACCAGTGAGCATTTGCCTAATTAAATCATTGTGAGGAAAAAAAGCGCTTCATCGCACCGCCCTCCGTCGCGCGTAACCGCGTATGTGTATGTGTCCTTAACAGTCACGACCCATGTTGGGAAACCGATCAGGGTTTTAATCGGGTTTTAATAACTTAGTCATTTAGCGGTTGTGGATAAAATCTTGTATTTGACTCGTGTATATTTAGTTCTTTATCCAAGCATGTGATAAATAAATAGATATTTGTTATATCATTTAAAAATAAAACTAGAATTATTAGTACGAGCAGATATTTCAGTCCTAGTTGTGCAACTACCTGTTACAAAGAGTTCGGTATCTCCTGAAGTAGTATAGGAACACAAACAGGCTATTTATGTAGACAAAAGAAAATAAGTGCGGCCGTTAGCTGTGGTAACGGTGCTGCGCACGAATAATAAATATAGTATAATAAAAAATAATAATAATATAATAAATACAAGCATTTTTATGGTTAAAGCGCGGATCTCAAAGGAATATCTTTATAATAGAAAAGTTGACAATGTACGCATGCGCAGATTTATCACAAAGATTTTTCTTGGATCAGGTGCTAGAGTACAACAAAAAATTTGCTGCGACTAGCAAAAGTAGCAGATACCACCTGCGCATGCGCGTTCTGTCTAAAAGCTGTACCAAATTTGATTCCAATCGGTTCAGCCGGTTAAATAAGAGTACAGGCGAACAGACAAACGGACCGACAAACCAATATCATCGAGTTTTTGTTTGATTCGGATTCCTGGTGCTTCAAAACGTGTACTTGGGGTCAAAAAAGTGGGTGGTCATTTTTTTACCTCTATGCAATGCCTCCCTTACGAAAGTGCGGGTGGTAAAAATGTACTAAACATTGTAGGAACAGTTAAGGTCTCGGACGGACGCACAGAGATAGTAACTGCAATAGCACATCAATTTAAGAACAAAAGCTTTTGTTGACGAAATGATTTCGGTGCGAATACGATACAAAACAATGTGCATAGCCTTCCATATGGAGCCGCCAAAAAGATCTGAAGTTAGCAGTACGCGGCCAAAAATTGCTAAAAATTACATTTCCTCTCCCGCACCGATTTGGTGTACAGGGTTATTCCGTATCGTATAATATCGCCAGTGAATATAAGCAAACAAATGATTATCGCAAAGTTAGTAAGAAATGCAAATTTAGTAAATATTTAATGGAGCGCCCTATATATTTTTTAACATTGAATAAATTTCTTTCTGATTTCAAAAATATATTATACGTTGACATTTGCTTTAACTATTTTTGAATAAACATCCTGAGTTTATTAGCAGCATGTTGCTTAAATTGGATAAAGAGTAGGTACAGAAAATGTATTGGAAGTAGTGCTGTGCAAGAAAAACTATTAATCGCGATTAATTGCCGACCGATAAATTTAAAAAAAATTATGGTTTAATCGATAAATTAGTCAATTAAAAGTAGTGCTTTCCAAAAAACGATTAATCGATAACTTATCGTCAATTATCGATTAATAGATAATGGATTAATTTTTTAAAATTGGACTAATCGATAATTTATCGAAAATTATTGAAAAATGTATCGATTAATTGTGATTTTAAAGGATTGGTCGATAAATCGATAATCTACTGATTAATCTTACATAAGAATTGGACACTTATAAAATATTATCACAATTCACAACCTACTATACGCTGGTTGACGTGAATTAGATACTATTATGCTTAATACCGTTTCTGTTAAAAACCATGGTGTAATAAAAATTAAAAACTAATAATTTTGAGGTTATTGAAGGACGTACCAAATTTTTGAGGATTATTGTCTAGTTCTAGTTGATCACCTTTGATTTCAAAAAACTACGGAATACCTATATGTAGTTGTTTTAATATTTTTCAAAACATCCTGTTTTTATTTAAATTATCAATATCAATACCAAATCACCAAAATTGTTAAAGAGTGTACGCATTGAGAATATATTTATATCGATATAGGATTTAGGAAAAAGTATCCATAGTTTTCTCTCGATAATTATCGCTATTCGATTAATCAATAACAATCAGAGATCGACAATTTTCGACGGATGTCAATAATAATCTATTATTATCGACAATTAAGGATTATTATTATCAATAGTTATCGATAATTGTCGTTTCCTAGCTTTTTTTGGTGGAACGCAGGAAGTGGAAAATCGGAAAACATCCTAGTTCCCAGTTCAATGCGGTTTCATTTGAGGGGGTGTTATAGTGTCTGGTGCAGTCTGGTGATGGTAAAATAAGCCAAGGTGGACAGTTGGAAAATGCGTTATCAACGTAAAATTTGTCTTGTCTATCGATTTCATTCTTCACATGACATGACATAGGTACTAAGTAACCGGTTCTTATATAGGGTAAAATGTCGTTCTCTTGTTGGAGTGCGATGGCATTCCCCGACCCTACTATAAATATTAATTGGTCCGTTGTAAATGAAATAAAAGAATATCATTTTGCTGTTTTACAAATAAATTGGTCATTACTTACACTTACAGTATCTAAATGAAACTAAACAAATTTTGTTACATCCCTAAATGGAAAATAACAGAAGTACTTGCCTTTTACAAAATTTGCACTAAGATCACGGACAAAGTAATCACACGCTTCAATTGCAACTTCAGGAGAACACCTCGTCTTTTTTCTTTTAAACATATTGCCGCAATTCTTGATTGTAAATATGTAGATACAAAAATTTCAAATTTTAAGATTTAATTACTTATTAAAAAATATATTTCGATTCTTTGGACCCTTAATTAATTACACCCCACCAGCACACAATAAAATTCTGCAAACAATATTTAAACAAAAACAAAAACGGCCGGCATTTAAGACCTCTCCCTTTAAAAGGACGTGAATAGCAAAGGAGGGTGCAACACTAAAATCAATACTGCGTAGACGAAAGGTTATAAATACGGCAATTTACAACGAAATTAAATACTTTCCATAAATACGTTACTTGTGGTTATGAAAACTAGTTCCTTACAATATAAAGTATCAGTAACTTACTTTATTAATTTAATCAGTTTAATATCCTGGCGTCGTGAGTTCCAAATTATTAAACTTCCTGTGTAGCAATATTACGATCAAATAAGCAAGAATGAGCACTAATATTGCGGTAAAAACACATCTTGCCATTGCAAGTTTGTTCATTGGTAAAATGTGATTATTCAATTTACAGTTTAACTGCTCAATACGGGATAGGTGAGCCACTGCATTGTTGAGGATTAATGGGTAGGTATTTGAAATGAACTGAGCTTGATTTTGTAAAGGAGTCTTGACATTTACTTAAAAAGTTACATGTTTGCCCTATTGGAATGAAGTCGAACATTTTGTTTAACAGAAATGAAAATGACATTATAATAGGTTGTAAAGAACAATTACTTTGTAAACATAGTCACACGCGGTTCATTTAACACTCCTTATCTTACATTACATCCTCATTACATCAATTGACGTAACTAGGATAATATAATAGGTATTGTAAACGATCTTCGATTAATTTCCTAATTAGCAACGCAGTGGTATCTGGTATCTATATGGTAAAATTACAATAGTGCGACCAGAGGCGTTCTGGTAGCTAAAATGACAATGGGAACGACATAATTTTCTACCTTGTAGCTATTGCGGATCGCTCAACCCTTTACGCCCATCCCCATTGTCATGCGTTAAGAGGAAATATATAAGTTGTCACAAATAAGTATTAAGTACTTATGCCAAAGAAGCGAATACTAAAATAATCATTTTTTTCGAATAAGCCGATGACCTAAAATTTATAGTTTATGAGCAAAAGTCCCAAAATTTGCGTTTCTTTTTTAATTTTTTTCTCAGAAACAGTCACCTGCAGCTTAACCTGCATTTTGCGATATGTCCTTTCTGACCTTGGAAAAATATTTCTAAAATTCCTATAAGATGGTACGGGGTTGCGCGAAAAATTTCGATTTCGGCAAAAGTCGGTTATGAAGATTTCTCAGCGTGAAAATAACGAACCCAAAGACACTTTTTCGAAAAATTAATTGTAATTCTTAGTCGGATCAACAAATTCATTAAAATTTGGTGGATACACGATCTATGTAAGAACAAAATGTGCAACCGTTTCTTCCTACGATCATCGAAATCACCTAAAAAAGTTGTCGCACATTCACAAATGAAATGTCTACCTACCTACCAAAGGCCAGCCTTTGAGTGTGTGGCGCCGTTCAGTTGAAGCTGGACTGTAGTGCTAAGGGTTCCTGGTTCGAATTCGGGTTCGGGCATGGATATTTGTAAATGTATAGTGGGTTGTGTTGGTAGAGCGGCCTTGGTTGAAATCCCGTCCACTCAAAAATAAAGGCAAATAAATAAATACGAGTAAATAACACGTCTGAGCGGTTTAGTGTTTCATTTGCATTTTTTTTTAATATTCAATGTAAGTTTCATCGAGAACAGAATTTTTTTCCGGGTCGGAATAAGAATTTTTTAAAAATGTTAGGAAAATCAACGACATACTCAAAAACCTACGCAAATCTGTTAATTCCATCCTCCCATGTATGATAGTTGCTGGGAAAAAAATTAAAAAATACAAATTTTGGGATTCCCAAATGAAACATTTTGAACCCTCACCGGTGTATGACTTGTATGAGTCTTTAGTATGAATTTAGAAAAAACTTTGAAAAGAAAGGAAGCAATAAGAAACGAGAAACGAACGAGAATTTTCAAGAAGATTTATAGAAAAACTACTAAATAAAGATTTGAATGATTTAAAAAAAAATTGGATAGTTGAAATTTCATAGGAAGTTTGTTAAAAAGGTTTGCAAATAGTTTTTAAAAATCCGATACAACTGAATACCGAACGTTCCTCGAGATCTTCACACATACATAAGGGGTTGATTCTGTCCCACCAGATCAGCATGGCTTGTAAAACGAACTTTTGAATCGGCGTTAGTTTGCATGCGCAAAACAAATTTTTTGATTCGGCTGTAGTTTTACTTTTATTTGAGGTGCCTACATACAAAATTTCATGCAATTCGGTTCGTAACTAACGGAGATGTAAAAAATCGGATTGCGCATGCGCAAACCAAATTTTTTGATTCACAAAGTTATCGTGCACACGGACAGACAGATAGACGGACAGACAGACAGCAATACAAAATTATAAACGATCTCGATCGTTAATAAAATTCCTATTAGGATTTCTAAGACATTTAACGATTTCCTAAAATTACAGGTTAATAAAAAAATTTATCGGGTAGGGTCTAGGGTAAAGTGGTCTACTTGGTAGAGCAGTAGAGTACAAACTCGAAATAACAAAATCATTTTTCCAAAAATGTTTCGAAAAGATTTCTAATCTCTTATTTCTAACATTCCTCAAGCGTTGGAGGAACATTTTGAAAATAGTGTCTAAAATTTCTCAAACTACTCCTAAGATTGCTAAAAAAAATTTCACGGTTCCCACGAATATAGAAAATTATAAACACGCTGTCTACGAGATTCTAAGAAGCCTTTTAATTCTTAAAAATGACCTAAAAATTGAGTATGAATAGCTTCTATTCCTTGTTTTTTCTGTATTTAAAAAAATAAATGAGATATTAAAAACGAATTGTGCTATTTTTAACGCATTTTTTAGGAATCAAAAAAAGTGTGCTATTGTTTGCGTTTTGTCTGTCCGGACCCACTTCTACCGTTTTGAACGACTTCTAAGGGAATGGTCCTAGAGTCCTGGAATTTTTTGCAGTAGGTAGCCTATACCTTGCAGGTGTGCTAGACGGCCATCCAATTTCGCTGTCTAAAAGGGGGGCCTCCCCACGAATTATTTCCTGAGATGCTGTTTTTGAAAGTAAAACGTGCATAACTTTTACATACGACAACCAATTGGTCTCAGATTTTGCATACGCATGCCTTTAGTTAAACTTTAGGAAATTTGGGGGAGGGGGGGATTAACGTTCAGAGGGGGGGGGGGGGTAAACGCATGTTCTACCCTTCATGGTATTCTAATGAAAGGTCTCATTGAAATAAATTGGTTTGTACAAACTATAACTTTCCCGTTCGACTCTTTTTCGAGATCAGTGAGCGACGGGGCCTGAGCGGGAGGGGGGGGGGGGTTAAAAATTAATTGTATCCCTCATTGTATTCTAATTAAAGGTCTCAACAAAAGGAACCGTTTTCTACCAACTACTGCCCTTCTTTCTGTCCAAACACAGCCCTCCTCCTCGACCTCTTATCGTGATCGGGTATATTCCCTTATACCTCAAGAATGGAATGTCGGAAGAGGGTACTCACAAAGGGCGATTGAGACGTCTGCAAGAAATATAACCATTGGTGATGTCAAAACAAAAGCTATTTCGGTTAAAAAAATGTACTTTATCTGCACAAGAGTTGTACACAATTTATACTTGTTTGAAATTGCGCAGTTGCTGAGTTACTATTTAAAGAAATGACCAAGAGCGCAATCGAATTTTCTTGGAAACAGAAGCGAAAATATAAAAACAGTTTCTCTACATTTCCTAAGGGGATATTGAAATTGGGATATTCTATACAGTATATCTCGTCCGCAGACCGCAATCATAAAAAAGATTGGAGTGTATTTAAGATATTCCCTCTGCTCAGGACAGTATGTTTCGCCGTTTTCCCAACGAAGTTGATAACGAAGCTTTTGCACTAGCAGCATAAGAAGAAAGAAAGCAACCTACTTACATTGGTTTCCTTCCATACCTAACACTTGAATCATTAATCATGGCAGAACTCGTTATTGAGATATAAAACATGTATATGTTACGGTAAATGTAATTAATGCGGCAATTATTCATTCATCACCTGTAAATGTGATAAATTTCTGGTGCATTTCCTTTTAAAACTTTAGGGGAAGGGCGAAGCGAAACTACTGCCATTTACGAAACTAAGATAATGAAGTTTTTAAAAAATCATTCTGGGGGTTCTTAAAAAAAATTCCCTCAATTATTGACATTGACCGATTATAATGAATAATCGCCGCATTAATCACTTTTACTATAACATAAGTATACATTGTATAGGTACATCAATGAATGCAGAGAACCTTTAGCTCGAGCTCCACTCTGCAGTGTATTTCAGTATTATTTCAACCAGGATTTCAACAGATTTAGCATGGTAAGATAGTTGCTCAAACAAAATAAATTGGATAAGAATTTCCAGAGAGTATTTGCGAACTGCTCCGTATTACCTTTGGATAGATTTCTAGGGGGAATCGGAAGATTTCCAACAAAATATCAGAAGTCCTGTCCGAGGATATCCATGGAGATCCGAGGATATTGAAGGAAATCCAAGGATATCCAGTGAATTAATGAATGTCCAAAGATATCTCGTAGATTTCTGAGGATGGATGAAGTTGTCTGGCGGACATCCATATCATCAAATAATATACAGTAGAAAAAGACATATTCAAAAATTATGGTGCATCATCATGTTGAAACCAACAGTTTCCAACTTTTTGTTTTTTTGGGTCCCGGACATTGTTGTATTCGTAATTAATAATAGCAATAAGAAGTGTTTTTTTGTATATGTTCAAATAACATCAGAAATAAATAAAAACAAAATCAGCAAATTTCGATTTTTCTGGCATACCTTCGAAAGAAGATCTGAATTTTTTATACCACTTTTGTATCTTCTATGGTTTCGGAGATCCCCAACCTACCTTGGACACTGTGTAACTATACAATTTTCCTCACAATTATAAAAAGGGGTTTTCAAGAATATATGTACCATTCCTAACAAGGTGTTCAAACATATTTCTAGTAAAATTCCTAGGATAATCAATTTTGAAGAATGTTTTAAAAAGTCTACATTTTTTCAAATATTATGCTTAAAAAATAGATAATTTTGCGTTTGTCAGTCATCATATTACCTCACCTTGATAAAAACAATAGTTTTTTCCCTAACAATTAGCGAACAAACTTTATTTCAATTTTATTAAATATACCGGCTATTTAAACCTCAAAAGGGAAAACCACAGATAATAGTGAAAAAAATACTTCCCCTAATGAGGTAATGTATACCCATGTGTATAACTGCCTCTGCCAATAATAAAGTGCCACTCCTCAATTTATTTAGCTTTGTTTTATAACTTACGATTTACCTTAAAATACTATTACATAAACTTACATATGCAAAAGTGTTAAAATTTGCTTTATTCAAAACTCGTTTTCTCTCCAAATTGAAAAACTTTTCTTCTTTTATTTTAATTGTCTGAAAAATCTCAGAATTTAACAAAACATTTTTCATAAGTGGAAGGAATATCCCCTTCAACTAATTATTTAAATTCTAAGATTTTTCTCAAGTTTTTTTCGGAATTATAGCATCTAAGATTTTTTTCTTCTTACATTATTATTAAAGCTGCGTTGAAATTGACTTACCTGCCGCCTCCTTTAAAAGATTCATACAATTAATATGTCCAGCTTTGTCGGCTAAATCGGAGGCAGTCATTCCATTTGCATCGCGCAACAGCATGTTCGTGTTGTGTTGCAAAAGCACGCTGACATTACTAACATGTCCGTGCTCCGCACTTAGATGTAATGGCGTCTAAAGGACAAACTTCGAGCATTTAATTAATAATATAAATAATACTCACCTTATTCTCTCCTCGGGGACCGCACTGAATATTAGAGTCGGCACCAACATTTAACAATATTTGTAAACATTGCGAACACTCTGTGATGGCCGCGGCGTGCAAAGGAGTTCTGCCCCAGCTATCCTGAGAGTTAATGAATGACTGTTGCCCTCCGTCTAACAAATCTTCTAACAATTCTGTATTGTCCCAAAGTGCAGCCTATATTATGATAACACATGAGAATTTACAAAAAAAAATTAATCAAGTACCTGATGAAGCAGTCTTCCTGGAAAATCTTCATCTTCGGGAGAAGAGTCTAACATTTTTAGCAATATAGGTTTCTTATATCATCTTATGTTTCTTCAATTGTTTATAATTATTGTTGACAATTGCACTGACAACTGACAGTCTGAGGACACCCAATTGCTTTGTTGATTTTTGTTTTGCGAGTAGCCAACCTACAAATTTTAAAAGGTAATACAAAATTTCCGTTTAAAAAGATGAATATCTGCCGCTTATTTTTTTTTAAAGTACAGGGATGATTATTTTACTAATTCCAATGCGTTTTTGGATACAACTTTGCCCCGTTTAAAAAGGCACATTATGCTTAATTGATAGTATTGTGGCAGCCGTGTGAATTCCTTTGCGTGGCGGGTTGCATAAAAGTTACAAATTCTTTAAATTCTTGTTTTGGGTTTAACAAATGAAACACATTTTTCGAGTTTTATTTAATTCCTAGTGCCTTTTGGTTTAATTATTCAACCAAATGCAGTGCCTATTTTTACGGTGATCATGAAGAAATGAAGGTAACAACTTAAACAGTTACTGTAACCAAAGTATTATTAAATACACATTTTTATAGCTTTGATTCAAATCTCTAGTATAATGGATGAGGCTGCCGCTTTGCCCCATGGGCCCCCGATGAATTTACTTCCACCGACACCAGCCGGTCTCGAAAGTCTGTACTCACTATGCCGCAAAATCTATCCGGATCAGCCAAATCCGTTACAAGTGACTGCTCTCCTTAAATACTGGTATACCTAATCGTAATTACAATTATTCTTATTACTTTTCCCGTTTTAATTAGGTATGAAAATTCTTAATTTAAGTACTTTATGTTAAGTTAAAAATAGATTGCACTCCCTATTTACTGTTCTAACTTCCTGTCTAGTGGAAATGTTCTTTTTTTATCCCAACCAATAATTACTTTGAAGTCTAAATTAGGGGCTATAGAGAAAACTATCGATTCCATGAAAGTAGTAATTGCCTTTGGTGCCTTAATTGTAGTAGTTCACTTCTTTTCTTTTAAAATCACATACAGGGTGTTCCTTCTTGTATAGTAATTTGGATTTAAACATTTTTTTTAAATTATACAGCACTTGTATATGTCACTTATTTCATTTGCATGTCTAAAAATAGCTACATTTTTTTTAAATATGTAATTTTCATCGATGGATAATTCAAAAACTAAATCTCAGTACAGTGCTCCTAAAGTCATTGCAGTTATCGTTAAAATGTTTGTATGTAATTTCTAATAATTTTGAGTTTACTTCCTGAAATTTCGTGAAAATACCCACTCACTCACATTCACTCTCGCGCAGTTCACTTAAAAAACAAACGCGGAAATTAAATATTGAAACAACATGTGTGTTACATTACATTTTGGAATATAAGATATTTCAGCAGCAACAATAAATTCCTGTAAACGTTTGGTTATAATAATAGCTGTGTATGCATGTGCGTTTGGAAAAATTCAAGAAAAGTTCCAACAAAATTCTAAAAAATTCCAAAAAGATTCTAAACAATGCTAAAGAAATTCTACATAAAAAGTAAAATTTTAGATAATTGGACTCTCAATAATATGACATACTTTAAGGTAATTTTTATAATCTGGCAGTTATGAAAGAAACTGTTTTTTTTAATTAGCGACTACAGTTGGCGAACTATTTGAACACCTTTTATAAATAGAAATATCTAAATATCTACTAGATGATAAATCATGAATATTTTTGAAAAACAAAGGGTGTTTTAGTAAATGATATGAAACCATTGCGCTCTAATTAATAAAACACGGTACATTTTTGATAGAAACTTTACACGAAATTTTAACAGCACTGCACCCTTTCGAATTTACACACAAATTTTGCATACTTAAATTTTAGAAAGATGCTTTGAATAACGAAATCTTTCACTGAATGAAGAATAGAAATACATTTATTTATAGTGTTTCCAATTCTCGCGTCAAATTTAACTATGGCATGGGGCTCAAGTCGTAGAAATGATTGCGTGCAAATGTTGGTTCAACTAATACAGACTATTGTATAGATCTCAAATAAACTATTATTATTATTATTATTATTTTAAATCTGCAGCCTTTTCCTACCGCTGTAACTTTGTACTACAAGGGCCATCCAGAAAGTAATAGACGTTTTGAAATAAAAAATTAAGAAAGTGTAATAAACAACTTTTATTATATGTATACATTTGGAAGCTACACTCTTAGGCTATTTTTCAACACAGTCGCCATTCATATTGAGGCACTTAAGATAGCGTGGGACAAGTGTTTTGATTCAAACTGTGTATACATCCGCCGTCTGTGGGGGTGTCGGAAGCGGGTCAAAGGGAGTGTGGTAGCTCTCGACAATATCTTACTAACGGTGGAGTCAAAACTTCAAACGCGAATTCCGGGCGAACGGGATGTCGGAGGTGGGTACTGACAAAGGGAATATGGGGCCCCCGCAAAATCTTATTGATTGTGGTTAATAAAAGTACTGATCTGCCACACAAAATGCGCTGAAATCCCTTACATCTCATAGAAAGACTTTGATAATTTTTTTACTTTTTAACAATGTTCGCTTCATCCTAAAGGAGCGTAAATTTAGTTTTAATTATATTTCAGTGCACCCTGTAGTCGACTTTAGCAAAGTATTAGAATTTAACTGCCGTTCTTGTCTTTTATGACTGGTCTATACGGTACACCACGTACTGCCCATCCCGACTTAGTGCCCCCGGTGCTTCAGCGGCTCCGGCGCGCCCTCCCCCATTCAGAGCACGGTGCCACGGCACCTTTGGCACCTACCTAGTTCCGCCACTGATTTTCACTTAACACCTCCACAAATATTATTTATTTTGCAGGCTAGCTGGACCTGATCCTTTGGACTATATTTCTATGTATGCAAATCCTGGTATACCACATGAAAATATTCCACCACACTGGCATTATATAAGGTTGGTATTAGTAGTAGTATTCATTTACTGAATTTATACAGGTAATTAAACAAAGTTTGTGGCTTATAACGTCTTTATATACTGCATTAGATAAGGGCAATCACGAAACCGAATGGGCAAAGTTCAGTTGTATGGCTAAGAGAAGGTACTTACATCTGCTCTAGCACTTAACCCCAAGGAGGTAATCCTAATCACTGTATGAAATAGGTCGGTGGGTAGTGTTGCAATGTTTATGCAATGCATGCACAATATACACAACGCATTGGATTCTGGATTTCGCTAAGAGGGTGGACAGGGTCCACATGTATACCTAGGCTTCAAATTCAGGTACTTACCACTTCCATGACTGAGATGGTTCTTTGAAGGCTTCTTTCGCACGGCGACTCAAACACCCTGTAAGCTATTTTTTTAATGGTTTATAGTAGATGTATAATAATAATAGGACTTTATTGGACACAAAATATCAATATAACGAGAAGAAACAAAGAAGAAAACAAAAAAAATATGATATTTGGTATTTATTTGTCTTTTACTTAACCCAGGATAAAAGATACAAAACCTGGAATCAAAATTTAAGTAATAATTTTGACAATGTATACTGACGCTTGCAAATGCCCTAGCTTTTCGGATATTAACCATATAATAAAAAAGACGTACAATTACACGTAGAATTCAAAAATGCATTCAAATACAGGGGGTTCCTAATAAAAAAAAGTACCATTTTGGCGCCCTACTTTGTGGGCGCACCCTGTATAATTTAAAATATTTTTAAAACGTGGAGAATATTCAACCATATCATAATACAAAAGCACTCTATCTTATCTTCAAGGCATTAAGTTACTCCGCGCAATCATTGACTCACTCTGTATAATTTTGGTGGATGGTATGATAAGTAAAAACGAATTGAATACTCTACTACAGTATTTTCCCCTCACTTCCGGTTAGTGACCATATATTTCAAAATTTAAATGGTGCACCCCGAGCACCCTGTATATTTTTACATTTTTGAATTCGACAGACACCCTGTACATTGTTTTCGATAATTTATACAAAGTTGGTCAAAAGTATCAATTAAACGATAAGCTACATATAATGTAGTAATAGTATAATAGGAATAATAATAATATAATAGGAAATTAAAAAATATTGAATTCTTATTTAAGTGTAGAATAGCAAATGATTGCAATTGTTTGGAAGATATATACAGGGTGCTACAACATTCCTGGTTGAACTACTGTGGTCCTATTTAATATCCTTGGTTATTATTCATAATATCATGCGCCAAAATTTGACATTATTACAGGGGTGAACCTAGTTTGGTTTGCACACAGTAGAAGTTGGTATGTATCAGGTACGACATAGGAGTTATATGTACATGCGCAATCCTGGACGTAATGGATAAATGAAATCAGAAACAAAAATTAAGGTAGAATTTTAAAAAATCTGCATATTAGTATTTGTATTGCTATACCTTGGTATTTACCAACACAATAATAGTACTATATACACTTTGTTTCAGTTTTGGTCTATCTGATTTACATGGTGATGGCAGAGTGCACGACATTTCTGGTCCGGAGGGAATTTCAGGATATGGATTTGAACTAACCTTTAGACTAAAAAGGCAACCAGAGGAAACTGCTCCTCCAACATGGCCAGCAACATTAATGCAATCTTTAGCTAAATATGTTTTTCAATCAGGTTGTCTTTACTATATCAACAACCAACTTACTTATCTACATACCTAATCTCCAGGTAATACTCTATGTGCGGGCGATCATGTGTCCTGGCATTGCGCCTTGGATAATAGTGAATCACGAATACAACACATGCTAATGGCAACAGATGCACAACTGAAAACAACTCAAACTCCATTTGGTACAGTTGATTTTGTACAAATTGTTGGTGTCTGTGCGGACGAATTACGAGCTGCCCAGCAATGGAACGGAGATGGAATTTTGAAGATGCTCACTCAGTTACCTTTGTAAGTATAAGTAAGCGATTTGATCATGTATTAACTTATGGACTTACAGAGCAGGAGGTCCTTGGTTGATCACCGACATGAGAAGAGGAGAAAGCATATTCGAAATAGATCCTAGTGCCCATGAAGAAATAGAAAATGGATTCGAATTGGAAGGTTCAAATTTGAGTGGGGTTAGTGCGCGGTGTTCCTGGGCCGAACAAGATTGCACCAATCTGGACCTTACACTAATATCCTGCAATATTAATGTAGATAGATCGTTATATTCGGACCAGATCAAACCGTCACTAAATCTGCTTCCGCAAAACACAAACGTTGATCAAGATTACGGAAACTACAAAATAAATGATTTTAGAGACAAAGCGAGCATTTTAGAATCCACCGAATTAGTGCACATTAAAAAATTAGAATCCCTCCATTTGGTTTTCAATCTAGAAGCTGGAAGTTTACTTCCTCTTGCAATAAGGTACTGAAAATAATGATTTTAAGGCACCATTTTATAAATTTGTTACAGGGGTCGCGTCAAACATGGTCGTCACTTTACCTTCAAATCAGTACTCGGTGAAATAGCCATTACTTTAGTTGCAAACTCGGTCACAGGAACATTAGTGGATAATGAGTATCCCTATGTAGCTCAAGGATCATGGTTGCAGGTGTTAATTCCCGATGATCTTGCACTGGATATGGCCGTAACATTCCAAGTTCTTAGCACCCCGGAGAACCTCTCACTTCCTAAAGTATTTGCGTGGCCAGAGCGGAAATTGGCAATTACTATTGTTCCAGACAAAGTTTAATTACAAATTAGGAAAGAAATATATTTATGAGTAACTGTAACTTATTTAAATTATTATATTATCATTATTACGCTGTATACTGTTTTAACATGAAACCATGTAAATCTATCAGTTGTTTTTTAGTAGTTCCAGTATTTTCGTTTCATCACTACCTATGACTCCTGAATGTAGGCCTTCGGTCTTATCTGCTGAATTTAAATAGGTCTTGACTTTACGAAAGTGCTCCTGCAAAATAGAATAAAAGTATTACCTACTTTAAAAATGCTCTACATTTAACCTAATCATGTATGCAGAGTCGCTGATAAGTTTGGAAACGGTTGATTATTGGGGAAATAATACAACAAAAGTTTTGGGGTTCTTTAATATCTACTAAACAGTAATAATTTTAATTATACAGGGTTGGTCATAAACGCACGACACACCATAATTGTATTTTTTAATGAAACATCTTATATATTATTCGATATTTCAATTCTTTTCTTAATTCTTCATTCAATAAATTTTAAAAGCCGTGTTCATTTTCAAAACTAGATATCCCAGAAACAATTGAATTTAGGTACGTACATTATCTTACAAATTTTACTTAAAATTGAGAGAATTGAAATATTTAATCATCTATAGGGTGTTCCATTAAAACAAGTAAAAAAGTTTTCGCCCTAAGGCGAATAACTTCAGCGCATTTTACATGAACTGAACAGTACTTCCCTAAAGGTCATAGCTATGTGCGTTATGTTTTTCTTTACTGGAGGCATATATATGGTTAAAATTTCAAAGAAATATCTCCATAAATAAAAAACTTGGCGTTACACAGTTCGCGCATGAGTACATTTATGATTTAATTTATGCTATACGTATGCGATGTTTGTTTTTACTAGAAGCGTCTATGATTAAACTTTAGAGAGAGATCTTCATAAAAGTTGGCAGTTTGCAGTTTGATTTTCCCTATGTATGATGTGTTTGCCTTTGCTAACGACATTTGTAGTTTTCGATTTCTGCTACATGTGATGTTTTTCTTTACTAGAAGCACCTATAGTTAAAATTTCAAAGAAATGTCTTCATAAATAAAGAAGTTGGCACTGACTGCGCATGCGCACATCTAATGTTTGCAATATCGGATATGTTTGCCTTTAACAGAAGTGTCTGTAATTAAAATTTCAAAAAATATCTTGATAACTAAGACAATTAATATTGCGGATGCGCATATTACTCTGATGTTTACAATATGCAATACGTTTGCTTTTACTAAAAGCATCTTTGGTTAAAATTTCAAAGAAATATCTCTATAAATAAGAAAGTTAATATTGCGCAATCTGCCCATGCGCAGATTAATCGTCAAGATTTTCCTTGGCTCAGGTGCCAGAGCTATACGCTACCGAATGCAAAAAGAACGAACTAAATATGTTGAAAACTGTAGAAGTAGTTAAGGCCTTGGGCAGAGAATAAAATAGCGCACCAAACTTCGTTGGAAAATGCGATAAAAATGCAATTTTGGTGTGCAACGCCTTCATGATCACTCCTGTTTAATTAAAATTAGTACTGCCTAGTAAAACTTTTTTGGGTATCTTGAATTGTATATTTTCCCCGATAATTGACCGTTTCTAGACTGATCAACAACCCTGTATAACGCAAAATATGAACACTGTTGTGTGTATTAATCAAAGTCCTCCCAAAAAATGTTAAAACGGGATCCCAGTCAAAAGTCACTGAAGGTTAGTAGAAGATTGACATTCCTAAGTGCCATCAGTAGATGTAACTTCTTGCGAGTGTTATTTATTTTGTGTTAGTTAGTCTTAGTTTTTTTTATTACTTTCTTTTATATTGTTTTGAAGATATGATTACTTATACCACAGACAACATATACTTGTCTGTGCAAAGTCACTGCCTTCTAAGTTTTATGATAACTACGATATTCAATTTTTACTGGACTTCTACTTTTTTAAAAAACGACGAATTGCGGCTAAACGAACCATTTTAGATATCAGGTGTAATATATAATCACACTCAAATTGACCAAGGAATCGAAATATGTAATAATATATAGGGGTTCCATTTAATATATAATGCAACTTTGATTTCCCGACAAGGAATTTGAAATATGAGAACCCATAATCTTCCACCCACACACTAATGGCCCACCCTCTATACTTATTATATTTCTTAGCAGGTCTGTAGTCAGGCAGACAGACAGACTCACTCTGGGGGTTAATGTTGCCCAATCTAGAAAAATGTAGTGCATTACTTTTACAAAAATCATTCATAAAACAATACTATTTTTTAAATATAGTTAATGATCCATATTGACCGACAATTCGGAGCGCGTTGATATTAAATATTTCGACTTCGTTTTTGACCAAAAAAAGGAATTTTAGGGGAGACGTACATGGGCTTTGGTCGAAGTGAGTGGTAAACGTTTCGAATACCTCGTTACTGTGATGGTCTCAACTATTATGCAGGTGCTGTATTTTGCTTCTCTTATTTTTACGTTTATTGCATCCATCTAGTAATTACATGATCCTGTTAGATTATTTGGCGAATTAATGACATTCCAGTACAGCATGGGTATTGTCATTTATAGCGCATTACAAATATACATTGCTCTTTTAAAATTATGTTGATCATACTTTTAATTAAATACATAGGGATTTATATGTGATTTTCTAATTTACAGTATCGCTGTAGACAAGTGGTCCATTATTGTTAGCACTGATTTTACCCCACAACCCTCAATCAATTCCTGACCGATTTACGTGTTTTTATTTATATTTAGATACAGTATGTTCTTCTTAGGGATGATATTCAATACGAGTGTGCACAATTAAAAGATGTAATAAATATTATAGCGATTCGTGGATAGTGCTGTATTGGGAAACGTCAACACTACATTGTTATTTTATAATTGAATTTCTTGCAGCAAATTTCCTTTCTTTTACATGAATATGTTACTGTTTATTTGCAGAGGGTGCTTCATCTGGGGGCGAGTGACGTAGGTTAGGTCGTTGATTACATATTGCACTTTGCATTGAGAATTAATTAAGGACTTTATACTAATATTTTGCCATGTGTGTTATGCACCCACTATATGTATATTTGAACCGGGTAATTATGATTAATATTTGGCAGGATGACTTGTTTCAAGTATGTATTGTGCTATATCTGATTTCGATATTTAATCTTGATTTGACATAGCAGATGAAGGTGGCAAAAAGTCCTCACCTGACATACACAGAGATGTATGTTTATATTTACTGTTTTTTTGTGTCAGAAAAGAGCCATCTTGCCGATATTGCCAATCAAATCTTTTAGTCGACCCTACAAAGTATTGCGCGCAACGATCAAAAGCCTAAAAAATGGAGCCTGCAAGGGAAGACATGGAAGTGGGAGATATTCCTTGTAGCGAATACCTGCATCCATGTCCGTCCAACTTCACGTATTTTGTTAATTCACTCATTCAACATGCAATACTAAAATTGCATGGAAGTGTAGGGATTTCATTTGAAATATCTTAGACTGTTATGTACTGTACAGAACAAAAAAAATTTTATATTTTTTATGTCTAGTAAGTGTGTTGGTATCAGTTCTCTATATACTCTGAAGAGCTGCATTGCCACATCTCCTTGTATGAACTGAACCTTTTTAAGCACCTACCACATATGTATACCTAATTAGTGTAACTGTAATACTTAAAACGTTATAATTACCTCTGCCCCCTCGTAATTCATTACAGTAATGCAACTAATTGGGATAGATTTCAATGTTAAAGTACCCAACTTCCTCTTTTTTAAAGCGAAAAAACAGCTCAAATAGTTTTGTTTACATAAATTGATAATTTCCTCCACTGCCTCTTGGACGGCACCTGAAAGTTGCCCATATTATGTTAGAAACAAACTAAATAATATAACACCATTTTCTTTAGTAACGCGAATATCAGCAGCTATTATAACAACTTTTACTCTATTCAAAGTTAAGTATTTTTTTGCTTCGTGCAACCCTACAACGAATCTTCTTTTGGATTTCCCCTTGATCGGATCACGCTTATAAAGTTTTTCTTGCAATTCAACGACTCGTGCTATAAAACTGCACACACTTTCGTCGTCAGTTACAACATCTGCATTACATCTAGAATGTTTACTCGTCACCCTTTCACTGTACCCACTTTATTCTTACAGATCCTTTAGGTAGATTGTACAATTTGGTTCGGTTTCTAATTTTTCCATTAGTATGTCTCGTTTCAATTTACTGTGCTTCTTCGATTTGGGAATGTCTCTGAACTTTCCAGATTTTCGAACGGGTAGCGCAGCATCCAACGGATTACCACTATATTTCTTATTTACCCCACACTTCTGTTTTCTTACTTGGCTTGAAATAGGCGATTTATTCTGAATGAAATCTTGTAACGAAAATAAATTCTCATTGCTAAGATTACAGTGGAACAAGGAATCATGAACTCTGACTGGTTTTTTAACATGTTTCATTTGCTGTCCCAAGGAAGGGAAGTTAGCATCATCTATCTCAATATTTTCATTAGAATTCGAAGAGGTACTATTAAAACTCAATGCCTTGGCAAAATCCTCACTAATCAAGTTAAGGTTGCCTCCAATAGGATGAATTTTAAAATTCGATTTTTGTTGCTTATTCTCCTTTTGAAGTTTTTTGCGGTTATTCCTGGAAATACTATTATCTGGCAACTTGGGATGTTCAGAATGTTCACTATTCATTCTGAAATATTCTAAAAAATTGTAGCTCGTTTTTTACAAAAGAAAAAATCACATTCGAAGTAAATAAGTTCGTTAATTCATCATAACAATTTTTTACAATTTATTGACGAGGGAAAATATTTACTGATATGCATCTTAAAGGTTAGTAGGTACAAGAGTCTCTGTAGTTTAAATGTATTTGTCAAAGGACAATTAGGCTGTGTTCAGAGCAAGAAATTTTACATGCATAAATAGAAGCCGACGTGACTCTGAATAAATGCGCATACAATACTCACTATGATGTGAGACACTTTTAATTTTTAAAATACGTAATTCACTAATACATTATACAATGGTAATAGCATTGTTTAAATACTTAAACAATGGTAATAGACAATGCCTACACAGAAAATATAACTGGGGTTGTCTTTCCTCCTCCCACAAAAAAATTGTGAATATTTTTCTCATAGACATTATTCTAGATCATACACATTATTATATGAGAATATACCGATGGCGCTCAGGGTTCTCTTGTTGGCGGCATCATTGATTATACAGTGCGATCAATAATGAGTTGCTGCGCCGATTCAATAAATTATGACGTTAGCAATCATTTTCCGCAACAGGCGTGGTGCACCAATACTAAAACATAACCTTAAACTTCAAACCAAAGTAAACTTTTGACGTTTAACGATATTTAATCTAAATCAACGATTTAAGCACCTTGTTAGTTTCCAAATTATGTGAAACTACACAAATAGCAAATTACTACAAAAATTCAAACGATTTTATTTCTTTTACAACTCGTTAATATTGAAGTAAAGCATAAATTACATACACACAATAACAACTGTTCGAAGTGCTCGCCACCATTATTAAGACAGGGATCCACTCTTTTCTTCATGTTTTCGAATACAGAATGTAACGACCGTTGCGTAATGTTTCAAACGGCAGCTTTTGAGCTTTTATACTTGCTCGTAATTCGGCAATGGTGTCTAAACGGTTCCGAATACGTTGCAATCTCGTAAATTTGCATTAAACCAATTGCATGCAATAATTTAGACGGTTTTGTAAATCTGGACGACGAGTTCTTGTAACACGGTTACTTTAAAGAATAAAAGCACAATTTTCTCCAGACAGTAGTGCGACACGTTCCATATGAGATACCCGTTAGTCGTAGCGGTTTTTCGGACTTTGCTCAAGAGGTTTCTCGAAACTCCTGTATACACAAACGTATCGAGTACTGCCAAACTCAATTTTCGTCTTTAGTCCCATTACGGAAACAGAACTGCAAATGCATTTTATTCTCTCCTAAAGTAAAAAGCATGTCGGAGTAAACCTATTACCTTTTACACGCTACAACTAAAAAAACGTTTGTTTAAAATTTATAAGTAATTTACCCACCTTGTAAATATTCGAAAGAAACTGGTAGTCTTTAAAAACGCCGTTTTGAAAAGGAGGAAACTAATAAAAATTATAGGTTATGTTTTGAATTTGTACACATATATCTGGTTGCTGCAAATGATTACTATATAATGTGATATTTTATAAGAGCGGCGCAGCATATTATTATTGATCTCCCGGTACAAGTGTGTATAATCAATGGCAGTTTTAATTTTGTCGAATACGTCCATAAACGAATAGTTCAACTAAATTTTTCGTTCAAATTAACAGTAAATTTATAACCGTTTTGTACCTAACCACAAAACAAATTATTACCTTCTTTTTGAAACACATGGAATTTATCATTTAAAGTGTAGAAAGTCGATTTTCATTCCATTAATAACTACTATTTGCTACTGTATTCTGGAAAATGGTTCAAAACGTTCATGGCACTTACATTTCTGAAAAAATTAACAAAATACGTTGGAGACCTGATGCTTTCAGTTATTCTTATGCTTTTGTAACGGGAAGTTGGGACAATGACAGTCAGAACAGTATTAAACTGTGGAGGTTTGAAGAAGGAGATGACATGGATATTTTTCCATTTACCATTCAAAGTTTTCCATTTCAAGGAGACATAACAGAAATTAAAGTAAAGTTTCAAATCCCTTTGAATAATCAAAATTGTATTTTGAAATTTTTGTAGTTTATAAATCCCGATTTCTGTGTGGCATCATCGTCCATTGGTTCTTTAAGTTATTTAAAATTTACTACAGTACACAAGGGAGATACACAGATCACTCAAGAAAATCGCTGGGAGAAAATTCACAAATTTAAGAATAACGACAATAGTTCCTGCACAGGATTTGCAAGTTACAATAACGATATTGCGAGTGTTGGTGAAGATGGATGTATAAATTTACTGAATGTTGAGCACAAAAATGTTATTAGATCATTGAGTAAGATAATATCCCCAATGATTCTTAAATGTGTTACATCTTTCTAGATGAAGCTGATAGTTCTTGTTTGAATTGTGTAACATTCTTAAAGCACAGCGAAATATTAACTGGTAATTCGCGAGGACAAATGAAGATTTGGGATTTACGTTCTGAGGATGTTAAGCCCTGTAGTACTTTCATGTTAAGCCCTGATCAAGTCGCTTCTACTTGCTTAACTTACCACCCCACGCAGCGACATATAGTTATTGCAGGAGATGAAGAAGGTATAGCCAACAATCAATTTTGAGTACTTTCTTCTTTAACTTCCACATTTAGGTTCGTTAACAGTATGGGATTTGAGACAAAATACTTTCCCAGTAAATTTATTAAGTGCTCATTCAGAAAGTGTGGCTGAAATCCAATTTCACCCAGATCACCCTGACCAAATGTTTAGCTGCTCATTTTCGGGGGAATTATGGCACTGGATTACCAATAAGTCTTCCTTCCATGGAGGAAAACTGTTGGACGTGTCGGAAGTCGAAATAAATCCGTGGAGTTCCACAGATCAGGCTAAGAATAAGTTTGAAGTGTTCATGCTTATGCCAAAATTGCATAAACCAATTAATAGCATAGATTTAAACTACAACAGAGTTTTGTGCGGATGTGACAATGAAGCATTATATTTAATTGATAATATCAATATTTATAATTAGATAATTGTATTTGTATTTTTATATAATAAATTCGATGGTATAACTCAAATTTGTGTATTTTGAAGATATGAGTGGTAATTATGCTGAATAATTTAATTAATTATTAAAATTGATGTACATAATTAATATTTCTGTCTGCTTCTATTAGATGGAGAGAGCTCATGCTCACTCTTTCTGACCGATGCGTACACTACGAGCAGTTCAGCTATTTCAACTCACAAAATAAAAAATTGTCTAGCGCAGTATGCGGTGGGCAAGGGACTTTTCTTATGTCATCACTGTATGTACCTACCCACTAACATTTTTCTTACCTATCCTTTTATACCACTCGCATACTAGTAAGAGAGGTAGGTATTACCATTGAGTAATTAATCACTCAACTGTATTATGTTTGGTACAAATATTCTTAGACATAAAGGGCAGAATTGTGCATGCATAAGTGTGCGGGTGGTATCTGTGCAATCCATTACAAATTTGTTTATATAAATTTAGAGTCGAATCTATGACTTATTTGCGATTCACCAATTTTCACATAATTTGTTGTTAACCTGTTAACTTTGAATTTTCTCCACATACCCATGTAATTTTCCACATTGCACCATCTGTATACCGTGTATCCTAACCAATTGCTTTATTGTTTTGCAAACGATTATAACCTGTTTTTAGCGCATTTTCACAAAAATAAAAAAATTGCGCTATTGTGGCCACTTTGTCCGTCCGTCCAGCCGTTGGGACGCTACTTGTTCTTTATCTTAAGAGCTATTGTTCTACTTTTTTCGCTATTTGGTTCGTTATGGTGTCGAGGCTTGCACCAAGGAAGGAATTTATTGCGTTTATTGCTAAATAAGTTATTGTAAAAAAACCATTTTTTACATGTTCCATAATTTTACACTTTTACCGTTTATTAACGATCATAGAGATCGTTTATAATTTTGTATTGCTGTCTGTCGTCTGTCTGTCCGTCATGATGTTCCTATGTCTTCTGTCCATCTATCTGTCCGTGTGAACTTTGTTTACTAAATGTCCGAGCGCTTTGACATCTCCGTTAGTTATGAACTGAATTGCATAGCTTTAGCCATATATTACGCATTGCCAAAAATGTAGTCGAATCGATTCCAAATTCACAGTACCCTTTTCGTATTTCGACCATTTATAAACCGAATTACAAACTTTTTTATTTCTAAAAGTATTTAAATGAAATTTGATACATACATAGGTGCTTACAATAAAGGAAAACCAAACACCAGTTTCAAAATTTGGATTTGCGCATGCGCAGTGGCAACTCGTAGTTGGTATCCCTCTTCTATAGTCTAAAGCTATACGAGTGTCTAAAGTTTTCTCAATGAATACTAGCGCCGGCGCCGTGTTCGATCACGTGCCACTTTTCAATTTCAAATTTAAGCGGAATCTAGTTAGCTATTGAAGGGAACGGTCAACATTTTTTAACGTTGTCGTGATGATTTTATTTCCGTGTTACTGTACTGCGGAGTTGGCGTAGAATCTGTGGGTAGTAGGTAGAGTAAAGTAGGAATTATTTTTTAAAGGTTCCGTTACCGATTCCGGTTCTGTGAGTTCGGTAATGTTCAGTTCCGGTTCCAGTTTTTCGATTTTTAAGAGTTCCAACATAAATAACTAAAATCATATATTATTAAAAAATATAAATTATTATTAACTATAGTTGACCCAGAATATTTAATTCGATTTGGAATAAATAATTAAAAAATTGATTTCAAAAACATATAGAGTGGTTATTTTGATATTATTTTGTTATTTTTGATACACAACATTGTTTATAGTTTTGTTGTCTGGCGCGTAAATAAAATTGAAAGTTTTCCGACACGGATCAGGCGACATACAGTTGGTCATGTGCAAAACATGAATGTTCCAAATTGATCTCACAAACACTGCGATTGCCCTTACTGTTATATCTTTGATTATATACTACTCAAAGTGTTATATACAGTGAGTTTTTTTTAAATGCAAACATAGGAGTTTGCATGCAATGTAATTTCCCTATGTTCGATTTTTAAAAAAACACATCAATCTATGAGGTGTGCGCGGTTCACATTCCCACCAGCAAAACGCGCAACTTGCGTGGCTATGAACAGCAACTCTATAGTCTTTATGATGAAGAGCACTCGGTAAGTTTTTTTTAAAGAAGCCATGTGAGGCCATAGCAACTTTAGGATACATTTTTCTTAAACTTACGATAACTTGACCTCACAGGGCACGCGCTGACACCACAACACATTGTGAACCAACCTTCAATTATTTGTATAGGTCATGTGCACCTGGTATATTCTACTAATTTGATCTATTCAATACATAAATGAAGAAAATAAATAACGAAAACAATTACAATAAATGTTCGAAGTGTCCTCCTTGACATTCTAAGCAATAACCTAACCGATTTCGTAATTAAATTTGACGACGGTATTTTAAAAATGTGACAGCTGTCAATTGTATCTACTACTCATTTGAACTACTCAATAGATTGATGTTTTTTTTTTAAATCGAACATAGGGAAATTACATTGCATGCAAACTCCTATGTTCGCATTAAAAAAATTCACTGTATATGTAATTTTATAAACTTTATTAAGCTCAATTTACATTATACTTTTTTCGTCTAGAAACTTTGACTAGCACTTGTACTAGATGAACTTGTTAAAATTTTGACAATGTAAATCAGAAAATTCCGTCCAAGTTTCTAATCTAGAAACTAGATCTGAACTAGGTCCAGACCCATTTTCCATCCAACTTTCATACTTGTGACTTGCGCACTAGCACCAAATTAGAACAAATTCCGTGCTACCAACAACTTTATTATTTTTATACTCTTGAACATAACCTCAAATATAAGTCTCTTGAATTAGGTACATGTACATAGCAAAAATGAGTTTCTTTTGCTTGTTATTCATGTTTGTTTCCTAGCAATTTAAATTAACCTCAAAATGTACAATATTGAGATTTGTTTTCCGAAATTGGCAGCACTGCCATTGAAACACAAAAAGTCAATTGGGTACGTTCAACGAACATAGCAAAAGTTAGCAGCTGATTTAATTTTGCGGTCAGCAAATGTAGTGTGTTGAACGCTTCTAAATTTGACATTTTTAATTCAAAATTCAACATAACCTTATTACTTATATGTGTACGTGATGGATCAAATATTATTTACTTAATTTCTTGATAGCGCTAATAACCATAACCTTATATAAATACATTAATTATGAGAACGCACAATAACATAGTAATTTAAATCAAATATTACTGAAAATTCCCCATGTTGTACCACAATATTCAGAAAGCACACATATAAAACACTTTCGTTGTTCAAGGCATGTCAATTTAAAGGTTGGTACGGAATTATAGGTTACAGAGTATATAGTTCAATGGTTAAAGCAAATGTACTGTCAACAAAACTTTTAAATTGCCATGGTATCCCGCCTTTTTTACGCAGACAGCAGAAGTTAGAATTAAAAATTGATGCTGAGCATTGCGGTCAGCTAAAGTAAGCAATTGCTAACAGCGGTAGTTAGCAATGCGTTCAATAAAATTTTGCGGTCAGCAGCTAAGCCCGTTGAACGTACCCCATGCATCAAAAAGCGGTAAATTTAAATTTCTAGTATAGTGTCGAATCTAGCACAAGTTCTAGTCAAAGTTTCTAGACGAAAAAAGTATAATGTAAATTGAGCTTTACAGAAAAAACTATTAGTACATTCTGACAAAATGGAGTCTTACAATCAACTACCCTACTAAAAACTTTTAAACTAAACATTATTATCTCTACCTACATTCATATGAACTACTACTCTCCCCTCTTTTAAACAAATACACTTAAGGCCCGGTTGTACAATGTCAGTTTAAACTTCAGATTAGTTTAACCTTTGAATATAAAACTAATTTTATATTCAAAGGTTTAACTGACAGATTTCAGAAACACAATTGGGCAGCTTGTGAAATATTAGCCAATCAAATCTTTTAACCCAAAATTTAACTATAAACTGAAGTTTAAACTGAAATTGTACAACTGGGCCTTAGTTGAAATGCAGCGAACAGATTGCCCTGCCGACGGTAATGGAGACGCAGTTTTAAGCACTGATGATTTTTTATCTCAGAGCAAAGACTATTTGCTCACAGTAAGAAATATTCCTTAAGCGCGGTTTAGACGCTACGATCTTGGCTTCGATAAATCGTAACGATCTTATTGTCCAATTTATCGTTCAATAAATCGAAAAAGTGCGTACTGTTTACATGTATCGATTTCTTGTTCCAATCTCATTGTCGATCACGGTTTAATACAGTTTTTATTTTTTTACTTTTCAACTTGTCTTTTGGTTCTATCCCCTAATATAAATTATACTCGCATTTTATTGCTTACATTGCTTGCTTACAATAGAATCTTAATCTCGATTATGATTTATGAGTAGCCATGTGTGGCTAAATTTTTTTTTTGGGTGGCCAAACTTGATCGCCAGCCGCGTGTGCGCTAGAAACAGTCCAAGTAGCCCTAATGGATACAAAAATGGTTCACGTCGGCAAAATTTTACACAAATCGTAGCGATAAATCGCTGTTATAGTTTACACGTTCCAATTTATCGCTACGATTCGCAGAGATTGAAGCCGGCCGCCATCAACCATCCAATCCAACTCCAGTTCCAATAAATCGCTACAATCCTCTGTTTTAATTTAAGTACATATTTTTTTAGATGAGTGGCGATAACACTAAAAGTCCCCATCCTGGTGTAAATAAAATCTCGGTTTTTACGTTTCCCAAGGACCCTACCGTTCTTAAAGAATGGGTAAGAAAATGTTTCACATCCGGCAGCAAACTAAAATGTGCTGCGCCCTCATTGGTCAAAACGGCCAACCGATGAAAGCGTAGCGTCCCTGGCCGTAAACGTTTAAAGGCAGAGCCACGAACTCTGCAAAGTGCAACGCAATTTCTGCTTCGACTGCACTTCAAGAAACAAAAAGCTCTCCACCTGCAGAACCAGGTCGCCTTGCCAGCTGGACCTCGCGCCACACTCCATCAGTCAGAAGACCTGCATCTGGGCTCACCCCAACGACAGAGCTCGTCGTGTGCACCTCGGTTACTATTTTGTACATATGTACTATAAATATACATATTCCATAAAACGCAAAAGCATTTTATTTGGCGTCATCCGCTAAAGAATGTTTAGAGTTTTAATTCCCAAAGGCTAGGTATTGGTACATAGGGGTGGTTTTGTAGAACGCGGAATTTTATCCATTTCCACCTCTAAAATTAATTTGAATACATTTTCACAAGTCCTCGTGCAATGTAAAACAACTTACGTACCACACTCATTTTTGCAATACTTTGTTTGATTTCAAAGGTGGAAGTCGATAAACTTCCAAGATTTCCAATATAAGATCCACCCTTATATACATATACCCATATAAATCCAAAAATATACTGCAAAAACTAAATGTTTTACCCCTTTTATTAGCATTGTAACCTATGAGCAATTTTAAATATGTATTCTAGATGACGTTTTCCCGCCTTCAAAATGCAAGCATTCTATTGGTTTAGAGTTACCAGACAACCTTTGTGGTAGTCTATGAGTAGGTTTATAGGTTATGTTATTGTAAATTTTTTATTTGTGACTACAGGGAAAACTAAATATAAGTTTTTAGGGTTGTCTGTGTGACCAGAAAGCCGAAGAAGGTGATAGACTTTACTTGATTTGATTGTACTTACTAAGACAGTTCTTTTATAAACAGAATGTCTGAATATGATCGCGTCCGTACCGGAAAATTAGTTTTGAAAGGAGAGCAACAAAGGTATGCATCACTCAAATCTGCAAATGAACAATATTGGTATTACAGATCAAAAAAACGTAAACACAAACAACAGAAAAATTTGGACACACCTAAAGTGGATACAAAAGATATTGCCGACCATGGCAATTGGTGGAAGGTAACGAGTATTGAGGACATAAACGGACCAGTTGCTATAGAATTTGGCAGTCACACTTACATCAAGGCGTTAGATAATGGCTTATTTACTTTAGGTGCGCCTCACAACGAGGGCGAGGGCCCTTCGCCAGAAGAAATACTGACAGCAATTCCTGTTAACGAACGAAAGATAGCTTTAAAATCAGGTTATGGCAAATATGTAAAGGTAGAAAAAAGTGGTGTGGTCACCGGGAGGTCTGATGCAATTGGACCCATGGAACAATGGGAACCTGTTTTCGAGGTACATTATACCTACTACTAGTGTAATAGTGTTAATCAAATGGGTTACAAAGATCCGAATTTTTGCAAAATGTTTTGCTTTTTTCAAACAAATCTGTAGGATTACTCACATGTCAGATTCATATGCCAAATCAAAAAGAGGCAAAATGTTGGTACCATATGTTGCATCAATGGTATCAGCATTTAGAGTTTATTTCTCCAGTGTGGGAATATTACCAAATACTCCTGGATTTTAAGATTTAATTTTATCTTCTTTGTACTCATATCTTTGACCCCTCTGCATATTATTTTTGTTATAATTCTTAAGTTTTGAAGGAGGGAAAAATGGCACTACAAGCATGTACAGAGTGTTTTATGTCTGTTGATGTAGAAGAAGACACTGTGGTCGCCTTGAGTAAAAAGGCAAGTACAGATCAAATGATGCAAATTCGATCTCAAACAGTAAAAACTGTAAATCCCTACAAAGACGTCCCACAGGAGGAGCATGGAGATGTAAAACAAATAGAATTGAATTATGTGTAAGTATGAATGTATCTTTGCATGTAAAAATTGTTATCTCTGCGCTCTGCCGAAAACCAGAGTTTGCACCCTTATTTGCGGGAGCAAAGTGTGCGTTTACTTTTTGCGGAAGGTAAAGTAATCAAAAATTCCCTACGGGAGGTAAAGTAATTTCCATGGAAACATAAATGTGTTGGTCTGTAACCTACACTCACGCCTTTCAGAATTTAGTTAATTTTGGGTATTTGATGTCCTTATTTTTCTTCATGGCTAAGATGGCTTTTAACATCTAATACTTGCGTTGATATTAGAAATTGAATTTACAATTTTGTTTATTGTAGTTTTATCAGTATCCATTGTTGGGTTATTTCGTTGTTTAACATTAAACACGATGACATTGAGCTTCCGTTTATTTCTTTCCGACACCTCATTAATTAATTGCTCCATAATATGTGATGGCAAGGTTTTGAGACATTGGGAAGATTCATGATGACATTTAATGTGATATGCCACTCAACATCCCGAATTTGCACATATCCCTCATTTGACAATAGCTGTATTTATTTCAAGTGATTTAACTAAGTTAAATCACTTGTGACGAATACAGCTAATGGGTCAACAAAGAAAAATTCTGTCTTAAGTGTTGGTTCTAACCTTAGACCATATAGTACATGGACTGCTATTCGCCCTATGCTTTCAATACAAAATGGATGGTCACGGATAGAGGGCACTGTAGTCGTGGGTATGTGAATCTCAGGGTAAACTAAAGTCGTGTAAACACCAATAGGATCGCTTAAAGAGCAGCTTTATAGTAACCGCGTAGTACGGGAACCTTTAAATGCTCTTCATTATTTGCTATACGTCCACAAATAAGAATAAGTTTGCTTTTTTTGGGATATCTAGGCGATTAATTAATTGACGTTTGTTAATTTATAGGTTGACAGCCTCAAATCGTGTCTCATCGGACAACTTCGGACAGACTCGTTTACCCTGAAACTCACATACCCAGGCGATGTCCTTGACCATATTTTAGTTACAATTAGCAGTCCATGTACTATATGGTCTAAGGTTCTAACTCGCATGGATCGAATGTGTTGTGTTGGGACTGCTATATAATTGTCATTGGAGGTTACTTAATTGATAAGCCAGTTATTTGTAATCCTCATTATTTATGTGTTTATTCTTGTAGAAAGAAATTCCAAAAATTCCAAGACAAACGTATACGGATCAACACGGAAGACACCAAAGGATTAGAAAAGGCGAAAGAAGATGGTAGTTTACACGAAACATTGTTGGATCGAAGAAGTAAGATGAAAGCAGACAGATATTGCAAATAAAATTGCGAGTTCAACTTAAAATGTATATTGACTAAATAAACGTAAGAGTAACAAAGTAATACAAAAAGTCTGTAATTTTTAGACGTTCAGTACAGCTGTTTGTTATATCTACTAAAATAAATAATCTAAATACATTTTTATCAGTGATTATTCAACCAAGCGCATTGTAACCAAATACGTGAAACAATTAGAAAATGAACTTTTATACAATCAATTGAAGTTATGACATATACACGTAAATAAATCGACAGTTGTTTCTATTTTTATTTTAGTTGGCAACTTATTGTAATAGAGTCCGTAATTAAATCACACTACCAAACTGGAAACGTAACCTCAACTTATTGCAGCCTTAGATCTCGATGCTTTTAACCATTCTACAAATTCGTCTAACATAACTGGCCCTGGAAAAAATCAACTTTAATTTCATGACAATAAAAAACTGTGATTCAAACATCTTTTTACAGTGAAGGTGTGTTAAGAAACACTGTCGCTAGATAACTACTTAAAGCTAATTACAGACTTATACATGTATTGAAAGATGGAGTTTCAAGAGTATGACAGCAGCCTGTTTCCTCCCCAATATATTAGTATGATGTGCACATGTTATGTTACTACGCCAAAATTGACTTTAAAAACTCATGATTTGCAGATTTACTCCGTCTTTATATAAAAAAATCTTACAAATATAAGTTGCTTGATGATTTTGTTGCACAAAGTGACGTGGTATGGAGTTATAGCTACTATATACCACAGCTGACAATTGACGCTTGCAAAACGTTGCATCTCCTTCACGTGTATCATTTCAATTTAAAGAAAAACCATTGATTTTTTAACGTTTATTAATGCATAAAGGTATTTAAGGTAAGACTGTATCTTATTAATTAAACCGTTGTTGGTGTACAGATTTGAACTATCAGTGAGCTCCAAAATGGCTGACTAGTCTGCTACCTTCATCAAGTACTGTATATATACTTCACAATGCACATGGTCATGAAAAATGTATCGAATTAACATCTTGTGCATCATACCTTTATCATTTCCTGAACAAATTATTTTCTTTATTTTTTGCGTTTATTATTTCGCTCATGAGTGTTAAATTCAAATAGATTTGCCGTTAAATACATAATAAATAAGTAAATATTAAATTAATACTATGGGTAAAGCAATAATAAGCATTCAAAGTAAATAAGATCATGCGCACCGGCTGCCATTTCTACATTACTTAAATAAGCTTTTTGACTCTACTGACAAATCTATGCACTGAAAATCTGTTTAATGTGTAAAATCTTACCTTAAAAACCTATATGAATTAATAAACGTTCAAAAAATCAATGGTTTTTCTTTAAATGATAAGACATAGACAATACATGCAGGACATACAACGTTTTCCAAGGTTTAATTGTCAGTGGGCTCCAAAATGGCGGACGAGCTTATGCACTAAGCTTACAGACGAGTCAGCTGTGGTATATATATAGTAGCTATAGCCATTTTGATGACGTGATCACGAACGTACAGGGTGAGCAAATTTGGTTGTTGGTATGGGGTAACTCTCGATGTATCCTTTTGAGATAAACTCCATGTTGAAATCCAAATTGGCCTACAATCTTTTGTTTTACTATTCGCACGGAGATATTGATATGTTGGTTTTACCAATTGCTTACTTCACCTTGTCAGCAGCAGGTATTGATAAACTTTGGATTGCGTTTGGAGAAAAAATTACAGATTTATTCCAGTGAAGCTATAAGAATGGAAAAAGCTATTGCTTTACCAGGAATCCGGGCTTTCACAGTTTTTTACTAAGAACGCCCAAAAAAATAACTTGGACATGGAAGCTCTTCAAAGAAGTATTGCATAAATAGCGCTTTCCAATCTGGACAAGCAAATAAACGCACAATAGGTTTACCATCACCAAACGATTGCATGATAAATCTTGGCAGTTTAAATGGTAGGATTTACCTGAAATTTTCAATTCTTGCAAAGAACTTGTAAGATGTGTATGTAAAATCTGCAAAAACAAGTGCAGAACTGCTGAAGGGCAATTTCATATCACAATTTAGTCTTTTTTTGTTTTTGTTGTGTATCTCCCCCACTAAAATGTTAGTTACAAAGTTGTTCATTCCAAGGCAAGGAATAATATGCACTTCAAATATGCGCATATATATATGCACAAAAATAGTGATAATTATGCACCAAATATGCATCATGTTCTTTTAAAATGCACAATTTTTCCACAAATTTCCGTATTTAAAACAACAGGTTGCAACAACTTCATAATATAATTTTCAAAAAAAAATGCACAAAATATAACTAAAAACTAATTAATTTCAACTTACACTACCCTTTGATAACAACGAGAAGGAAAATGCTACTAAGTAGGTACTGCTTGGACAAATTTTAAGCAAAATTGTCCTTTATGCACAGGGAGTCGCGCAAAGCAGAATTACAATGATTCGGTTGTATCGTGTTATTTATACTTCACATGATCAGTACGGCATTCCGTACCAAAATAAAATAAACACCTTAGTCAATACTGCTCACTTCATCTCTATAGACAGAGTAGAGGTACGTACGTCATTTTGTTCTTAAATAGCAAAGATAAAAAATGATTCGAGCAATACCAGAAATTACAATTCTTGATTGAGTCACCTAATGTGTACCTTAAGTACCAAAATAAAATAAGAATTCTTATTTTGTTGGAATTTTCCTAACTTTATGCAAAAAGTGCATTTTTTCATATTCAAAAGCTACTATCCAACAAATACTTACATGCTCCGTCCACATCATAATTTGAAAGATCATTACAAATAGTTCTGGAAAATTCGAGAATATTACACCACTGGTCTTTATTAATAACTTTGTACTTTGATTGATCAAGAAACTGACTGAACTGCGAGTAAAGCGCCCAATGTTTTCCTAATAATAATTGTAACATAGCTTTTGCCGTTTCTATATCCATACTCCTTTGGTCTTTATCCTGCAAGAAACAATTAATTAAACGTGTAATCGATTTGCGAGTGGAAATAATATGATTAAATCCAACAACACCTTATACACACCCTAGCAAAATCAAAAGCATATCTATAAATGGCTTTAAAAAGATTCTGATCGTTTAAATGACTTCTTAAATATTCAAGTTTAGTTTGTAATTTTTGTATTACATCACATTGTAAATCTGTAAGACCTTTAAGCCATTCTTCTTGTGTAAAAAAGCCCATTTGTCGAGCTTGCATTTTATAAGCTAAAACTAACATGACTACATTTTCGGGTTCGACACCTATATCTTCACAAAATTTTTCCATGCCATCCGGACCCAACATATCGGGGTCATCTGGATTTGTATATTCTCTGAACCAAGCTAAACATCTTTTTTGACTAAACGATGGAATTTCTTCTACTCTAGAAAATCTTCTCGAACTGAAACAAAATGTGGTCATAAGATCTTAGAAAATTGATAAATGTACGCACTCTTTATCACCCATACAACAGTTACAAAAGTTAAGCACTTTGAATATTGTAGGTACTAAATGTAACCCACACCACTAGGCAGAAATAATTTTAACTGCATCTATAAATAGGCCAAAATGGTGCTCAAACATTTCAAACAGAAATTTAAAATTTATGCACACACACATGCTCACAAATTTTAGTTTAAAATAAATTTCTTGTCGGTTGTAAAATTATTAATTCGCGCAAATTAAAAGTTCAGACACCTTAACTAAATTTTCAGACCCACATGTTTTAAACGTTATAAATAGTGTCTGACAATGAAAGGTAAATACAGTCTTTCCCCAACAATAGCCGTTGTAAGATGTCAGTTCCTAAAATATGTACCAGACGCGCAAAAAAAGTTAAATATATGCAGCGTTTAACCACCTGTAAGTCGAGTGAAAATAATTGTGTACTTATTTATAAGTTAGTTTTCAGTATCTATTTTGGAAAGGTTCCTCTAAATATACCTCGAAACATACATTATGAATCGATAGATAATTGAATGTCAATTGTCTTGTCACACCAGAATTTCAGTCCTGTCGCTTGGTTGCACATTGTAGAAAATCATTGTTTTGTACTTACACACAAGGTGGCATTTATTCGGATAGGCATGACAATGTGCAGTTATTTCAATGAAAGCAAAACAACCAGTTGAAACACTCCATGGCGGAACCTTAGATCTGGTAGTCTACGCAAGAGTATGCCATCTGCCAGTTTGCGATTAATAAGTGAGAAAATGTCGTTTATACCATAGTACGTATTTTTCACATCATTCCTTTTTTTCTGTTTGAAACCAAGTAAAACAATGAAGGTTTGTTCATTAGGATGAATAAAATAGACATCTAGAATAGCCCGGTCGGATCAACGGTACATAACTGCTATGTTTTTGACCCTCTTGTACATAAGAAACTGGGACATTGATTCAGAAACTGGAAAAAAACTAGTAGGTGCAAACGTGAAAAATATACAGTGTATCACATACACTGTGTCCAAGATAAGGAAGTCTATCATGAGGATCTCCGAAACCATAGAAGAAACAACGATGGTCAAATTCAGAAAAAGTTGCAGAATTAAAGTTATCATGCTTTAGAGAAACCCAAAAACTTCCGATGATGTGCCAGAAAACCAAAAATTTGTCGATTTGGTTTTTATTTTTTTTGCTATTTGAGCAGTTACATAAAAATAATAAACCGATACAATGAAGTATCGAAGGAATCTCTGTATTACAATCACTTTTAATGACAATTTATTTCTTTATATCGTACATAATACATACATACAAATATGCATCAAATTCATGTCTTGATAATGCTCTTAATTCTCAGTGCAAGAATAACGATTTTGACATGTTTTGATCAAAATCCATGTAGTCGCCAAAAATAGATCAAATTCATGTTTTGGTCATTGAGCTAATGCTCTTGGTCTTTTTCCAAACTATCTTGGTGTATAAATAACGATTTTGCCTTGTTTTGATCAAAATCCACATGGTCGCCAAAAATGCATCAAATTCATGTCTTGAGCATTGAGATAATGCCCCTAGTCTTGTTGCATAAATAACGATTTTGACATATTTTGATCAAAATCCATGTGACCTCAGAAAAATAATTTAACATCTTTGAATCACACACATGCAGTTATCAAATGTGCACGTGATGTACTCTTTCAGCATTAAGATAGACATCTACATCTAGTGTGCTATAGACGTTCTGAAAACAGATTCAAATTCTCCAAAAAAAAAAGTCCCATGGAAGGTGCTAAGGGAAACTGTCCAACTCTTATGGTTGCTGAGAAAAAAATTAAAGAAATGCAAATTAAACCACTTCGAAGCACATTGGACCCTCGGTCTATTTAGAAAAAATGCTTGTTTTGATTTAGATCACCCTTTCATGGCCGTGATGGACAAAATATGGGCTACACAAGTTTCCAGCGTGACATACTCAGCTCAATAGTTGTACCAGCTAGGAATAAGCATATACACCATATCAGATGTTCATAGTCGCAGAAATGCTACCTCCAATGGACTATCCTCTGTATGTGTCAACATTATGCGGTTGTAAAGATATCTATTCAGAATCACCCCTCAAATTATTATGGCTGCAAAAACAATGATGAGAAAGTAGTTGATCACTTTGAAGTTTTCTTATCCTCTGGTGGTGTAGAGTGTGTCCTCATAACTATTCCCTTCGACCAACGAGAACATCAAATACTTATACATTATGATTGGTCGCAAATAAAAGTAATTGAAAGTATAATGTGTGGTGGTACCTACCTTCTCCAAATGTATGAAGTGCATTTTGGAGCAACACCCTCAGAAGTCCCAAAATTTAGCATCTTCTTTGATTTCTTTTCAGTAATGATATGTATTTGAGTACCCTCCTATTCCAAGAAAGTGTACTCCTGAACAGAAATGCGAGAAAAAGTTGGTACCTTTGAATGTAAAAATAATTTCGAAAATAACAAAACCAAATATAGTCTTCAAAAATTCAAAAAGAAAAAAGGTTCGTTTCAATTGCAATACTTGGTACGACGCCGAAGAAAGTGCACCATCTTGGGTAGTAATTTTGCAAATCAGAAAGGTCACACATTTAGGTTTAGCATCACGTTCCATCCTTTTATTTCTCGGTCTCGGGTTGTAGCTCCAAAAATGATACCTACATCTTGAACCTTTGGTGTATTTGAAGAAGAAATGCTTTATTCGCTGGATGGCAAAAACGTAGAAAGTCTCTTTCAAATTTTTTTTTGGATACATCCTTGAAAATGTTTCTTGAAATTCTTTTCGGGAATGTTCTTTGATACCTTAAAGCTTCAACATTTCTGCTTACTAACTTTTTAGAGGACTTCCTAGCAATCTCATTTTCAAATGTAGCAGCATAAATTGTTGATATATGAAAAAATTCAGTAGAAGACCTATGATGCAGTGTGCTGTCAGGATGCGCGTGTATCTGTTGTGTTAAGGTAGGTTCATAGCTCTCCGTTCATCCGTCAAACGGATAGTACATTTTGTTAGGGTTCATAGCAATCCGTCGACAACGTACGAAAGTAAGAAGTGCTCAGCGTGAAGGACCGTAATAGGCGAACACTGTTAATGTACCTACCAAACATAACATCCTCGATAACATCATTACAACGGAAACGTAAAAATGTTCAACTTCAACCAACTTTTGGGTCTTAAAAACTTTCCTGTCTTCTGATTGGCTAACGGACAAACGGAAACGTATGAACGGAGAGCTATGAACCCACCTTTACAGGGGAGATCGTATGGCGCGAAAGTAAATCTTCAGCACATGGGCAGCTAGATAGTTTTTTAAAAATTGAATGTCGACGAATTTTTCGATTTTTTCATATAATTATCAACCATCATTTATTTTATGTATCATATTATTTTCTTGAAAAACCTCTTCAGAATTTTATTAATACGTTCTTTAGGTTTCAAATACCTTAGTTTTTTCCGGGAATTTAGTTTAATAAAACTTCTCAAAAACATTCACATAAAAATTTTCTTGAAAGCCCTTTCAGGAATCCTTCTTTGAAATCCTTCAAATTCCCATACAAATTCTCCTAAAATGTTTTTGGAAATCTGTCTGGAAAGTTCAAAATTTAACTGGGGACCTTTCAACAGTAGAGAATCCTTTTTTGTAACCTTCCTGAAAATTCTCAATAATTTAAAGTTTTAAACCATAGAAACTTAAAAAAACATCTTAGAAATCTATTAAGAAACATTCCTGGATCTTCAGAAGATTTTTGAAAATATTTCCAGGCAAGATCTTACAAAAATGTTGTAAGATTTCTGAATTTGGACACTCCTGCAACAAGATCTTGGATATTTCTTTAGAAACGTTTTTTTAACAAACTTCAAATAAATAGCGGCCGCATTAATAGACTTTCAGTTTTTCCTACAGCTACTATAAAGTGTGTTCCAACTAGAATTGGCACTATTGATGACTTAGTATTTTTTCCTAGGATTGTAATGATAAATCAGAAGAACAGTTGAGCACTGGGTTATTGCGATATTAGATAAAGTAAATAACATTTTTTATCCACAATATACAGTGTTATGCTCGGTGTTATGTAACTCATAAGCAGTCGAAATGGGTCACATTCATCTGGATCCAGTTACCCAGTTAGAACCAAAAATCCGGTTTGTTGCATGGGAATCAAGTGCAGTGCACAAAGAATTGTTAAAACAATTAAGTAATTCAAAACATACAGTATCGCTTGTTAAAAGCAAATCTATATTAAACACGTTAAAAGCTGCGTACGCGCATGCGCAGAAGTGCCCTCTTAATGAAAGCAGAACGTTCGATTGCATTAAAAATGCCAAAAGTGGCGGATGTGCAGAAATTAACCTTTTATTTGTGGACTGATCTTAGTAGAATGTGAGAATACAATAAAGAGGTGCTAGACCATAATAAAATGCTTTCGCGCGCAAAAGTTAGCACTCATTTTATTATTACTTAATTTTTATATAAATTCTGTAAGATGTCCCCTCAAAGGCATTAAAGTTTTTAATAATAGTTTTGCACTTATCCTTAAAACAGGAAAACAGTTATAATATTACATTGCAAAATCTGAGACCAATTGATTGTCACATGTAAAAGTTATGCACGTTTTACTTTCAAAAAACAGCATCTCAGGCATCTCATGAGGGAGGGGGGGGGGGACTTAACACAGCTAAAACTGATGACCATCTGACACGCTCTCAAGCGTCAAAGTTCAAGGGTACTTCGAGGGTTCGGACAGACGGACGGACAAAACGCAAACAATAGCAAATTTTTTTTAATTCTTCAAAAATGCGCTAAAATGGTCGACTATAGGTATAGTGAACCTCACACAGGATATACTGTATGGAGTGCATGCATAGTTTTAGCACAGTTTAATCTACTTATAGTAAACTAGCAGACCTGGCAAACTTCGTACCGCCTATCAGTCAATGTCCCACTCTCGGATAAGACATAACATTGGTGTCGGCGGGCACACCTCGCCCAAAAGTCTTGCTGTTGACGGTATGGATTCTTCTAGGGCCGTAGTTGATCTTGCTTTGGCGCCATCTATTAGTTATATTGCGATTTAAAATGACGAGAAAGAGAAAGTGGGTTTTTCAATTTTTTCCATACAATTTTTTGAAAATTAACTTTTATACAAACCTTGTCCTGATAATAGCAAACAAAAGAAAAATTACCTGATTTGGTGCAGTCCTTTTGAAGTTATGCGGGTACATACAATTTCTACGTTTCATTTTTATATATAGAGATATTTAACATTTGAAATATCTGGTAGGTTAAGTAAACAAGGGCACTATAGATATGAGTAATTTATTACTAATGTTTGTCACATGGGTCATTTTTGAAAAATCTAAGATAGCTGCGCCCTCCCCCTTTCAGACTGTGCAGAACTACGAAATCTCGATACCCAAATCAGTTTCCTTTATTCTCCGAAAGTTGTCTCACTATTCTATTGTCCTAAGTTTGTTTGATCCATTAATTATGTGGGCAAACAGCACTAGTAAGGAAACATACCTAAGTAATTTGAAAATGCATCTAAATGAAAAATAATAGTTCTAACAAAGAGGTTCTAACATTATTTGGAACACGAGAACTGGCGTGGGCGCACATAGAGAAAAGGAGAGAAAATTGAGCTTTCAAGAAACTCCCATAAAACCTGTACTGTGATTATTCCAGCAAATAGATAGAACATTTATTAAAATTTATCTAGAACTCTGAAACTTAATAGATCTAAAAAATAGTATATTAAGTAACAAGGGATTAAAATGAGTTTTTGTTCCTGAGAGAAATGGTTTAAATAATATTCTTAAGGGAACAAAAAAAAGTTTAATCCAGTGTTGCTTATACTATTTTTTCCATTACCGACCCATTTAATTCCATTTTTCCATTAATTGTCCACAAAAAAACTTAAAATGAGGGATTAAAATTTCCTAGGTATTAAAATTACCTGTTAATGCACAAAAATTAGGGATTAAATTCAATAAAACAATGTAGGTATTGGAAAAAATAGTATATTAAGTATGGAGAACGGTAAGGGATTTTTACCGTTCGAAGACAATTGTTTGGAGGAGGAGCGAAGCGACGACTCCAATTATTGTCTGAGAACGGTAACCCTTAACGTTCGACGTGCTTATAACATTTTTTGCGCGATCGAAATTAAAATTATCCAACCAATATAACTATGCACTAAGAAATTAACGAGCAGAATAAATCGAAATGTTCGAAGTGGTCTGGTGTACATCACTAGGCAACCAGTTTAAATGTCAAAATTGGAATTAATAATTTCAGAAAAATGTGCATGTGTCTGATGTAGTTGACTACCTTTGCACTTCCTTTATGACTTTATGAGCGTCTTGCTATAGGAAACAACAGCACAAATTGTACGTTTAATGTACCTAACAATAATTAAAGATTAAATGTAATGTCAGACTGTTGATTTTTAAAAAGGCGTCGGTAAGTATTTTTTTGCGCGATTGGTCATTTCTGACTATTTACCATGGGTGTTTCCATGACAGTACGTAGAATTTACCAGTTGCTATGATTACGACGACGCCAAAATTACTTACCGATCTAAAAACAGAACAGCAAAAACACTTACCGACGCCTTTTTAAAAATCAACAGTCTTACATTACATTTAATCTTTAATTATTGTTAGGTACGCATTAAACGTACAATTTGTGCTGTTGTTTCCTATAGCAAGACGCTCATAAAGTCATAAAGGAAGTGCAAAGCTAGTAAACTACATCAGACACATGCACATTTTTATGAAATTATTCATTTCAATTTTGACAAGTAAACTGGTTACCTAGTGATGTACACCATACCACTTCGATCATTTCGATTTATTCTGCTCGTTAATTTCTTAGTTATTTATATTGGTTGCATAATTTTAATTTCGATCGCGCAAAAAATTTTATAAGCACGTTGAACGTTAAGGGTTACCGTTCTCATACAATAATTGGAGTCGTCGCTTCGCTCCTCCTCCAAACAATTGTCTTCGAACGGTAAAAATCCCTTACCGTTCTCCATACTTAACATACTATTGCTGTTCTGTTTTTAGATCGGTAAGTAATTTTGGCGTCGTCGTAATCATAGCAACTGGTAAATTCTACGTACTGTCATGGAAACACCCATGGTAAATAGTCAGAAATGACCGATCGCGCAAAAAAAGCATTGAAGTCGCCTTTGGAAGTTCAAGTTAAATATGATTTTTGATGTACACAAAAATTCAAAAAGTGACTGGACAGCAGCTTTTTGATCGCATAGAATTAGAAAGTTTCTTTTCTATAACAATGAGCTCATTTCACAGAGCGCATTTTAGTATTGCTGATTATAAAACATAAGAGATGTTGCTGAAATCAAATCCACTAGCAATTCGTATCAAAAAATCCATAGAAATCTCCTCTGCGAAAAAAGAAGGCTTAAAAAATCTGCAGGGATTTGGTGTTTGTGGAAATAGCTGCAAGTTTTGATTAACGCCCCTCGATGTTTAGTTACAGAATATGAACAATTAAATATACAAATTTACAAAAATGAAATGTGTTCATTTATTTGTTAAAAGAATTTCTGCCCTTCACAACTAAACAATTCTATGATAAGTAGGTATAGATGAAAAAACAACTAGGTAGAGTATTCACGTACTTACCCATTCGAATTACGTAGTCGTTTCGATGTGTGCCGATCATCGTCTGTTGAATTCATATCCGTTGATCTCCTTTTACTACGAGGCATTGCAGTATTGCCTCACCAATATGAATAATTGGTATATTTCAACCACACCTGCAAATGGTCGCAAATAAGATTGTACGATAATGAGAACTACACTACGGCTACTACTTCTCAGCAAAAAAAGTGTCTAGATATTTACCTAAAAATAATTGAGGACCTAATTTTCGTAGCCACCACTCCCAAACATGAAGAATAGGGTTATACAATAATTTTCTCCTAAATTGCGTCCCTAAACTTGACCTTTTTTTTTATTTATCCTTACAAGATAATCAATAATGTAAGGAGAACGTTTCACTGGAGATTTGTTGTAATTAACGAATTTCACTGACAACAGAAATCTTCCTTACAAAAATCTGAAAATATGATCAGCTGAGAATATTGAGTGGAATTTCCTTCAGTTGGTGATCTTTTCTAAAAAAAAGTGCAAGCAGGTCTTGGCCTTGAATTTGGGGATTTTCTTTTTGTAAGTTTCTCTTTCTGCATGTGAATTGGTGTCTATTAAACCGCTTACGGTTTTTTTTTTACTACCAAAGTTTTAAATTGAGATTCAAAAGGACACGCGTCAATAGAGGGCGCAGAACTTTATCAATATTAAAGTTCGTAGATTACTCAATGAACTCTAATGGTTATAGTTAATTGAGGTTACTAAAGTAACGCGAATAGCAGCCATTTTGGCTCCGTTTGAGAAGCGCGAAATTTGAAATTGAACAACAATTGGAAAGTAGGTATGTATAAAGTATGTATTTTGTAGTCGCTCTTGGATTGTGCGGATACTTGGATATGGAAAGTTTTGTGAGCGTATCGTTTAATAGCCTTTAACATCACAAGAAAAATATAGTTGCATCGCTTTTTCAATCGTTTCACCACTCCACATAAAAGCCTTATGTGTATCCAATTCTAAATATTTTCATTGATCTACATTATAAGTTTTCGAAAAATTGTCTTCACTTCTGCGTAATTTCTTTTTCGGTTTCTGTTGTCTTACAAAAGTGCCTAGATGCGCTTCTCTAATGAATTAATGGTAACAACAGTACTCTCCTGAATTTGAATATAAACAAAACTATTATAATACTATATAATAATTATAATAATATATAATGGAAAATGTAATAAACCGCAAATGGCACACAACAATTAACGGCGACACTGGTTTCTTAAATGACAGTAATGACAGAAAAAAATTACTAACGAAATTCAAACCGTCAATCTAATAATGCAAAAAATACTAAAACCTTACGCGCGATCATCACTTCTAATGAATCACCCGGTACAAAACAACAAATGTCAAACCTGACGCTAGGTGTTTTTAGTTTTAGTTTAGTTTAGTTTTATCCTTCATGGTACTCTAATGAAAGGTCTCACGAAAAGAATTAATTTCTACCAACCATAGCCCTCCTCCTCGACCTCTTATCGTGATCGGGTATATTCCCTTATATCTCAAGAACGGATTGTCGGAAGAGGGTACTCACAAAGGGCGATTGAGACGGCTGTAAGAAATATATCCATTGGTGATGTCACAACAAAAGATATTTCGGTTAAAAAAAATGCGCTTTATCTGCACAAGAGTTGTGCACAATTTATACTTGTTAATTGTTATTTTATTTATGTATTGCACAAAAATTTATCAATTTGGATTGAAACTTGAAACAGGTACCTAATAGGAAATAGTATATTCAAAGGAAATAGTCACGGTGAAATCTATTTTGTTTTAAATACATTTTTAGGTACACACCGTAACAACACATGATACATCCAATGCAATGCAATAATTCTTAGTTTAGGCTTTGAATATAAAAATATTCAAAGGTTTAGGCCCTGAACTATGCAATTCTATGCCAGCTTTTCATGCAATTACTGGTTGGGATTACACCGCGACTTTTGCAAGAAAATCAATCTGAAGCTCTTCACAATTTTAGAACAAGATAAGGCACACCAAATTTTTCAACTTTCGGCGATTTTGAAATCGTAGATGCAAAATTAATTAAAGCAGTTGAAAAATTGGCTTTCCTAATATACGGATAAAGTAAAAAAACTGAAATAAATAAACTAAACAAATATAGCAAACGCGCTATACATATGTATGAAATTTCATTTAATTGCTTCCATAATTAAGAAAGTTGGCACTGCACATCCTACACAAAACCAAATTTGGAAAATGGCCCTACATTTGCTTTATTCCAAAGTTTGAATGCCTCCATAATCAGAAAGTTGGCACTGCGCATGCGCAAAACCAAATTTTGAAACTGGCGTTATATTTTCTTTTATTCCAAGCGGTTATGTATCAAATTTCATTAAAATCCCTCCATAAATAAGAAAGTTGGCACTGCGCATGCGCAAAACGAAATTGTGAAACTGGCGTTAAATTTGGTTTTATTCCAAGTGGTTGAGATGCCCCAACCTTAGCAACGTCCTGTGAATATGATTATCGATACGAAGCACCCTATACATCATGTTAGTTATACAAGCTGCCAACCGAAATCTGGTGTGGGATTACAGAAAAGGCAAAGAGAGCGAAGATGAGACGGATGGAATTGGAGAGCACATGTGTTTACCATTTCAATTTCAAACCCCTGCAGTCCAGTTTTTTCCTAGAAATGCGTGAAATGCAGGGAATGGGCGATTTTCGGGTGGTTTTTAGGGGTGTTAGATCACAATACAGCGTGGCTTTGGTTAGTCAATAAATACGATTTAAGATTTGTGTTCAGGGCCCTTTTCTAGGTAACCGACTTAAGTGTAAAGTACGGCTTATCTTGAAATATTTTGTTATACCTTAATCATTGCTGTGTGCTGTTGCTTTTTATATCAGGTAAGAGATTTGCTTTATTCAATTAATCTATAAATGTGTGTAACTTGAATGCAGATTGGGAGGCAGATTGTAACCCTTTACCTATGTACTTACTGAATTCAATCACTTGTACCTCTAATGTGTAACCTTAATTGTTTGTAGGTATTGGCAATCATGTTTCATTGTCGGTAGGGTTGTATCTGTTCTGTACATATTTGTGTATTGTGCTTTTTAGTCACTCTCGATTATTTCATTGCATTTCATTATATTTGCTTATTTGGGGCTGTGAGTAATCAAAAGGGAAGTGTGCTTGTTTAGAGAGGATCGAGTTATTCAAGTTTATAAGGGCCTTGGTGAACCTAACACTAACATTTTCAGTCGTTCCGAAACCCAACAACTTTAGCCCACGTCTACAGGCACCCCACTGGGCCTGGGTAATCCTACCGCCCGGCGAGGTATATTTAATATCTCTTAGTTTTGTCTGATGTATGTGTATTGTAATACGTGGGGAATGGCTCGATTCCATTTTGGTTACTCATAGCGTGTATGTAGTATTTACCCCGGTTTCGAGAGGGCTCAAAAGTGCTGTACATTAGATGTTAGCTGTAGGCTTTGTTCATTGTAGGGCTACTCCGAATTAGGTTTTCCTTCATTTTTCCTAATTCGTAAGGTAAATGCCGGAGTAGTATAGAACCACTTAAGACCCTCTGCAGGGGCAACGCTAAAAAGAATTATGCGGGTCACTCTGTAATCAGCTATTGCTTTTGGTGTTCCTTACCCATAAAACGCCTTCCGTGCCTGCTTAGAACTCAGTTACTACACAACGTAGGTGTCCTACATGACGATCACGATCTTAGTGCACTTGGAGTGGCCCCCAAGTGACAGATTCTAGCGGGAAACTTAAGCTAGAATATTCAAATAGGCAGCCATGTTAGTTTGGCATTCCCGCTACTACAGAAGATGGTGAAATATTCCGGTGTGACTTGAAGTTGGCGTTAGCCCGCCAATATAGTAGGAGGCTAAGATCATTACATGGTTATGTATCAAATTTTATTTAAATGCCTGCATAAATAAGAATGTTGGCACTGCGCATGCCCAAATTCAAATTTTGAAACTGGCATTAAATTTGCTTTTATTCCAAGTGGCTATGTATCAAATTTTATTTAAATACCTTCGTAAAAGTTTGCAATTCGGTCTGTAAATGGTCGAGATGTGCAAAGGGCACTGTGAATGCTGATCGATTAGGCTCAACTTTTGGAATTGTGTTTTATGTGGTTAAAGCTATGCGCATATTGAATTTCATGCAATTCGGTTCATAACTCACGGAGATGTCAAAAAGGCCTGCTTTATTTTTTGGTCTACATTGCCATTTCACGAACTCCGATCTATAAATTTGATAAAGAATCCACCTGCAAAATTTCATCGTAATTGGTCCATTCGTTTATGAGTTATCGTGCTAACGGACGGACGGACAGACACCGCAAAATTATAAACTCGCTAGGAGCTCGTTAATAAAGCGAGGTAAGTAGATGAGATGCCCCAACTTTGAGTGCTTATTAAAATATTATGTTGCAGATAGGAAATTTTCTTAGACGCATAGGTATAAACCCAAACAAAATGGCAAAAATATATTTAACCGAAAACGGCAATTCGATGGTATAACTCACTACCACCATGCTTGGATGTACTTTTAATGAAAATTAAAAGAGAAAACCAGGTTTGTGCTATTTGGAGACATGCCACACAAAAATTCCTAAATTTTACCAGCCTGAAAGCCACGGTTGGATTATTGAAAATAATTTGTATACACTACGGTGGTAGGCAGGGCCCCAGTTTCCAGAAAAATTAGAAGAGATATTTACTAAAGATATTAATGTACTTTTGGATGAAAGTGATGAAGATCAAGATCCACAATTTTTTTGTATAATAGGTACTTGTTTTCGTAAAAGATATTAAATATTGATCAAATACTGCACATTCTTTAATTACAATTACGGCGATTAGAACATAGGTGAGCCTGAACACTGGTAGACGTCACGCTCTATCGAGTTCTTTACGCGCTAAACTGAGATGGAATGACAATCTTTAAAGGTGTCTGCTGGACAAACGCTGCCACTTGGATCGTCTGTCATTTTCGATAAACATATAACTCAACATTGTAAATCGAATGGGACATGTCCCACGCTGGAAGAAATTGTGTGATTTCTCGATATTTTTCGGACCTAACCGCCACTGTCTTTGCGTATTATATAACCACGATAAATTAAAAGTAAACTCAAACGAAATAGAACACAAGAATCTGTATAAAAGGTAATAAAATCAGAAAATATCTACATCGCTTTAAATCGACATGCTTTTAGAGATAAATAATTTGGTGTGGCAACAGTGCCACAGATTAGTGTCGACAGAATAGCCACTGCTAGTTTCCAAGCAACACGTGATTAGATTAAAATGTACTTTCGATAAACCTCTAATGTTGTTTGTTTGTTAATTATTTGTGCCCATGATTCCTACATTTCAGTTGTTTTGAATAATTTGTAACCTACAGCATACGTAAATCCTGAAATCAACGTCGATAGGTGATTGTGTAAAACACAGCGATTAAAGGTATGTTTTTTAGGTAGGTTATATCCTTTGTTTATGTTGTTTGTTATGTAAACTGTAAACATATGTAGCTATTGTATTATTCTTTCCCAGGATGTAATTGTTTGTAAACATTTATCAAATTATCACCATTCAGAAAATTATAGCAGTATTGTTTGTGGTGGTTCGAATTTTATGTTATCAGAGAATACCTTTATGGTAACATAACTGAAAGGGTTGAGGTAGATCTAATTATCTAAGCTTTTGAACAATATAATAATAATACAAACTCACTCATTAAAATATTCATGTAGGAAATAATACCCAATCTCCACATTATCAACTATTAGTCACTCCACAGTCTCAAAGTGGAATCTGATATATTTTACCTATTATCAGCAAATATTTTAGATATAGTAAATAATTGCCTCCATGCTAAACTATAAATAATTAATTACTTTAATTAATTAAATATTATTCCCATTTTATTCGCTAAGGGAATGTTGTTTCTGTTGGTGATTGATGTTTTGGTACCATTTGTAAAACATACTTTTTTCTTTTACTTATTTGCATGTCTGACCACGATTCCTCAATTATTAAATATTAAGAGGCATACACTTGCAAAATATAGAATTAACTAGTTGCAACTAAATTCATTGGCAGACAAAAGCACTTGTGGGTGAAATTGTACCTAGACACTTTAAAACTTCACAAAGTTCACTCCGTAAATAAAGATAAATACCCGGAGCTACATCTTTGATTCTACATGTACAAGACAGCTTAAGGTTACTCAATTGATTATTTGATCCTTGATGGTTCTGAAAAAAATCTTATTTGTTAATTTGTGGATGGAATAAAGGAAATTTATGCTGCCTTCCGATATTTTATTCATTCTATGGGATCCACTGGTGCGATTAGAAGTTTTGATTCATTCTGTTATAACAGGATTGATAGTAATGCCGGGTTTCTGGTAAAGCACTGCATTGAATGAATGACGTAGAAACATGGTGCTCAAAATCTGGAATTCGCAGAATTAATGTTGTTCAATCCCAACGTTCGGTGGCAAAACTTTATTTTGTAATATGGTAACAAGTACAGGGTACCGTTGATTGTTTTTATTGTTTATTTGTGTTGTTTGTTACAGACTGTTGTGAAGCAACTATAGGTATATTAAAGTTTTTGTAATTAAAAAAATCATTTGCTGAGTTTTATTTATTTATTTTAGAAGTCATCCACCTAGAAATTACAATTCAGATTAATGGTAGCCAATAGTAAAACCGAGAGTAAAAATTTCAACAAATGACTACAGATAGTCTAAGAGCCCGTGACGCAAACCATTACCATTCAGATAGCAGCATAAAACGTATACATGAACAAGTATTGGAGGTGACCATACATGAAACGCTCGGTCTGTCGGACCGCATTTAGCCGGAAGGTAAACAAATTCAATTGTTTATTTGTATATTTCATAAGAAATCATTACTTTTAAGAAAAGCAGGTCATATGTGGTATCAAATTAAAGCTCTTGACGTCAGCTGCACAAATAACTCGGTCTGTCGGCAGGCAAATAGCTGGAAGTCCTTGACAGACCGGCATTTAGTCTGCTGCTGGAAGCCGACATTTCAGTTAGTTATAAATTTCTACGGTCACTCTGATCCAAGCATTTTAGTTCTGTACCAAAGAGTAAATAACCATAAACCTCTACAGCGGATCTAAAAAAGCGGCTGAGCTCCTCGGTTTGACCCTACGGGGTCATTGAACATTTAGTCTGCTGCTGGAATCCCAGTTAGCTCAAAATATAAGAGAATCATTCAATTCAAAAACAAAATGGTACAAGCTCTGAAGCTCATCAATGAGATTACAAAAGCATGTAAGCTGAAGTAATGAAACAATTGTAAAGTGAAGAAAAGTATTAATTTCATATTTTGTCGATAACTTTTCTTCACTTTACAATATTGTTTCATTACTTCAATGACCCCGTAGGGTTAAACCAAGGAGCTCGGCCGCTTTTTTAGATCCGCTGTAGAGGTTTATGGTTATTTATTCTGGTACACAACTAAAATGTTTGGATCAGAGTGACCGTAGAAATTTATAACTAACTGAAATGTCGGCTTCCAGCAGCAGACTAAATGTCAGTCTGTCAAGGACTTCCGGCTATTTGCCTGCCGACAGACCGAGTTATTTGTGCAGCTGACGTCAAGAGCTTTAATTTGGTACCACATATGACCTGCTTTTCTTAAAAGTAATGATTTCTTATGAAATAAACAATTGAATTTGTTTACCTTCCGCCTAAATGCGGTCCGACAGACAGAGCGTTTCATGTATGGTCACCTCCAATACTTGTTCATGTATACGTTTTATGCTGCTATTTGAATGGTAATGGTTTGCGTCGCGGGCTCTTAGAATAAGACTACAGTACAGGGCATCTTTTAATGATATTTGACATAAGAAGTGTTCGTTTATTAACGATACTCGAGATCGTCTGTCTGTCCGTGTGCATGATAACTGTGTGTAGAAACGTCCGATCGCTTTGAAAATTGATACACATGTTCTTCAGGATATAAGAATGGTCGCTATTGTTTTTCGGGTACGTAGACTAGCGGGCCAAAAAGTTATACGCCAGAAACTGCCCAAACCTCCAAGAAAGGGTTTCTTTTATAATTCTTGTTACAAAGAACATATGAATGTCAGGTTTTCTGTGTTAATAAATATTCCTTAAACCTCGGTCAACTATGCAGATTAATAAAAAAAATGCGCATGTATTTGCGGAATCCCAATTTTTGTTATCTGTATGTATGTATCTGATATGTAAATGAAATTTTGTAAATAGGCATCCAAAGCGGACTACCCAAATAGGAACATTCTTTGCTTCACTGTGAATCACATCCACGGTTACTGATCGCCCCCCGCCCCGACAAGGTGCAAATCGGTTCGAGGGGGAAGGATTTTAGGCTGGCCTCAGAAATTTTCTTGAAATTCCACTTTTTCCAGGATATCTCTGTTCTCCCACTAGGGAGGTCGTCGTGGGACTTTTTTGAACGTCATCCTAGATGGCGTCCGAACATATTCCGCTTAGTAATTAATATAAATGTCCGTGTTTGGACGAAAATTGGTCTAATTTTACTGTACTAATCCCTTCCATGAAGGTCACTTCTTAGTTACGTATCTGGGGGATCTCCTTCACCAAGGTCACGACTCACGACTTTGTGACGACACAAAAAGTGGCGTGAATAGTGTCGCTTTACCACGGTATCTATACCACCGTGCGCTTTACTAATATTGGCGTTTTGATTTGTTTCTTCTCAGCAATTTTCTTATGGAATATGTGGTGTTTTTTGGATCAGTGGAAATTGTATAGTATCCAGAGCTATAATTTGTTTAGGCGGGTTCCATTTCAAACATGACATTTGGTGAAGGTCAATCGAAAATAAAGTACCTAACAAGAATTATGTGAAATGGAAGAGGTTTTAGACTCCTATTCTTGAACGTGTGACTTCCGCGTGAGTGGGTGAGCATGACGTCATGTCGAGCGATTATTTTCATAATTTCGTATATTTTTGACGCTTTAGAGCCGTTTTACACGCGTAAAGAATTACTACCAAAAGTTTTGTAACAATTTCAACGAAAAGTTTTGGAAGTAAATTTGAAATTTGCGAGTTTGTTTATGTTTTATACTTACAATAACTTTCACAACAATTTTATTAAAAATTATGCTTGAGCGCATGCGCATTTCATGATATGGCTTCCAACAGTATAATAAAATGTATGAGTATGAGGTTTGTCTTTATAACCTAAATTGTGATAAATAAATTATGGTGATGATGCTGCGTGTAAATGAAATACTTCTCTTATCCCTTGCTGCTGTTAGTTGTTGTTGAACACGCAAACTTAAGCAATACCAGTTTGCGACTTTGCGCAGATTCCCGCGCACTTTCTACACTTTTAGTATCAAAATATAGAACATGTTCTATATTTTTGTATTGAAAATTTTCGTTAAAATTTTGCCAAGAATATTGTGCGTGCAAATCAGTTTAACGAAAATTTTCAGCGAAATTTTCAAGTAAATTTTGGTAGTAATTCTTACGCGTGTAAAACGGCTCTTACGCCAATTTTTCCAATCTCCGGTGCTATTCGAAGCCGTACCTACCTTCAACTTCTGTATATCTTTATTCGTAAAATTAGGGGATGAGACGAAATTTGGTGAGCGAGTCGCAGATGAGAAAGTCACACACTCACCGATTTTTCTCGATCGGTTCAAGAATAGGCGTCTTAGTCTGTCTCAATTTAAAAAAACACCCGCCGCCCGGCGCAATTTGGTTTCTCTAAAAAAATTAGAAAAACGGTCAAATTTTGAGGATGAAAGATTATAACAGCGCTATTAAAAAGAAAAGTGATACACCACTGGAATACAGCACGCCATCGGTGAACAGAAATATTTTGGAAACATAGCGACGATAACTGTAGACAATCTTGCTCCAAGATTTTCGGTACCTTTTATGGTAAAGAAATTATAATCCGGAGGTGTTCCATTTGAGGTTCTAATTAATGTAGAAATGGAATTACATCGTGATGTGATGAGTTGCACACGTATGTTACTTAATGGTCTTGCATTTATAACCGCCCCAATATAACATAGTACTGTGACTAGTTCTTTATCGTATAGATATTACTTTCCTAAAACACGAACTAACAAACTTTTGATCGTACCTATAAGGCGTTCAAACATCCCCCTCACTAAGAGATGTCCTGTACCAATGTAATTTTTCAATAGGCATACTTGTTGAGGACGAAAAGCACGCCACCCCACAACTATGTCTGAAATTTGTCTACCATTATCTGAACCTAATAACTGGGCGTAATTTAATGTAAATTAATATATTTAAAGATGGCGACAGCAGAAACATATTCCAGGGATGATAGCGTCAATGCAGACGAAATAATGCAAAAGTTATACGAAATGTTTGGGAGTGCGTTCGAATATCATGTTATCCACTCTATTGCACAGAAGTGTAATTATAATAGTAAGTATTGGCTACTTATAATTTATTAATTGCAGTATGAGCACATTTGTTTTACTTGATCATGTGAGGATGCAATTGTAGGTAGGTAGCAGTGGTGTAACTATACAATGCTGGCCTGTTCATGTTATAAAAGTTAAAGGAATAAATATCGTTGTTTAATGCGATCTAACATTGGATAATGATGTTTCATGACCTTTAATTTTTCTCAGAAGTGCAATTCGTGAGATAATGCCTAGAGCTGAGGGTCTCTAACACGACTAGACCCTCCCCCTCAGTCGCGCTTTCTTGCGTACGCCACTAGTGCACAGTTAGACAAAGCCAATTGCGTCCTCTATTGCATGGAGTGTTGAATTTGAGCATATTTGTACTTTCCATCAATAAAGTAGCAAAATGAGCCGGTAGATAAAAATTATATTAACTCGAGCATATTTTTTTTAGTTGAAGTAACGTCAAATGAATTATTAGAGCGATTAGAAACGTCGACAAATTCCAAAGTGCGGGATCCAATGGTTGATAATACTGCCGAGTGTATTACTGCACCTGACATTGGCGCACAAACAAATCGGGATAGCGTAAGGCTTTATTCTGGTGTGATTGGTTCAAATCAAAACAATGACGATGCAGATGTCGTTATTGAATCGGAAACTATAAATTATACTGCATTTGCTCAGAATTCTCCATTTAATCATATATCAGTTCGCTCTAAAACACAATCGAAAAAGGAAAGAGAATTTGAACGAATTGTTCAACACGTTCGACAAGGCGCCAAGATTCTTATATTATTGAGAGGGCTGCCTGGAAGCGGAAAATCATTTTTAGCTAGGCAAATTGTTGACCGAACAGTTGGCCACAAAGACTATTCTACTTTTATTTTAAGTTCTGACGATTACTTTTTCAATAAGCGAACAAAGAGATACGAATATGATGTTTACAAGCTGCAGAATGCTCACGAGTCTAATCAGCAGAGGGCATATAAGCAAATGTCGACGGGTGTAAGTCCAGTCATTATTGATAATACAAATACACAAATGTGGGAAATGAAGTCATATGCTATGATTGCCGCTAACTTTGGGTATATTGTTGAAATATTGGAGCCTTTTACACCTTGGGTATTTGATGAGAGACAGTTAGCTAGCCGAAATTCGCATGGCGTGCCGAAATCGAAAATTCGTGATATGTTGATGAGATATGAAAAACATATTACGCCTGCAAGTCTGTTTCAAACATATAATTTATCATATCTAAATCAAGTTCCACCAGTTCTTCGAGATTTTCCTCCAGTTTATCACAATCCGCCTAAATTAGAACAGGCTACTCGAAAAAATGTGAATAATCCACGCAAGCAATCACCATCGAAGGTTACTGATTTAATAGGTTTTGAGGAAAAGACTATAAATCATAACGGTATTCGAAGTCTGGATAATGCCGATGGCTTTAAGCCAACTTCAAGTTTAATGGATAGTATTTTGACAGATACAAATACAACCGCTGATGAAATATTACTACCGAGCATTTACGGATTGAGCAATATCAGTTTAAATTCACAACCAGAAGTCAAAAAAATCTGCGTTTCTCCCAACGAGTCTCCATCTAAATCAAGGAATGACGAAATCCATGGTAAAGTCCAACAAATCAAAAACGCGAAAGAAATATATCCATCTTTAAATCTTGCGTCATGGGGATTGCCAGATAATGCTATATCCTCTTGGGAGTTTTGGGACGTGGTTACACCAGTAAATAATTCGAAGGCGAATTCTCCGGAAATTGGGCATGCTGAGGAATTCGATGAAATTATTGAAAAATCTCATTCTGCCACAAACACTTCAAGCCACGATTTTGCCCTGTTAACAAAGAAAGACCTTTCAAATGAAGAAATCAGAATACTTGAGACAGTGAGTCGTGATATTAATGCAGGTTTTAAAATGACACCTCCTAGCAGTCCTTCTAAGAAGGCTTTATTACATAAAAGCTCTATGACTAATGAAGACCATATGGTAGAAGATTGTGAAAATGAAACCGAACAACTTGAGAGTCTAAAAAGTCTATTCCCAACAATACCCTTTGATTACATTCGCGATATTTACGACAAATGTAATAAAAGTATTAATTGGGTGGTAGATTTACTGCTAGATGACAATAAAGAATTACTACCAACCTTAAACTCCAAAAACATAAGTACTAGTCCAACTAGACGCGTATCGTGGCAGAATTTGCCTGAATCAAGTTTAAAATCTGAGAACACCCCGCCAAGTGAAATCGCTAGTAGTTGTTACACTGACATTGAAAGACATATTAAGAAAAGTATTGAAATAAATAAAGATTTGTATTCGGATCATGTGTTGAAAATTAAGAATGCAAGGCAGAAGTCAACTGCGTCAAGTTTCGATGTAACTTCCACTCGGGCCGGAGAGGTGATCGCCATAAATTCAGACATAGATATTAACGATTTTGAACCAGATATTAATTTTCCAACAGAAGACTTCGATGAAGATCAAACCGTTGAAATCAACTTAGGAGATGTTTGCGTTACCCAGCTGGAAACCTTGTTTGGTTTTCCCGAAACCTTCCCCAAAGGATTCCAGCCAGTCGTTCAAATTCCTTATGAGCTGGCAGAACAGCTACATGCCTTTTATATTCAATCTGCACTCTTGCAAATGGAAGCGCAAAATACAGTCTTAGATATGATTGTAAAGGAAGATGAGGAGTTGGCGAAAAAGTTACAAATGCAAGACGACATCATTGAGGAGGCTGATAGTGGGAGAAGAACTCCAGATCTAAACGAAATTATTAAGGAAGAAGTTGCTAATAAGGCTTACAGAAGAGAAATGGAGGAGTGGAAAAAATTGACGCCCGACACTCTAGCTGCTAAACTGACAATACAAAAGCTTTGTAACTCCTTTCCTTCTGTAAGTAAATCGTTACTCATGGAAATTTTACACGCCCATAATAATTCGTACGAGCAAACTGTTGAAGTGCTTTTGGCTTCTACTGACAGAGATAGCATCTACGATCCTCATGAGGACATTAGAGTACCACCCATACCCGATGCTGTACTAAATGAAATGAAGCTGGCAAATGAAGAGAAACTTGCGGTAGGTTTATATTTATTACTTACTTACATTTTTGGGTATTCGTTCCCGTTAATTACTATAATATAATTACAAAATGTATTTAGCAACACTAATACATAATGTGGATACCCAAAATTATTGATTACATTGCGATTTGGTTAAGGCTGGTCCTTGCTTTTGGTACAAATAAAATAATTTAATACCCCATAATTACAAGAAATTAGGTGACTAGAGTATACCAACCTAATTTACGTGTTCGTTTTCCAGAGGTACCGTTAGCTCTATTACCTTTTTGTTATTCTCCACTCCACCATGGAGCTGAAGGAGGTTGAATCTCCATTCTGTCTTATTCCAGTCTAATTTCTTGAAAAGGTTTCTTGCTCCAACCAGGTTAGTCCCCTGATCGCTATAAATGCAGGATGGTCGGTGATTTGCACTCCTGCATGGCATAAATCTTGGTGACGTTGTCGGATCAACCGTTTTACCATTTCATGTTCAGGGCTTAACACTACTGAGTACTGGGTATCTGAAATTATAATTATCAGCACTATTAAACACTTTTAGTCTAAGAGCCTGCGACGCAAACCATTACCATTCAAATAGCAACATAAAACGTATACATGAACAAGTATTGGAGGTCCCCATACACGAAACGCTCGGTCTGTCGGACCGCATTTAGCCGGAAGGTAAACAAATTCAATTGTTTATTTGTGTATTTCATAAGAAATCATTACTTTTAAGAAAAGCAGGTCATATGTGGTACCAAATTAAAGCTCTTGACGTCAGCTGCACAAATAACTTGGTCTGTCGGCAGGCAAATAGCCGGAAGTCCTTGACAGACCGACATTTAGTCTGCTGCTGGAAGCCGACATTTCAGTTAGTTATAAATTTCCACGGTCACTGTGATCCAAGCATTTTAGTTCTGTACCAAAGAGTAAATAACCATAAACCTCTACAGCGGATCTAAAAAAGCAGCTGAGCTCCTCGGTTTGACCCTACGGGATCATTGAACATTTAGTCTGCTGCTGGAATCCCACAGTTAGCTCAAAATACTGTGCGATCAAAAATGAGTTGCTGTCGAGTCACCTTTGGAACATTTGTTTACATGGGAAATCGTATTTAACTTGAACTTCCATAGGCGACTCGACAGCAACTCATTTTTGATCGCCCGTTATAAGAGAATCATTCAATTCAAAAACAAAACTATGGAACGCCGTTTTAGGAAATACGATGCATATTATTAAACGTACTACTTAACCAAACACATATACTATGAGCTTAGTATTTCAAGACATATATGAAGCTCGTTCAAAAAAGACCAAATGTTACTTTTCTAACTGCAATAGAATTGAAAGTATTGAAGAACGCATACTTTTTGTTAAAAGGGCGCGTCAATATCCACGTGTCTACAAATATCAAATGTAGGTTTTTATTGAATATAATTTTTATGTACACGAAAACAAGTAACGTAAAAAGTTGTATAATTAATTGTTGTACAATTTATGTAAGTCACTTTAAATATATTCACTATAATAAAGACAAATTTTGAAACAACAAATATTAAATGTTCTGTGATCACTTCAATAGAATGTTACCGAAAGGTATAACTGTTGGCCATTTGAAATACAATTTGACAACTTTAAAAGTTATTGCAATACAATCGTATCATTATTTTGAAAGTAAATATTCATTCAATAAATTAGCAAAACCAGTATAACCCGTTTACAGTTTACATAAAAAGTTGATTTAAATAGTAATAGGCATCTATATTTAATTTAAAAGTATGATTCATACACCTAAAGGCAGCAGTTTAGCAACATACACCGACGTAAAATAAAAACTGTATAAGTCAACTCTAGAAAAGTTAAACTATACACGACAACACTATACAAGTTGAATATTGATAAGATAACATTTAAAGAACTTAAGTAGGTGCATTTCATGATTGTTGTTATTTAAATAGCAAGATTTTATGAGAGCGCTTTCGTAATACATTTTTAAAGATCTGTTTTTTAAGTTTAAATTATGCTAGTAAGAGCAACACTTTAAAATATTAAAATACAAGATTTGAAGTGCAACTTTTGTAAACTCTCACATATTTTACTTTAAAAAATTAAAGTCGAAAACTTTTGGAATCTTATAAATATAACACTCCAGAAAGTTGACATTATATAAATTGATATTTGTGATTTTTTAAATTACATATATTTAAGTTACGACAAATGCATTTTCGTAAAATTGGCAATAAGTATTATTTTTTACATAATATGACATTTTGTTATTTTAAATCACAAATTATTCGAAGTTATAACATATTTAAGTAAAGTAAGGTAACGCCGTAAATGAGAATAGTAATTATATATCGTTTAAAGAATTGAAGTTGACAATATTGCCAATTCAAGTTGTAAGTGTTCAAAATTTGAGAGTGTTATATTTTAAACTTTCATTTTTATGAGAGTTGATAATTGCGGATTTTATACCAAAACGGCGGTTCGGAGCGCCATCTCTCATTATTCCGTCAAAACTCAACAGCGAAGCGCGCTCGAAATAGTCGGCGTCGTATAATGTGAATTCAAATGTGGGTTGCAGCGCGCCAAATACGAATTAAAGTACAGATGCTTATTTTCCGCAGCAAGACGGTAAACGTTCTGCAACCCGTATTACATATTCACATTTTATACGACGCCGAAGCGCCGACTATTGCAAGCGCGCCTTCGCTGTTAAGTTTTGGCGGAACAATGAGAGATGGCGCCCCAAACCGCCGTTTTGGTATAAAATCCGCAATTATCAACTTTCATAAAAATGAAACTTTAAAATATAACACTCTCAAATTTTGAACACTTACAACTTGAATTGGCAATATTGTCAACTTCAATTCTTTAAACGATATATAATTACTATTCTCTTTTGCGGCGTTACCTTACTTTACTTAAATACGTTATAACTTTGAATAATTTGTGATTTAAAGTAACGAAATGTCATATTATAAACATAATATATAATATAAACATAATACTTACTGCCAATTCTACGAAATTGCATTTGTCGCAACTTAAATATATGTAATTTAAAAAATCCCAAATATCAATTTATATAATGTCAACTTTCTGGAGTGATATATTTATGAGATTCCAAAAGTTTTCGACTTTAATTTTTTAAAGTAAAATATGTGAGAGTTTACAAAAGTTGCACTTCAAATCTTGTATTTTAATATTTTAAAGTGTTGCTCTTACTAGCATAATTTAACCTTAAAGAACAGATCTTTAGAAAATGTATTACGGAAGCGCTCTCATAAAATCTTGCTATTTAAATTATAACGATCATGAAATGCACCTACTTAAGTTCTTTAAGTGTTATCAATATTCAGCTTGTATAGTGTTGTTGTGTATAATTTAACTTTTCTAGTGTTGACTTATACAGTTTTCATTTTAAGTCGGTGTATGTTGGTAAACTGCTGCGTTTAGGTGTATGAATCATAGTTTTACATTAAATTAATATAGATGCCTATTACTATTTAAATCAATTCCTTATGTAATCTGTAAACGGGTTATATTTGTAATGGTAACTTTATTGAATGATAATTTTTTAAATCCAACTTTGAATCTTTGTAGAATTGTCATTCTATTTGGCCGATAAGTAATATATAAAATATAAGTTTCAATGATGTGATTATTTTACATTGAACATTGTATAAATGTATTACTGATAATACCAGTTATTTCTCCTAAAACGGCGTTCCATACAAAACGGTACAAGCCATTGAGGTACAAGCTCTGAAGCTCATCAATGAGATTACAAAAGCATGTCAGCTGAAGTAATGAAACAATTGTAAAGTGAAGAAAAGTATTAATTTCATATTTTGTCGATAACTTTTCTTCACTTTACAATTATTTTGTGGGATTCCAGCAGCAGACTAAATGTTCAATGACCCCGTAGGGTCAAACCAAGGAGCTCAGCTGCTTTTTTAGATCCGCTGTAGAGGTTTATGGTTATTTACTCTTTGGTACAGAACTAAAATGCTTGGATCAGAGTGACCGTGGAAATTTATAACTAACTGAAATGTCGGCTTCCAGCAGCAGACTAAATGTCGGTCTGTCAAGGATTTCCGGCTATTTGCCTGCCGACAGACCGAGTTATTTGTGTAGCTGACGTCAAGAGCTTTAATTTGGTACCACATATGATCTGCTTTTCTTAAAAGTAATGATTTCTTATGAAATATACAAATAAACAATTGAATTTGTTTACCTTCCGGCTAAATGCGGTCCGACAGACCGAGCGTTTCGTGTATGGGGACCTCCAATACTTGTTCATGTATACGTTTTATGTTGCTATTTGAATGGTAATGGTTTGCGTCGCGGGCTCTTAGAATATTTGGTCTTTAGACGAATCACGCCGTCATCGTCTACAAAAGGGTTAAGAGTTTTCAATCGCGAATCGTCAACACCCTCGAACATTTCTGTCTGAAACTCTTTATAAACAAAACTTCATCTGCACGTATTTCCCTTACTAATAAAGAATAATAATAATGATTCTTTATTAAGCAAAGAAAAAAAAATAAGAAAACAAAAGAGATTAAATCGGTCCTATTTTAGTTTTATTTTATGTTTAGACCACGCGATACACCGCACGACGATATGATACCTAGAAATGTCCGGATACCACGACTTGTCTTTAATTGAAGTTAATTGTCCTGATAGTAGTACAGGCACAACTTCTTCTTCTTTGGATTTCACCAATCCTTTTTGCTGTTCTCGAACTACCTTCGTTTCATCAACTTCGTCTGGTGACTTTGGCCATTCTTCTGAATTTTTCTTTAACCATAAAGGGCCCTCCCACTGAACATCCTCGGGAAGGTAAGTCCGCCGAATTTAATTAACCTGGTATAAATCTTCAGCAAATCCACTCTTCCAACTGTCGTATCTCACAAATGTCGTCTCGTAGAATCCACGATAATACAGTTGTGGAATCAGTCCATATGTACACCGAACATTCTGATATTGCAACTCTTGAATTACAAAATTAGTTAACCTTGCGCCAATAGTGGCCACTAAATTCTAGTCTAGGAATCGTGGTTGACTTCGGAGGCGTTACTATTGCCTTTGCTGTAATCAATTGGACTGTGCCTCCTTGAGACGATGCCTGCTCTCAAATAAACGGCTGGTGTATAGGCTTTGCCGCTAGCATCACAAAACGTGTGTACCTATACTCAATCCATCTTCAGTCACTGAATGGAATGTAAACCGCTCTACAATTTCCTTGTCTCGCCTCTCCTTTGATTTCTGACTTGCTACGTCCTTTATGCCACTAGTTTCAAGATCGCAAAAGCTGGCAATATCGCGATCTTGAATTAACAGAGAAATCGCTAAGTTATTTCATTTCGTTTGAAAGTAAGTAGTAACAGGTAATTTTCCCAGTAGTGTCCATCCCGATGTGGCAACATCTAATAGAAAAATACCTTCTTTTTCCAACACCTGCATACTCGACACAAAACAAAACAGCAGGATTTTTATCACAAATGTTCACTTGACTTTTGGCTTCAAAAGTACAAGCGTAACTACCATCGACACTACGTAAATGTAGTCGGTATACATGATGCTTTTGAGGCCATGTCTTAATCTGACCAAAAGGGGTCTGTGCAATTTCATCCTCTCATTCTGAATGATAACCCATAGCAATCGCATCCGCTTTGCGTATACAGGGTGTTACATGACCGCATGCAAAAAAAAATTGGGTGTCAGAGGGGATCAAGACAAACACTTTTTCCAAATAAACCGATGATCCAACGTGTTTCGTTTGGGATCCACCCCCAAAGAAGGGGTGAAATTTGGATTTCTTCTTTAATTTTTTTCTCAGCAACCATAAGAGTTACAAAGATGGGTGGCACGTCTTTGAATAGGTTTTCGGGTATGCCCTATTCGATTTTGATCAAAATTTCTATCCCGAAGGGGCGCACCTCTATTTGGGGGTGCGAAAAAAAATTCTGATTTCGACGAAATTTGGTATCTGGGGGTTTTTGAACATGAAAATAACGAATCTGAAATTAGTTTTTGAAAATTCGAAAAAAAAAGTTCCACTGCAATTCTTGGCCGGACAAAGACAACGTGTTTCGTTTGGGAGCCACCCCTCCCAAACGAAACACGTTGGACCATCGGTTTATTTGGAAAAAGTGTTTGTCTTGTTCCCCTCTATCACCCAATTTTTTTTTGGATGCGGTCATGTAACACCCTGTATAAGAGTTTTGGGATCCGGTTCAATTACCGCGCGCACTATCTGTTCCCGTTTGCCTTGAAGAAGTGTCGCTGTCAATGTTATTAAACAAACTTCAGGAACATTTAAAAAAATTAAGCCAGATTCTGTTCTGTTGTAGTAACTTTTTCCTTCTCAGCTTCCGTAGATTCGTCTGTCGATTTATTAATCGCTAGGCTTCTACACATAACCATGACATGACGCTTAGAACACCATTTACACTTAAGCTGGACCTTGCATCGTCGAAAACCATGGCCTCGTTTCAAACAATTGAAACAGAAATTCTTATCTGGTGCTATTTTTTGACGTTCACCCAAAGACATGGCCCGCACTTTCTCGCAGTCAGCGCTAGAATGATCGCCATCAGGAAAGATACAAATCTCTCCTTTCGGTTTAGTTGTCAAAAGACCCATTGCCGTCAGAACAATCTTTTGCTCTTTCCTGGCTTTGTCCGCTTCACTCGCCTTTTATTCACCAAGCCAAAACTGTCAGTGGCCAAAAGTATTTTCTCCTCGGCTTCGACTTGGGTGCCGATAAACTGTATTAACGCTTTGAGTTTCTCTTTGCAGTCTTTAGCTTGTCTCGACTCCGTTGTACGTTGCCACGTGCGTAAAAGTTTCTTAGGTAATGCGGATTCCACCAATGGGTACAACATAGCAGCACGTTTGTCTGTAGTAACTCTCAATGTTGCTAACGCCTGCATATGTGACTCAAGTTGGCATATAAGCTACTCAAAGCTTCGCGGTTAATGCCTCGTTTGGCATTCTGCAAACTGCCGGTAGGTGGAAAGCATGCAATTAACTCAGCAGCTCGCGAACCATTCGCGGGTGGAACCACCAAACGTTATCAGTTTCAGTTTCTTAGATGTAATAGGTATATTAACTACCCCTGTTGTCGATCCTCCAGGAGTAGATTGTACTGCGGCGGAGGATCAAGAAGTTGGAATACCTCCTCTACCGCGTATTTACCCGTTAGAAATGTACGGGGGTACTTTGCTGCTTCGTCCATATCTACCGTTAAACTGTCCTCCGAAATTTCTTCATCAGCGGACATTAGGCAGTGTAATCCCTCAGTTGTCCTCACTAACGTCTCATGTCTCTCCTGTAATAATTGCCAAGATATCTTCACCTCAACTACCTTAGTAGTTGTAATATCTCCAGCTAAAAGAACCTGTAACTCGTTGTACGCTTTCGTAAACGCCTACCGGGAAGAGATACGAAGTTTTTTAAGCTGTTCCACATCCAGTTGCTCCATTTTCCACAAACGTTTTCCCAGAACAAAACTCACGAATAAATGTCCTGTCACGGTCGCCAAATGTTATAATTATGCCCCTATTGAGCACTCACGAATGTGAATCTTTGTACTGGGGTACACAGACACGTTTTAAACAGTTGAAATAAAACCAATATAACGATCTCGCTTGACAATTTTACAAAAATGTAATGAGAACATCTGCCATATGTCAACTATTTTTACTATAAATGTATGGTGCAATATGAAAGATATCACAATCATGGAAAATACGACCTACAACCATTAAAACCTGAACTGCTAGCGTCGTATAATATCTAATATAAAACTTGAAGCCAACATCTGCAGCGCCATCACTGGGTATGACTAAAATGAGAACTAAATCTGAGGCGCTAAATATGAAATTTGCAAGGACAAGTATATCTAAAAGGTTGTTTTTCGAGAAAATAAGTTATACACCAAATGAAAACGTTGATAAAACAACTTCAGCGTCTCATTTTTAATTAATTATGTAAAAGTAACACAACTAACTAACACAAATTTACATAAAATCATTATAAAACACTTAAAATTAAATCTCGTAACATTGACGTGTGTCAAATTTCGTTTCACAAAACGCACACCGCCTTGTGGTGGCGCTGTAGATGTTGGCTTTATAAATTTTACTGCTAGCAATCCAGTTATTTTTTCATCCAAGAATACGGCGCACCTAAATTCGATTAAACTGTCCATTTACACTTAATTGCTGCATTGTTATCTGAAACTGTGACAAATTTTCAGACCACATATAGCTATTTTTGTTTTCTGTCACTGTTCTCTTCCTTTTTTAATGATAGTAAAACTGAGAAAGGAAACATTTTCTGATTTTGTTTTCAATAAATTTTTTTACAGACCGAAACTGTAGATGACGTATCAAAAACTGCTATCGAATATCGTGATGAAGCAAATGACTATTACGGAAAACACAACGAGTGTATGCAAAAGGCACAGCGAGCATTTCAGAGCAGGCAGTATGCAGTCGCACAATTCTATTCCGACCTTGCAAAATCATATACGCGACTATACGAGCAAACAAATGGTCTGGCAGCTACGGCGTTTCTTCAGGAACACTCCGAAAAATTGCAGAACTTTCAAACTTTGGACCTTCACTACTTATACGTGAAGGAGGCTCTTCCCGCTTTGGATATATTCTTAGACCGAAACATCAACTTGTTAAGAGGTACCAATAAAAAGAAGGAAACATTATTCATTATTACTGGTAGAGGCAAAAGAAGTCCGGGAAAATCTCGACTTAGACCTGCAGTAATACAACATTTGCGGAAACGTGATATTAAGTAAGTTCTTAAAATATCCAGCAATTAATTAAGCGAATTTTAATTTTTAGGTACTCACTTCTAAACCCAGGTCTACTAAACGTTAACATACATCCTCATTCTGTTTTGACACACAATTTGCAACAATAAAGCCAATCATATGGTCCCTATAATTGTTACCAGGTTATTTTTTTGAATTTTCAGTTTTTAAGATAAGTATAGTGAAAAAAATTCGAACGTATCTACTCTTATTTTTATTATGATTAGGTGGTTTTTGAAATGTTACATAATGTAACATTAATTTCATTAAAAGTAATGACACTATGGTTTTGGTATTGAGCAGTACTCAAGTGTTCCAGTTAATCATACTGCTATCAGTATCATTTCAAACATTTATCCGTATAGGTAGTGGCTGACCTTTTAAATTAATCAAATGGCTAATTTGGTTGATACCTATTTTGGATGGTTACAAGAAAATATTTTACCTTATGTCAGTGGTGCTCTACACTTTACACTTTGATCTTAGAATCAGTACTTCCAGCAACTTTTATTTATCTTTCTTTTTATTGTAATTTTTTATAGCTTGGTGCTCGACTTGGTCTTGTAAACAAATGAAATTTGGAATCTGATAAATATGCCAATATCACGAGTGTGTTTGATCCCAAACAGTGTGTCATGGGATTTTTCCAATAATTCAATGTCAAACTTTTTCCTTATTTCTATCTCTTTGACTATGTATATGTTACTTGAAAAACGGAACTTTGTGATGTCACAACATACTACTACCAATTTATTGGATAATGAATATACAGAGTGGTGAATCTAAGTCAATCCAACTTTTATAATTGAGGAATAGAATGAAACATACGAGCACCACGGGGGACATAGTTGATCGTGATTTTCATTTGTTTTCACGTTGCTGACACTGTACACCATACCTGATCTTAAAATCTGAATAGCATTATACCCCACGTGACACATTAAACAGGAACTCTTGAAAATTCTTGTTCGTCTGTGTAAATGAATGTTTTCAAGACAAAAAAAAATTGTTTTACCTAGCACTACAAGTTGTACTACAATTCTCAACAAATCTGAAGAAAAATGATCATTCATTGGATACTTACTTGTTTTCAACCAGTTGCTTCCTGGGATGCAATAAAAATACAGGGCGAGATATATCTTCTCGATGGTTTGTGATAATTTAACATGAACTGAATATTTTATGTGTGTACTGAATTTTGTGTTATCAAATTAATTAGAAAAGAGTCTATGGTTTGATTTCCATTTTCAATTTTATTGTTGGAGAGATATCGATCAACTTGATACTACACAATACATTATGCAAATGACAGCATTCTAACTGTCTATGACAATTGCTGAAAATTGTGAGCGATTGATCCACTTGTGTGGCTGTGGAGATTCCATTTGTTAAACCTTGTCAAGTGACTTGACTGAACTCATAATCACTATTTTATAATCTGGTTTCCACGAATTTGTTGGTCTTATTCTTATATCCTTTATATCCACTTTTTTGCATTTTTTGTCCATGCCTTTGCACAATACGACTTCAAAAATTTAAATTGCTGATTAATTATTATTTATTAATTAATAAGTTATGGTGCACTTATACAGTTATAAAAATCGTTTGTACATCTTGGAACTCTACTTGAACCTCTGGCCATCTTTTTTGGTAAATCTATTGGCCAAATTTGATTTTTATAATGCAAATTTTGTAAGCCTAGTGCTTTTTTATGGATAGAATGAAACACTGTTTTTTATCAGACATTTTTGATTGTTGCACAAAAGTCGTATTTTGATTTTCGAACTACATACAAATTTGGGGGTCTATGAATAGGTATATACATAGTTAGGTACTTAATAGACAGGACTTCTGCCATTTAATGTGGAAGCCATTGAGATAGAAGGTGAGTTAAATTAAAAGAGAATGTATTTTTGAAGAGAACAATGGGAGCAGTTTCATCTTTACTAGATATTTGCATGTAGGCACATTTGATGAATGAATGAATTGAACTTCAAGGCTGCAAAAACAAAGATAACGATTTAGTAATTTCTTTAGACATGACATGACAATATGCTTTTGCAGCGTAAAATAACAGAAACTGCTAATATTTTTACAAAACCATAACTTATAATAAAATAACAAAAAACTGCCCTTGTTATGAGATGTGCAATTGTTGTACAGATAAATTTCTGTAGCTTTTGTAACAGAAAATGGCCCATTTTAATTTTTAATTAATATCTTCTTCAGAAAATAAATGATCAAACTGTGTTTTTAGGAAGTAATAAAGGTGACGTGTTGTCTACCATCTGTTTAAAAGATAAGCTGAACATGCGCCAAGTGTAGGTTTCAAATAAATTGCTGTTTTCCCCATTACCTTTCATTGTAACCATCCAAGATTTTTCTTTTGTGCGATAATAGTGCAGCCTGCTTGAAGATTTGGGGGATTCACTGGTCAGTTATTAACTTGAACAATATTGCTCAAAGTAACTGGGTTGCATCAACCAAAGATGTTGTACACGTTTCTTAAATTGTTTCCATTATTTTTTGTTATGTTACTGTTGTGAGACCTACCAGTCTGCACTAGTTATATTTTACATATCATATTATTGTTATTTTCATTAAAGGTTTTGAGTAATCAGTATTGTTCTTGTTTTTGATATAATTCTGTAAATATTAATATTTGCTCAATTATGTTTTGCTAAGATTGTTAACTTCTATATTTGTTAATTTCTGATTTAGTGTAACCATGTTTCCCTGCAAAGAAGTTGCACAAACATACATACAGGTGTAGATTTTCAATAACTGTATTTGTGCGTACTACACATTTTACACTCTAAAAATCAGCAAAATAACTTTTTATAGATGATACGTGTTCGATTCACTGTTACCTATGTGGTTTATAGTACAAGAATTCAAATGATTTATTTTTTTATGTACCTCTGTTTACACGTGTAAGTCATAGTTTTCTTTATAAGAGGTCAAAATATTAGTTTAACATTACATGAAAGTATAAATTGTGCAAATATGTTATGGATATATTTTTATAAATAAACAAACGTTTTTTAAATCATTTTGCATTGCTGTGAATTTTAGTATTGAATTATGATCACATATCACATTCTTAACGCACATTATAGCTCCATATTCCACTTTACCGTTAAATCTATCTAAGAGTTGATTTCCATGGAAACCTAGGAAGTTATTTGAAGATTGCATTGATCTAACGGAACTGATGGTATGCCAGAAACGAAAACGTTTATGAGTGAATGTGCACAAGTTTAGTTAATGTTCTTAGCATCGAGTTTTAAACGAGACGGTTATGCTTTCTCCCAATTGTACGATCGCTCACTCGATGGCTTCATGCTCATCGATTTAAATTAGAACGGATGGACTGTTATGTTCGGCACGTAGTCTTCAAGTCGAATAATTCAGAATACCAGTATTCGTTTGTACACTTAATATATTTTATAGTAAGTAAGTAAAAAAACATAACCTAAAATGTACATGCCATTTCTTCTGTGTCTCCCGTTCCGTCTACGTACACATATATATATAACATGGACCCACTACCATGACATTGTGCAGGTGGATTCTTTGTCAAATTGAAGTTCGTGAATTGGCAATCTAGGCCAAAAATAAGAGGAACGTCTCGCGACAGTAATCACTTGGCTGCTACGCACATGCGCACGGTTTATTTCTTTATTCACATTTCTAAATTTAAATTTAAAGTTTTGTGCATTAATGGGAAGGTGGTTCTGCGCATGTGCGTAGCAGCCAAGTGATTACTGTCGCGAGACGAACGGAAAATAAGGAACGCTCTTTTGACATCTCTGTTAGGTATAAACCGAATTGCATGAAATTTTATATGTAGGATAAAAGTAAAACTAATGCCGAATCAAATTTGTTTTGCGCATGCGCAATTCGTTTTTTAATTTTGTAAGATATTTAAATGAAATTTTGAATGGAGGCACCTCGAATAGTAAAATGAATGCCTAATCAAAAAATTTGTTTTGCGTATGCGTTATCCGTCTTTTAAAGTTTGAATGACATTTTGTATGCAGACATCTTGAATAAAAGTAGTGCTAGTGTTCGCATATTCAAATTATATCTTTACATCTTTACCATATATACATGATTCTAAAACGGGACACCCCTTACGTGCCTATGTAATTTATTTAATAAACTATAGAGAAAAAATGAAATTGTTTGTAATCTAGGTATATGTATTTTTTTTAGAATGAATGAAGCCCACAAACTGCTAAACGAAAAACCCATGTATAAACTAGACCAAATTGGCGGCACTTGTAACAAACCAACTTATCTTGTTTCGGTTACGTATAAGGACCACCTACTATATGGAATTGCAGGTTCTTTGATTGCCGCCAAACAATGCGCAGAAAAAAAATTATCAGATGTTTTAAATAATTGTAATTATACATACGCCGGCGAAATATTTGATTTCTATTTTCCATCTGGTGGCGACCGTAAAGAAAATGAAGACATTGACATTGGTAAACTGCAAATAGGTAGGTGATGTTTTTCTTTGCTACAGCTGTATTAAAAGTAGGTATAGGTATTAACATAGATGTTAATTGCTCTATGCCCTATGGTATTAAATTAAAACTGTATAGTATTGAAATTTTTTACCAAATGTGTTTCGAAGGGCCTGCTCAAAATTTATTACTTACGGCTTCTATTGTTTATTAGCGAGTTTATAATTTTGTGGTGTCTGTCCGTCCGTTAGCACGATATTTCGATAACGAATGGACTGATTACGATAAAATTCAGTAGATGGATTCTTTATCAAATTTGTAGATCGGAGTTCCAAAATTGGCAAATGTAGACCAAAATAAAAAGTAGGTCCTTTTCACATCTCTGTTATTAGTTATGAACCGAATTGCATGAAATTCAATATGCGCATAGCTTTAGCCATTAAACACAATTCCAAAAGTTGAGCCTAATCGATCAACATTCACAGTGCCCTTTTCGCATCTCTACCATTTACAGACCGAATTGCAAACTTTTTTATTTATGAAGGTATTTAAATGAAATTTAACTTGGAATAAAAGCAAATTTAACGCCAGTCTCAAAATTTGGTTTTGCGCATGCGCAGTGCTAGCTTTCTTATTTATGGAGGCCTTCAAATGAAATTTGATACATAGCTACTTGGAATAAAAGCAAATGTAGCGCCATTTTCCACATTTGGTTTTGTGTAGGATGTGCAGTGTCAACTTTCTTATTTATGGAAACAATTAAATGAAAATTCATACATATACCCTTTAAATAAAAGCAAAACTTGTAGCGGATTACTGTACAGTTTTCCGTCACAAGAATGGACACATACAATATAGATGGCATTACTAGTTTTATTCTTGGTATTTGTTATAAACATTATTTTATTTGGGAAATTTACAACAATTTAAACATATTTTTGTCGTTATTTAGCGATTGCAGTTGTATTGCGAATGCGATATAATTTAAATTATTTGTCGTCTATTGACGGATCTATTGTTTAATTTAATTAAGTATTAGTCTGACTTCTGAGCGTAAGTAAATTAATTCTATGTAATAAGTAATTTAAATGTAATCCGTTTCAGAAGCGTTCCAGTTTTTTATAATTTGAATTTTGTCACTAGTGGAAATTTTTCCACAAGACGAAATAGGGCTGGACATAAGGGTGGGTTCATAGCTCTCCGTTAATCCGTTGCGTTGATCCGTCAAACGGATAATACATTTTGTTAAGGTTCATAGCTATCCGTCCACATTCTACATTTGCAACGTATGTATAACCATAACCTAAATTTTATTTTGTACTGTACCCTCCGTGATTTTCAGTATGTAAAAATGGTACGAAAGTAAGAACACGTTGCTATCTGATTATTACCGTGAAGAACGAATAGGCGAACACTGTTAACGTACCAAACATAAACTCACTCTTGTTAAAAACGGACCAACGGAAACGTAAATTGTTCAACTTCAACCAACTTTTCCGTCGTAAACGGACGACGTAAGATTTAAAAATTAGCTGTCTTCTGATTGGCTAACGGACAAACGGAAGCGTATGAACGGAGAGCTATGAACTTACCTTAAGCCGTAAGTAAAAAAAAATGTAAGCAATAAAGTTTCTATTGAAAGTACTATTTTAGCCTCAGAGTAAGAAATAGAGTACGCGTACGCTATAACAACGTGAACGTTTGTTTTGAACCAACATCTCACCGTTGAGAGGACGAAAATAAACATTAGTCAGTGGCGTAGGGTTTATTTATCTTTATGGGCAACAAAGTTTATGTTTTGTTTAAATGTGCAAACGTAATAACGTATCACTAAATATTTATGATCAAAAGCCGTATGTGTTTGAAAGGTCCCTATTGATCTATGATAAGGTATGGTGATACTTCAAAGTGGGAACTTAGAAGGAAATCTAAACACATTAAAATGTGAAAATTCCCGTATGCACGTCTATGACATCAAAACAAATACCGATGAAAGGTTATGTTAGGTAATTCAATAATTCCACAAATAATACAGCTTTTCCCCATTTCAAAGCGCTCCCATAAATTAATACACCATAAATCGAATAAGTCTTGCACTATAAAAACGCCTAAAAATTAAGGAATCACGTTTTAACGAAATAAACAAAATACCTCTCAACGGAAAACAAAGTTACAGCGTTGCCGATGTGGTGCACTAATCACCATAACTTATCTTAAGTTAAAATTGTTTGGGTTGGCATCTAAAAATCCGTTTAGATTACCAGGCATATGTTATTATTATTCCCTTAAAAACTATCTCGTGGAATGTGACAACTTAGCCTCCTGCAATGTTAGTAAACAAACGAGATGATGGCACGCATAGATAAGCATCAAGGCATCTCTATCTTTATTTCTTACTCTGAGATTTTAGCTATTTCCCGATTTTCTTATTTCGATATAAAAAATATCGAAAGTAACGTTCAGAAGTCAGAACTATTATCTTCCAGTCAGGAGCCTACATTATTGCCATCTACTAGCATCCCTCCAATCCGGATGTACATCTTTTATATAGCCAGAGGAATTTCAAATGTTGAGAGGTTGGAGCTGTAAAGATAAAAGGTCAGAGATACGTCCAATCATTATCAATCATACTTACCTTCACAAAACAAGCGCTGTCCAGCTATCTGTTGAACTTTACCTATGCAGATAAATTTTAGAAAATCCATTAAGTACAGTAAAACCACTATAACCTTAGAAAAAGTATGCTTTGCGCAGCTAATATAGAAGGCATGGGAAAGGATTGTACACTCCCAGTAAGAAGTAGTCATTGTTAAGGCAGCAAGTTTTCATGGTTTTCGTTTGTTAAATGACTATTGTAGAATTGAGTAATGTGTTATTAACTAGTAATAAATAATCGATAACTTTCTTAATTAAATTGACATTAATACCGCGAGTAATGTGCAAATACTACTTCTGTTCTGGTTGTAGTTTTCTGTTCCGAATGTACATTATAGCCGAACCTGGTAAGAAACGGCGATCAAGTGCGGACGAATCCGAACATGCATGCGCAAATTTTCTAAGGTTACGATGGTTTTACTGTACTTACCTCGAATGCTTCCATAATTATTTTTCATTTGATCTTAATTATTTTTTGTACATAATACTA